CTTTCTCCGATGTTTTTGACAGAGTTTTCCTATTGATCTTTTTTTTTACCAATATGCACATCTCGTTACGTAGCATGCAGACTGCAGAAAAAATGAAAAACAAGATGGACGAGTTGGGAGTCGAACCCAAGACCTTTCGCATGCTAAGCGAACGCGCTACCAACTACGCCACACGCCCAAGAATACATCGTTTTCGGTCGTTGCTCTTGATTCGTGACAGACTGCTTTGGAAACAAGTCCAATCAAAAAAAAGTTCAAAATTCCGATACCGGGAGTCGAACCCGGGTCTGCCCGGTGAAAGCGGACCATGATAGCCGTTACACTATATCGGATAATTACATAATTCCGTCCACTATTAGGTAATACATTGAGGGCTGCTGGGAGCTCGGACTTCCCTGATCAATGGTAATTACGTGGGGGTAACGTTGGCGATGGGGGTCTATTTCGAGAGGAAATGGTGGTCCCCAAAAACTGCGTGGGTGGCGGTGCATAGATTGGATGCAATGGCCGTGATGGCTGGCTAGGAGGCCGCACATAAGGGCGCTGGTACGGCGATCGCCCTGGCGACGTTGAGTGACCACGCGATGAAGGCCTAGGTGGACGTTGAGGTGGCCGCTGCGGAGGTGGGGGCGGATTGTCGTCGTCCGCCAATGGCAATGTGTTCCCCAAGGACGCCACTTCTGAAGACGACTCTGAGTACGCTGGTGGATCAGCTGTGGGGCGGGTGTCATTAATCGACAATGGGTCAATCGCCTGGTTATTAGGTATGCTGATTTCGCCGGGCAATGGCATTTCCGTGTACTTTGGTGAGGGGGGCATGTTTGCAAGAACCTCCTCCTCGGAGATGAGCGAATTTGAGGGCGAATTCGGCGTTGCGTCCCGTGAAGGCAATGGCGGCAGTGGAGGCGGAGTATTGTCCCCCACGGGAGGCACGATGTGAATGTCTGGCACGCTAGCGGCCGTCAAAAACGGGTTATTAGAGTGAGACATGGAATTTGAAATGGCAGCCACTGCGCCATCTTTGCACGGGGAAAAAAAATAACCAACCCAAAATTAGCTAAGCTCACTTTTATTCTCAAAATTTTCATGTTTGGAGGAGTAAGAACGGTGCGGAAGTCTGGCGCAAACCTTCAGTTTGTGCGGACCAAGCGCATCCTTTCAGGGCTGGATCCTGCTGCGCAGCGTGTGGTTACTCAGCTTTCGGTTATATCTGCAAACAGAAAAATGCCCAAGATGCTGAAACTGTCGAAGGAAGATTTTGTGAAGCATGTCACGGTTATGAGAGCGTGGGCGGTTTTGCGTAAGGAGAAGAAGCAGGCTGAGGAGGCGCAGCTGAAAAAGCAATATGAGAGCATCAAGGAGGCCAACGAGGACCTGAAGCACGTGAGCCAGAAGTTGTTCGAGGCCGCCAATGAGTTGGAGATCGGCAAGCGGTTCCCGCTGGAGCTGCGTGTGCCGACCGAGTATCCGAGTAGAAGTGGGTGGTTCTACGACTACACTCCACGCAAACTGTAAATAGAGCACGATATAACTATTATTACCAGACCCTCTGTACAAAATTGGTGACCCTTGGTCTGTCTGGGTTTGGCAGCAGGAACCATATGATACAAGTGCATGTGAGTAGTCCTATAACAAAGGGCATGCAGACGAAGGCGCCCGCGTACTGGGATACAAGTCCCACCAGGAAGGGGAACAAGGCGCCGCCCGAGGAGCCGAAAGCAGTCATGATGGTGAGCGATATAACCTGGATTTTCCGTGGAAGGATGCGCACGGCGATGGTGATCATGAGCGGGTAGATCGGGCCGATGAAGATGCCCGCAAACGACACAGCTACGGCCTCGACGATAAGGATCGGGATCACCCAGCCAAGCACCGTTGTGACGATAGCGCCTATGATCATGATGGTGACACCGCGCTTTGCACCAAGAAACTTGTGGATGTTGGTGGTGAGGAATAACCGGCCGATCGTGAGACCTCCCCAAAACCCGGACGAGACATAACCAGTGCTCGATGCCTCGCCTCCGCGGTAAACTTCCAGGAACGTCACCACCCAGCCCCCCATCGAGACCTCTGCGCCCTGGTAGAAGAGCACAAAGAACGCCAGCAGCCATGTACGTGAGTTTTTGAGCGAAACCTTGAGCATACTCTCCTCCTTCGGCTCTTGAACGCCCTCATGCTGCCGTAGCGTCTCGGTGAACCCGAGCGTCTCCTCCAGCATCGTGTATTTGCCGTCGTCCTCCCCCGGGTTCTCTGAGGTTGGACTATGGGCCTTTGGCTCCCAGTTATCCCACGGTTTCAAATCGTCGTCAGCACCTTTAAACGCGAACCACATGTTCCAGAAATTGAACATAGACATACCCAGAAGAATGAGGTAGAACAGATGCCACTTGACGCCACTGTCAATCATTCCGGTAGCGATCAGGGGACCCACACACGCTCCTAGCCCGTAGCCACCATGGAAATAGCCCAGATATTGGGAAGACCTCTCAAATTTGGACAAGAAAATATTCTGCTGAGAAAGGCACGTAGCGAGCCCGAGACCGCCGAAAAAGAAGCCCACCACGACGAGTGGGAACTTGTAGCCCGGGCTCACCAGCGCGTACATGACCACCAGCGCCAGGCACCCACCCGACGTCATCTTGCGCTTGCCTAGCAGGGGCTCCATCTTGGGGCAGATCACCGCGATGATGATGAACCCTATGGCATTGGCCAGCCAGATCAGCGACACCACTGAATAGCTGATGTTGTAGTACTTCTCAATGGTGGGCAGCAGTGCTCCTGGTGCTGCATCGGAGAGCCCAGCAGACACAGACCATAGGACCACCGAGATCACACGCCACTTGTTGCGTGGCGGGTCTTCCAGCGTCATTCCGCCCTCCACTTTATGGCTGGCGCCCCCCAATCTGCGGGACTCAAAAGACGTCGACAGAGGCCGCTGTGCAGGTGGGATGGGAGGACGCGCAGAAACGAGACCTTTAGTGGAGGCCAGGTCGAAGTAGGAGTTCGTACCGGCGCCATCAAAGTATGAGTTTGTGTTCAGCTCATATCCCGGTGTCGTAGGAAGCGACTCAGGAACCACCGGCAGGATGTTTGCGGAGTCGGTCAAGGGAGCGATGCTGTTGTGCGGCATCGACGTGGACGTTCTGCGGTGGACAGTGCCCCGCTTTGATCCCTGTGAGTCCTTTTTGCTCTTGAGTTCTGTCAGTTCATTTCCGTTCATCGCGTCAATGAAGACAGTGGGCAAAAGAAGAAGAACAACAAGGAGATGTCAAGAAATGATTAGAAATCTGTAAAAAATTGCGGCAGGTTGCCAAATCGGGAAACGTCCCGAATCTGGGGAAATTTGGAGGGACGTGGAGTTTACAGGTCGATGAGATTTTCCTGAATTGCGAGTGGACTCGTCCTGGACTGGACGGAGCTAGAGATTTCCGACGGCATTGTTGTGTGGAACTCGCCGAAGTTCTCGTCGAGGTTCGATTGCGTGTCTGTGCCCTCCTCTGCCTGCCCTATGATGTCCTGCAGACTTGAGCTGTCGGCTGCACCTGCGCATATCTCGCCGTAATCGACTTCCCCGCCTTCCTCGTCGCTATCCTCACGCTTCTGCAGCTGTTCCTTGAACTCGCTGACTAGGTCGGTGTCCTCGGCCGTCGGCGCCGGCTGCACAATCTTGTCGTGTGAAAGGTTGTCTGCGGCAATTTTGCTTTTTTCACCAAACAGCCGACCAAACAGCGTCCTCTCCTTTTTCTGTGGCACAGCAGCCACTGACCGGTACTTGAGAGCCTCCTGCTCTTTGCGCAGCCGCTCTTCGCGGAGCCGTTTCTCTCGCTCGCGGCGCTCCTTCTCCAGCTTCTGTTTCTGCTGCCGCTGCGCGTCCAGTCGGCGGTCTATTATGGTGCGACTTTCCGTGGCCGCCGTGCGGAGGAGCTTGGAGTTGATCTGCTGTGTTTTCTTAGCCGGCTTTGCGGTCTCACTGGTGCTCGACCAGCTGAAAAGATTCGTCACGCCCGACTTTGTCGCCACTCGCTTCTCCACGCTCGTCCACAGCGCCGCCACAGCCTCTGCTCGGCGGTGAGTTTCTGTCTCCAAATGTGCCGCGCGGCCCCGGTGACTTTTATGCTGGTGCTGTTGCTGCCATTGTCGCTCCGCAGCAACAAGCCTTAGGTACTTGCCCGTCCACTCGCCTTCAAAACTCATCGTCGCACCGTCGCACGTCGCACGCCCCAGCCGCGACAAAACACTGTAGTCCACCTCGGGTCGGTCGACCTTCACTTCCTCGAACTCGCCAAAATCGCCAAAATCGTCTTCGTGGGCCTCATCGCTCTCATTGGCAGCATTGCTGTCTGTTCCACTCGAGTACCTGCGCTCGCCGTTCTCGCTTGTCCCTTCCCATGTTTCCGGCTCCCTCCTTTCCCCCACGCAAACGTCCTCCCACGGGTTTTCTGTAAAATCCATATCTTTTTTTTTTTATTCATGTTTGAAATATTCACGTTTCCCCAGTTCCCGCAGAACCCAGTCTTTGCGGCCTATTTCATCAACGTTAGCAACCAGAAACACATCCGCGATAGACTTCTTGCCGCAGATCCCGCCTACAACTACGCTTTCGTGAACGGAGACTACCTGCTCACCCTAGAACAAGTGCTCTCGGCCGTCTACAAGACACTTCTGGACGACTCGTTTGACCGAAAAAAATCAAAATCGGTCAATACCGAGATCATCTACAACCTTTCGCCGCTGAAGAACATCCTGGAGTGCTTGAAGACGTTCGGCATCACCGACAGCCCGCAGTTGCTGGTGATCAAGATTCTAAACAAGGACGACGACCCAGAAACCATTTATAGCCAGCTCCAACAGCTAGTCGAGGGGACCCCTACACAGCTCTCTGACCAGACGCTCCAGACCTACGCAGACGCTGCCAGAGTGCGCAAGCTGTTCAAAATTCAGGAATCGGATTTGGCAAGACTCTCCAGAACACTGATTGCAAACACTCAGCTGAAAACTCTATGATGCTGCGCCACGTGCTGCGCCGCGTCTTCCCTTTTGGTGTGCTTCTCTACCTGCTTTACGTTCAATACGCCTACTGCTACGTGGTCTGCAAGCAAAATATCTACGACTCGGGCTGGCATGCTGCTGGCGTGGGGCTTATTGTCGGCGAAGCGGTACTTGTGGTGCTGCTTCTGGCGTCGTGGGCGCTCATGTTTGTCGCTGGCCCGGGCTCGCTCCCTGTGGCGGTGCCGCCGTACAACCTGAACAGCTACTACGCCAACGGACAGCTGTATGTGCGCGGAGAGTTGGACGAGAAGTCGCCGTCGGTGGTGGACGACGCGGCACTCATTGCGCCGCCGCAGATCTTTCTCTGCAACGCGGACGGCCTGCCGTTCTGGTGTGCACAGTGCCGCTCCATCAAGACATTACGTGCACACCATTCTTCCGCACACGGCCGCTGCATCCCGCGTTTCGACCACTACTGTCTCTACATCGGCACAATAGTGGCGCAGAACAACTACGTGTGGTTTCTGTGCTTTGTGTCGTGCTTCGAGATGCTTTTCTTCTACATTTTAGTGTCGACGTTTGCATTTTCCAAGGCTGTGCTCAGCTACGGCCGGCACCGAATCCTGCACCCGGCCGCGTTGCTCATGATCGTCGTCAACGAGCTGTTCACGCTTCTGCTGCTGACGCTGAACATGTCGATCGGCCACATTTTCGAGCTCAATGAGACCAGCATCGACTTTCTGCAGCTCAGCAGGGCCCGGCAGTACAGATACACGCTTGGCTCACGCCAGTCAAGACTGAAAAACATTCTATTCCGTCGCAAAATTACCAAAGAAGAGGCCCGCATAGGGCTCCTCAACTCCCAGCGGTACGTCAGCGTCGAGCATCCGGACGCACACAACGTCCGCGTCGTGCTGCCGGTGCCGGAAACAGTCCATCCTTATGACAAGGGGTATTTGGAAAATGCTCTGGACTGGTTCAGAAACCGCAAATTCACCACATCCCAAGAAATTGTGGCGTACGAGTACGAAATGTTGTCGCCGCAGTTTCGGTCCTGGGTCGTCCAGCAAGTCCGCGCCGGCGAGGGCCGGATTTTTGGCAGCGCGCCGCTCACCCCTGTGGCCGTCTAGGCCATGTTTGCGTACGCCTTTATCAGATCTCTCTCGATCGAGAGCGTTTCGTGGCGGTACTCCACGCGGATGTCCGGCACGTTGGTCTTCTCGATGTCGTTGCCCTCTCTGCCCGGCTGGTCGAAGTTTGCGCCCAGCCAATGGCGCTTCAGCTGGTACTCGAACCCGCTCATGAACACCGAGTTGCGCGCAAGCTCAGACATGTCCACGTTCGACAGCTTATAGATCTGCGCGGCGACGGAGTATTCCTCGATCAGCGGCTCTCTGGTGTACGAGAACTGCAGCGGGTCGTCTGTCGACAGCGACACGTTGAGGCCACGGCGGAAGTAGCTCGGGAACGGGTTCTTGTCGTACGTCAGGAACAACGCGTTGTTGGACAGCGGCGACATGGCCACGCCGATCTGGCACAGATAGTATAGGTACTGGATGTACGGCAGTTTTCGCAGCAGAATGCCGTGCGAGATGCCTTCGGCGGCCAGATACGCAGCAATCAAGTGCTCGGGGTCGCCCGCCTCGCCAGAATGCGGCCGCAGCACAAAAGTATTGAACCCGCGGCGCACTCTCCACTGGTTCAGCGACGCAATGTTCGCGTACAGCGAATAGATGTAATACGAGTACGGCGGATTATTTGCCGAGTCCCAGTTGCGTGGGTACGGGAACTTGCGGTGGAACCGCTTGTCTGCCTTGCTTTCATCGTCGACCGAGTCGAATCCAATCACGCGCTGCAAAAACACAAACAGTTTTGGGTGCGACGAGGGGTCCTTCGTCACCTCAAACAAGGGACGGAACACGTTGAGCACCAGGTCCTGGTAGTTGTCCACAATGCCGCCCTTCTTGTACACGTCGTACAGCCGCGGGATCTGGATCAGCCACCGTACATTGTGCGAAAAAAGCTTGTGGTCCACCACCCACGCAGCCAGCTTGTCCCATTCGTCTGCCGACCGGCCGTAGATCGAGATCCGGTACTCGGCCATTTGGTACTTGGAGCTTTCCAGATCGTCAAACACTTCTCTAGTCAGCTCGGCCAGATACCGGCCCTTGATATAATTGTCGGTCTTGAGAAAGATTTCTCTGAGCCGCGATTCGCCGATCGGGTTGTACTTGAGGTTGAACTTGTCAAACCGGTGGAAAGTGTCTCTGTGCGCGTGCATGTCCAGCGTGTCTATACTCAGGTCGTATGCGGTCAGGTTCAGCGACTCGAACACTTGGCGCAGCGTCAGCACCTGGCCGTCTCTAATAATCACTTTTTCATCCGGACACTTGCGCATCTTGTACTTGATGAACCGCAGCAGATGCTTCTGGTTCATGCAGGCCGAGTGGTGCACGTGTGTGTCCACCTTCCGCACGTTGTAGAAGTCTCTGTGCGGGTTCCGCTTGCTCTCGGACGTCTCGTCGTGGTCATTTAGCAAATAATACAGATTCCATTTGGCTTCCAGGTACTCCAGCCGCTTGAAGGCAAACGACTTGGTCGGTCCGTCCGAGGCGATCGCCGTGATCTGCTCGAGATCGATGTAGTAGTCGCGCATCGTAGGAATCTGGACGATCTTGTTCCCGCTGCTTTTCTCCACCACCTGGAAAACGTCCTCGTCGTCCAGCACGTAGTCCAGCTCGGGATCTGCGCCCGGAATGTCCACCTTGCCAATGTCGAAATTCTCTGCCAGTTGGTCGCCCTGGTCCGGGTTCCGCTCAATGCTGTACTCGTCGCCCTTCTTCCAGAACGGTGGTGGCGGATTCGGGTAGATTCGCCATTCCGGCTTGTTTTTAGGGTTGTCCTGTGGCCGCTGCAAAGATAGCCTCTGGTACTTTTCGCGAATCTGCATACACCTCTGGACGTTCTTGTAGATCTCGATCAGTTCCTTGGACGGCGCCTCAATGATCGAGTTGTGGTCGTTCAGCAGCAAACTACCCATCCGCGCCTTAGCCCGGAACAACTCGCGGTCCGACGACCCCATCGGACTCATCTCGTGCGTGATCGGGTTGTACGCAAACTTGCCACCCGCCATTGGCGACGCATGCTCAAGCCCCGTCGGCCGCACTGAGTGCACAGACGACGAACGCGAGTTTTTCGGCGACGTCGCGATCGAGTGAAACGCCTTCATTTTGGCCTCCTGGTCCCTGAGCATCTTGTCCTCGGTGTACGAGTAGTGCACTGTGGACGGGTCCTGGTCGCCCGTGTAGACGTAGTCGTCGTCGGACGCGTTTCCCGCGCTCGAAACGCCCGACGACACCACCGGCGTCAGATTGTGCGAGATATCAAGCGGGTGGGACATAAACACTACTCTAGGGATTCTCTTTTTTTGAATTATTTTGCACTATATCGTATCTGGTGTACGGGTGTTGTGTCCGATCAGGGTCTCAGTCTCTTTGGGTCTCTTGGGAACAGACTGGCTCTTCTGATGTTCTTGAGATCCAGGAAAAACATCAACACTCTCTCCAGGCCAATTCCTCCGCCCGCGTGTGGAGCACAGCCGTACGTGAACGCCTCGATATAGTCCGACAGACCAGGTGTAGTGGTGTCCACGTCGTGGGCCTTGATTCTCTCGGCAAGCAGGACTGGGTCGTGGATCCGCTGCGCGCCCGACAAGATCTCCTCGCCGCGCATAAAGAAGTCGTACGAGTTCGAGTAGTTGCTGTCCTCAGGGTCTGGCATGGTATAGAAAGGTCTCACGGCAAGCGGGAACTTGTCGAGGATGTAGAAGTCTGTGTCGTATTTTTCTCTCACCAGCTTGCCGAGTAGCTTTTCGTTTTCGGTGCTGAGGTCGTCGTAGTCGCCGAGCTCTCTGCCGGCGTCTCTCAGCATCTGGATGCCTTCTTTGTAGTGCAATTTCACCATCTTGCCGTCCTTAGGCAGCTTGAACTCCTCGACCGGGAACTGTCTTCTCACCGTGGCGATCTCCTTGGCGTATCTGGTCTTGAGCTCGCTGAAAATAAACACAAACAGCTCCGACAGCAAGTCGACGGCCTCGTGGTAGTCCTCCTCGATCGTCATTTCCAGGTCCAGGCCCACAAACTCGGTCATGTGACGGTGCGTGTTGGAGTTTTCTGCTCTGAAGACGGGAGCAATCTCAAATACCCGCTCAAAATCCGCAGCAATCAGCTGCTGCTTGTAGAACTGTGGTGACTGCGCCAAGAACGCGCTGCCTTTGAAGTAGTCGACCTTGAAAACGTTGGCTCCACCCTCTGAGGCAGCAGCAATCAGCTTTGGAGTGTGCGTCTCGACAAAATTCCTCTTGAGCAAAAACTCCTTGAACAGCTGGCAGATGCCAGATTGCAACCGAAAAATGGCCTGGTTTGTGACCGTTCTCAGGTCGATCACACGGGAGTCCAGCCTGGTGTCAAGGTTGACCACAGGAAGCCCCGAGGCCTCGGCTTCGGCGTCGGAACGCGAGGCGTCCTCGATCAGCAGCGGCAGCTGTGCTGGCGTTTCCGAGATGGTGTAGATCTTACAGATCGAGATCTCTACATCCTGGATCGTGGCGCTTTTCACCAGCTCGTCCACCTTCTTAACCACACCGTGGACAAGAACAATCGACTCGAGACTGAGCGAGGCCGCCCATTTCACCATCTGCTTCGACACAGAGTCGCCATTGGCCTTGATCAGACCCTGGATCAGCTCGTCCTGCTGTCTGAACAGGAAAAAACTCATGGTGGCGCCCTGCTGTCTGGAATTGTGCACTCTAGCTCTGAAAACCACCTCCTTGCCGTCGTCCTGAGGGGTAAGAGTTTTGAACTGAATTCGAGGGATGCCCGTCTTGCGGTTCGACTGCATCAAAGGCAGCTTGCCGTAATTGTCCTTTGCAGTATCGCTGGCGGCGTCGGCGGCAGCCTTGGCGGCCTGTTCCTGCGCAATCCGAGCAGCGGTCTCTGCCTTTTTTCTCTCCTTCTCGCGCTCCTTCTCAAGCTTCTTGAGCGCCTTCTTTGACAGAGGCTGGCCGTCGGGACCAAGAACAGTTTCCTGACCAGCTTTTGCGGCTGGCTGCGCCTCCAAATTCAATTTCTCGACTTTGTCTTCAAGACTCATTGGAAAAATAATTTCTAAAAGATTTCAAAATTTTCCGTAAATGAGTAACTTTTTCGACTCTATACACTTTATTACTAGCCAAATAAATATGCTCCCTACTTACAACTCGGTATTCTCCAAGAAGAAATAGTTGCCACTCAGTTTTTGCTCCTTGTCCATCTGGGAGTCCAGCTTGTTGATTCTCGGTCTGAACGAGTTAGGATCTCTTCTGAAAGTGACGTTAAGGTTCTTGAGGAACCGGTTGCAACCAGTCAGCAGCGACTCGGCCTTTCTTGCCGTGGCAGACTTCGACGGCACACCCTCGAACACCATCACCTTGTCGGCCATGTATGTGGCCATGATGAAGTCGTGCTCGACGATAAAAGCGGTTTTCTTCGAGTGGATGATGAATCTTCTGATCACCTTGGAGCAAATAATACGCTGCTCCGAGTCCAGGTAAGCGGACGGCTCGTCAATAAGGTAAATGTCGGCGTCCATGCCGAGCGCAAGGACAATGGCGACTCTTTGCAGCTCACCTCCCGACAGGTGCTGCACCTCCTGATCGATGATGTCTTCGATTTTGAGCGGCTTCACCACGTCGGTATTGAACTGCGGGTGCAGGAACGAGGCCCTGATCTTCTTCAAGAACAGCTGTCTCACGGTTCCGGTGAACTTCGGGGCGATCTTCTGCGGTTTCATCGAAACATTAAGCTTTGGTGCCTTGCTGCCATCGTCCGGCGAGATCGCTCCTGCAAGAAGCTTACACAGCGTCGTTTTTCCGGTACCGTTCTCACCCATCATCACGATGATCTCGCTGTCAGAGAACTCGCCGGCCTCCACGGTCAGTTTGAAATCTCCCTGCGTCTTGGTCATTTCTGGGTACTCCATCGAGTGCGACTGGTCCACAATCATTTTATCGGACGCGTCAGCAAGCCTGAATTGAAGCGACTCGGTTCTGAACCTCATGTTTTCCGTTGGGATGTGGCCGTCAAGGAAAATGTTGATACCTTCCCTCACAGACGCCGGAAGGGTCACCACACCGTAAACGGAAGGAACGCCGTAGAGAATGCAAACGAAATCGGACAGATAATCCAGCACAGACAGATCGTGCTCCACGACAATCACGTAGATAGTTGGCTGAAGAAGCGATCTGATTATGAAGGCAGCGTTCAGACGCTGTTTGACGTCCAAATAGGACGAAGGCTCGTCAAACATGTACACTTGGGCGTCCTGGACACAGGTCATTCCAATAGCAAATCTCTGGAGCTCTCCACCTGAAAGCTTCGAGACCTCTCGTTTCAGGATTCCCTTCAGTTCCAGCGTGTCGACCACTTGTTTGGCAGCGTCCTGTCTTTCGAGTTTGGCCTTGATTAGTTCACCGACTTTGTTAAGCGGTCCTTTAATGGCACGAGGAATGTTATCCACGTACTGGGGCTTGATAATGGCCTTGATGTTGTCTTCCAAAACTTTTGTCAGGTAGTTCTGCAGCTCTGATCCTCTGAAATGTTTTAGAATGTCCTCCCAGTCGGGCGGATCGTCGTATCTTCCAAGATTGGGCTTTTCCTTTCCGGCAAGGATCTTCAGCGCGGTGGACTTTCCAATACCGTTGGTGCCCACCAGACCAAGCACCTGTCCGGGTCTTGGTGTAGGCAATCTATGCAATTTGAAAGAGTTGGCCGAATATCTGTGGGTGACCTCTTTTTCGAGGTTGGTTGGTAAATTAATGATGTTGATGGCTCCAAAGGGACACTTTTTCACGCAGATACCGCATCCGATACAGAGATTCTCCGAAATAAAGGCAATCTTCGAGGTTGGCGCCACCTCGATACACAGCTTTCCCGTCTTCACCACGGGACAGCTCTTTCTGCACTCTTGTCTGCATTTTTTGGGCTTGCACTTGTCGTCCGCGACGATGGCGATACGGGTATTTTTCTGACTCATGCTAATTAGGGACTATGCAACACTCCGGCACTACTGAATGCAAATTCGCCGAAAACAGCTGTGAAGGGAGGAACAAGTACCGGTTGGAGAGTGTTTGGATAATATTAAAAAAAAAATTTTCAATTAGACACTTTTCGCGCGTGGGAACATTTTTACGCACGTCATTAGTGAGCTAGCAGGCTTTCGCGGTCCCATATTTACGTTTCTGCTGGTTGCTTACAATGACGCAAATATGATTGGCCAGAGCGATTTCAGTGCTGAGGCCAACAAAGACGGACCGGCACACTGGGTCGAGAGGATTGTGGGTTGTGATTGGTTGTCCAGCGGCCAACTCGTGGCAGAGAGCAGTAAGTCCAAGTCAGAGCATCTTAATATTAAAATCTAGGTAAAATAAATATATGCAAATTAAATACAGAAATCAAATATGCCACCACCTATATGAAGGTAGACTTAAGTAGCCTCATAAATTACAGTCTCCCGTTTTTATGTAGTTTAGGGCGTGTGGCGTAGTTGGTAGCGCGTTCGCTTAGCATGCGAAAGGTCTTGGGTTCGACTCCCAACTCGTCCACTTTTTTATTTTTTTGCTTCCCAAAGCCCGCTTTTTAAAGATCAACATCAACATCCACACCGTTCGCCGCTCACGTAGGCACCAGCCCGATCTGGCACACTCTCAACAGCGTGTCGCGCCCGGCCGCCTTCTTCCCAATTCGTGTCGCGATAAGCGTCCGCGCTAGACTTCCCGATTCGGCAATTGCCGACTTATCAACGGGATGCGACTACCGCTAGCACCCTTATAAATACCTCTCACTGCGTCCCTTATCCGCAATGACTGTTGACAACAAAGAAACCTCCTACGTGTTCCAAAAACAAATCAACGACAAGGGCCTGCTCTGTGTCGGTGCCAAGGGCGACGGCATGTACCTCGTGCTGGAAAACCCGCACACCAAGGAGCAGAAGGTGCTGTTCGACGCCATCTCAGGAGCAGCCGTCAACTCGCTTCCTCATCAGGACCCAGAAATCACTGAGGCCATGGGCCAATTTGCCAAGGAGTCCGTTTACACTTTTGGTGCCTACTACGCCAACTACGCTGCCGAAGACCTTGGAAAGTTCCTTTGCGACAAGTCGGGCGGCGATTTCGCGTCTGCTCTGTGGACCAGCTCGGGCAGCGAGGCCAACGAGAACGCCATGAAGATCATCAAGCAGTACCACAACGAGCTCAAGGACTACAAGAGATGCAAGTTCATTAGCAGAAAACAGTCCTACCACGGCTTCACCACCGGAACGCTGGCCATCGGCGACGGGTCCAGAAAATACCAGTTTGCTGACATTCTGATCGACGAGTCCAAGACCCCAAAGGTGTCTCCGGTGTACCCTTACAGAAACCAGAAGCCAGGCCAGACCGAGGAGGAATACACCAAGGAGCTGCTGGACGAGCTGGAGCAGACTTTCATCGACAACGACCCTAGCACGATCGCTGGTATGATCATCGAGACCGTCGGCGGCTCCACCTTCGGCACCTCCGTGCCAACCAAGGGCTACCTGGACGGCTGCAGAGAGATCTGCCACAAATATGGTGCCCTATTCATGCTGGATGAGGTCATGTGTGGTCTGGGCAGATGCGGCTACCCATTCACCTACAAGTCGCCAGAATTCGGTCTGTCTTCCGGCGGACCAGATCTCTGCTCGGTCGGCAAGACCATCGGCTCGGGTTTCGTCACCCTTGCTGGCCTGCTGATCTCGCCAGGCGTGAAAAAAGTCTTTGCCGAGGGCTCTGGAAGCATTCTCGGCGCCCAGACCTACCACTCGCACGACTTCAACTGCAGAGTCGGCTTGGCCGTCCAGAAAAAGATCTACAGAGACAACCTGATCGAGAACGTCAGAGTCAACGGCGCATACCTCAAGGAACAGCTCAAGCTCAAGCTCAAGGACGCCAAGTACGCCGGCGACGTGCGCGGAGCAGGAAACTTCCTCTCTGTCGAGGCCGTCAAGGACAAGGCCACCAAGGAGCCGTTCGATCCAAAGGAGAAGGTCGGCACCCAGCTCGGCAACTTCTGTTTCGAAAGAGGCATGACCATCATGGGTGTCACAGGCACCATCGAGAGCAAGCTCGTCAACAACTCCGAGCTCGTCTGTGTCGGTGATCACGTGACCATCGCCCCAGCGTTCACGTTCACCAAGGAGCACTGCGACTTCATTGCCAACACCATTGCCGGCGCGTTTGCCGACCTGGAGAAGAAGTATGCTGCCTGAACAAAGCTCTGTGCAAGGTTAATTGAAGGTTTCTAGTAATAAAATAATTAATGGAGCTACGCCTGCTGCTCAGCAGTTACCAGGCGGTTGCGGTAGTTTTGGACCCGCTGTTCAAAAGATGTGCCATTCCAGCGGTCACCGTCTTCCAGTCGAGGCGGTCCGTACTGCTCGATCGCCAACCCGCTGGCTACCGTTGCGGAAATGCACGCCTCCTCCAAGTCGCCGCTCAGAGCTAGCTGCGTAGCAAAAGCCCCCACAAACGTGTTACCGCAGCCTGTCGGGTCCACAACCTTGTAGTCGCTTCGGGAAGGGTCATCGTGGTATGCGGGAAACCACTTAACTTGGCCATTGGCGCACAGAAGCGAGCCCAAAGCGCCACAACGCACCAGCAGCACGCGGGCCTTGTGCATGCGTGCTACCCTTTCGCAATTTTCTTTATCGGTTGGCTCAGGCTCGCCAAAAAATGCAGCAGCTTCTGCAGCGTTGGGGGAAAACACGTCGACGTGTTCAAGGGCGGCATTCAGGGCGTCCAGATGTTCTGGCCGACACCGGTCAGGAATGGCCTCGTAGACAATTAGCGGCTTGTCTGGACGCGCAGAGATGATGGACTCCAGCATGTCACGCAGAGAGCCAGGCGAACAAAGCAAATGAAACGAGCGCGACCGGATCAAGTGCTCGTGCTGCTTCAAATCGGCCACCTCGATCCTGCGTTTGGGCGTCATATATTTGAACTCACGCCATTCGTTGAGCCCATACTTGTTCCATCCGCGCGTGCATAGCCGCATATTGTCGTAGCGGAAGACTGCGCCCAGATTCCAGCTCTGCAGCTCGCGCAATATTTCGTCAGGACAGTCGCTGCCGATATCTATAATGCCACCACAGAGCCTGCTCTGCTGGCTTCCGAGAACCATCCTCGATCCCACCATGGCAAAGACGCCGCCTCCACCAAGAACGTTATAAAGGGACGTTCCGTTGGCGAAATGGATCTCGTCGAGGATAAACATGCCCAGGGAGCAGAAAACGGACATGAATAAAAATATTTATTTTATTTTTATTTGACTCAAATCATCTTGATTTATTATTATATACTCAAAAAATAGCCTCATCAAGCCTGGCTGCAGGGTTGTTCTCAATAAAGTCCAGATCAACCTTGTGTCCCAACAGCTCTCTAATGTTGCTGACGGCATATTTGATCATCGTAGGTCTCTCCAGTGACAAGCCCCAGCCCAGGACTCTCATATCCTTTGGCAGACCCATGGCCTCGAGCATCTCCGGTCTGAACATCCCGGAGTTGCCAATCTCGACCCATTTGCCCAGGCCGTTGTGCCAGGCGTAGATCTCGAGCGAAGGCTCGGTGTACGGGTTGTATGTAGGCTTGAATCTGAGGTCATGAACACCCATCTTGTCGAAGAACTGCTGCATGAACCCGATCAGGTCTCCAAGCGTCAAATTGTAGTCGGCAAAGACTCCTTCGACCTGGTGGAACTCGGCCAGGTGGGTCGCGTCGACCGCCTCGTTGCGGAACACCCTGTCGATCGAGAATAGTCGGGTCGGCTTTGGATCGGCCGCCAGCTTCTTGAGCATCTGCGACGAGATCGCCGTGGTATGTGTTCTCAGAACAGTCCGCAGCGACTCCTCACCCTTCCACGGGTATCTGTACCCGATCGACCCGTACGCGCCATCCTGGTGCACCGTCTTGACGTTTTCCCAGTACTCCTTGTCCTGTGGCTCTTTTGCGGTAGCCGGGTCTTTCAGATAGAATGTATCCTGCAGATCTCTGGCAGGATGCTGTTGCGGCACAAACAGCGTATCAAAGTTCCAGAAACCGCTTTCAACGTATTGGTTAGAAGGCATCTCCGAGAAACCCATGCTGAAGAAGATCTGTCGGAACTCCTCTCTGACCTTGTTGAGCGGATGCAACGCTCCAGCAGACGGCATAACGCCCTGCGAATCGAAATTGTACGGCTTGAACTCCGCCTTGCTCCACGAGCCGCTCACAACCATGTCGCTGGTGATGTCGGTTTCCAGCTGCTTGATTTCCAGAGCAAACTCGGCGCCCTTCGAAACGCTGTACGTGAACACCTTGGACTGCGTGATCAGCTTTCTCTTTTTCAGCTCCGCCAGGTCCTTCTTGTTGGCCAGAGTGCCGGTCTTCTCGATCTCCTTGAGCTGCTCCGCGGTCGCGTCCTGCACCTGGCTGCCCGCAGCGACCTTGGCGACCAGCTTGTCGCCCTCCTTGGCAATCCAGCCGTTCTTGAACGCCCTGCCCTGGGCCACCTTCCCGTTGCTGCCCATCACGCTGTCAACGTCCGAGATCTTGAGTCCGTCGAGCGCATCCGTCACCTTCTGGAGCAGCCGGTACTCGTGTGAGCCGTGCGCAACGATGTCCTTGGCCTCCGCCGTCAACGTCCACTTGTCGCTTTCGTGGGTCTTGTATTCCACCATGTTTCTGGCCGCGAGCGACATCAGTGCCGCCTGCATGGCCGCCGTGTCGACGTCTGCAAACTCCGCCGCCGTGTTGGCGATCTGCTGCTTCTCGCCCAGCGTGTGCAAAATCCTGAGCTGGAGCGACGACATAATTAATCGATTTTTTATTTATTTTCGACAAATTTTTCTTGATTCACATCCACCCACCCATGTCCACCGATAGAGCCCGTTTTTTTTGCCAATGGACAGACTGCGACGCCGTGTTTAGCGCGCCGGCAGAGATGTGTGTGCACGTGGCGATACACGCCGCTCACGGGCAGCGGTGCCGCTGGAACCTGTGCGGCCGGCAGTGCGACTCGCCCTCTGCGCTGCTGAGCCACCTGGTGCTCCACTGCAAGACGCCGTTTGCGTGTCTCCGCTGCAGCAGCGAGTTTGCCGCCGTCGACGAGCTGTACGAGCACGAGAGACACCACAAGCAGCCTGTCGCGGCCGATCCGCTCAGAGCAGACCTTGTGTCGTACCGAAGCGCATCGCCGCCCCGTTCGCGCGGGCAGTGTCCCAAAATAGAGCGCAAGATTGCACAGCTGCACCAGCAGCTTGTGCGCACGTACACGGCGAGGCCGCAGATCGACACGACGGCGCTGCCGGCAGCAGCGCTCGAACAGTGCGCAGCGCAGCTGGAACAGTACCACGCCAAGCTCGAACGGCTGCACCAGTCGCTCAGCGCCGAACTGGCGGCCGCAGAGAGCCAGAAAAGACACTACTGGCTGAAAACACAGCGGCTGGTCGACGCACTACACCAGTTTGAGAAAACAGAGCTCAACATATGAGATTCTATTCGTTTCTAAATTTGACCGTCTTGAGCGGGCTGTACAGCTGGTTGTACAGCTCGTCCGGCGCGTCGCGGCCGATCAGGCGTCTTGTGTCGACAAACGTCTCGTCGAGCTCGCGCAGGTTGCGCACGCCCAGCAGCCGCATGTCCATCTCGAGCTCGTCCTTGAGCAGCTGGATGGCCTTGCGGACACCGTTTTCGCCGTACGCCGAATTGGCGTACAGGAACGGCCGGCCCAGACCCACGCCCACACGAACGTTCTGGCCGCCCAGGGCCAGCGCTTTGAGGATGTCTGTGCCGCGACGCACGCCGCCGTCGATGAAGATCTCGAAGTCCGGCCGCAGCTTGTTGCGCCGCCTCAGCTCGGGCACCACCTCGGCAAGCAGCTCCACGGGCGGTGGCGCCGTGTCCAGCTGCCGCCCGCCGTGGTTCGACAGCACCACCCCGTCGAAGCCGTCGTCCACGGCCCGCACCACGTCCTCGAGCCGTTGCACGCCCTTGATCAGCACCGGCAGTTTGGTGCTCTGCTTGATTTTGATCACGTCGTCCCACGTGAGCCGCGTGTCGATGAACGAGGACAGCGCCCGCGAGGCGCCCTGGCTCCGCACGACTTCGTTGCTCTTCTGCACGTCCGACTCGCCCTCGAATTTCACCCGTGCGTCCTTTTCTCTGTTGCCGAGGCTCGGAGCGTCCACGGTGACGAAAATGGCCTTGATGCCGAGTCTTTCGGCCTTCTTCACCATCTCAAACGCCACGTTGCGGTCCTCGTTCACGTACAGCTGAAACCACTGCGTGGCGCCAGGGACGCGCGCCGCAGCGATCTCCTCGAGCGAGTTCGACGCCAGGGTCGAAATCATCTGGATCACGCCCTCCTTGCCCGCGCCGCGCGCAATGGAGCACTCACCGTCCGGGTGGCCGAGCTTCGCGAGCGCCGTCGCGCTCACGTAAAAAGGCACGCTCGTCGGCGTGCCCAGCAGCGTCGTGCTGGTGTCCACCTTGCTCACGTCCACCAGGACGCGGGGCCGGAAATAAATGCGCTGGTACGCATAGTGGTTTTCTCTCATGCTCACCTCGTCGTCTGCGCCGGACGAGTAGTACGCCCACGCACCTTTGGGGAGGATTTTTTTCGCAATGTACTCGAAATCGTGCAGATTCATCACCTCATTGACGTTTGGCATGTTGGCCACGTTTTCGAGCCGCTCTTCCTCAAACTCGTCCTCGGCCACTTCCAGCGTCGGCGCAGGCCCGTCCAGCTGCCCGAGATGCTTGTCTTTCGGGAGATTTTTCTCGATAGTGCCCTTGGGATGGAGCTGCTCGAACAGCTCGGTGGCATCGTGGCCCGAGTACCGAATGATAGGAGACTGGCCGCCTGGATGCTGGGGCAGGAACTCTGTCATGTCGTAGACCTGGCCACGGATGGCCACCCAGCAGTCGTCGGGCCGGTTGTGCTTGACGAACTCGTCAACGGGCACGATGCGCTTTGGCAGGGCAGGCGACTCGCTGGAGAGCTGCTGTCTGCACACGAGGGCAGCTCCTAGACCGGCCACAAATGCGGCGCCGAGAGATCTGCGTGGGAATTGCTTAGCAGACGACGCCAGCGTACGGGACAGCCGTGGCAGCGGCTTTTTGCCTGTGGTAAATGCTCTATAGGAGGTTCTCCACATACGTATCGATGCTAAAAAAAAACCCGAGCCTGATATATTTCTGAGTCGAGGTGGGGTCACCCCCGCGTGGGATGATCTCCCGCAGCCAATGGCGGGATTTCGCCTGGTCAGCAAAAACGCTGGATAAAAAAACAACAACAATGGACGAGACCGGAGTCGAACCGATGACCTTCTGCTTGCAAGGCAGACGCGCTACCAACTACGCCACACGCCCAAGATCTTCTGTTTTGGCGTACCCTGCCGCCATGATGACGCACTATCACAGCTGCCACGATCTGGAGAAAATAGCCCCCAAAATGGCTTCCGCACATACTCTGTGGTGTGCAGGGCGCCTTTAGTATATTCTGCGCCATCTCGTTTTATCTAATTCGCGCACCGCCTCAAAAACCCCTAGCCCTGCTTTTTCTCTAAAAAAAACCCTATTTTGTAAACAAATATTTATCCCCTATGAACTCTGTCAGGGCGGCCAGGCGGCCCTCCACCCGCTCCTACGCAGACGACGACGACCTATCGCTGCTGGCAGACGAGTCGTTCCACCAGTACGGCTCGATCAACGAGGAACACTACGTGCAGGGCCGAAGGGCGTCGATGAAGTCGTCCATGTCGCAACTCAACCCTCTCAACCTCATTCCCACCAAGACGACCGACACAGGCATCATCCTGGAGGTCGAGACGTCTACGTTGCAGGAGCTTGGCCTGTTGGCGGTGAGTGCGGTCCCGCTGGTGATCACGTTCTTGCTCCAGTTCTCGCTCACAGTTGCGTCTGTTTTCAGCGTGGGCAACCTCGGCTCGCAAGAATTGGCTGCCGTGTCGCTGTCGAACCTGCTCTGCAACGTCTCTGCATACGCTATAATCCAGGGAATCGCGTCGTCGCTGTCGACACTGTGTCCGCAGGCGTACGGCAGAAAAGACTACAGGGCCGTGGGCATGCATAGCCTGCGGTGTCTGGTGCTGCTGCTGCTGCTGTACGTGCCGATGTACGGGTTTCTGCATTGGGGATCACGCCCGCTGCTGCTGAAAATCATCCAGGACGAGCGGCTGAGCGACCTCGCGTCGTCGTACCTGAAACGGCTGCTGTACGGCGTGCCTGGCTACATTGTCTTCGAGGTGTTGAAACAGTATCTCCAAGCGCAGGGTATTTTCCATGCGTCGACGCTTGTGCTTGTGCTGTGCGCGCCGCTCAACATCTTTCTAAACTACCAGCTGGTTTGGAATGAGACGTACGGTATCGGGTTTCTGGGGGCCCCCACCGCCGTCGTGATCACCAACTGGTGCATGGCATCGATGCTCTTCTGCTACGCGGCGTTTGTCAACGGCTACCAGTGCTGGTGCGGCTTTTCGCGCGACGTGTTCCGCAACTGGAGCCGTACTTTGCAACTCGCAGGCCCCGGCGTGATCATGATCGAGGCCGAGTGGCTCGCGTTCGAGATCATCACCTTTGCATCTTCCAAGTTCGGCACTGCCGCTCTAGCGTCGCAGTCCATCATGACCACCACTGGCTCGACCATCTACCAGATCCCGCTTGCGATATCCGTGGCCGCGTCGACCAGAGTGGCCTGGTTCATCGGGTCGGCTTCCAAGGACGCCGCCGTTAAGTCTGCGCACGCGGCCACGTGGATGTCTGTGCTCTTTGGCGCGGTCAACGCCATCGTGCTCGTGCGCTACCGCAAACTAGTGGTTTCGTGCTTTTCGAGCGACCCCGAGGTCGTCGAGCTTGCCAGCAAGGTCCTAATCATCGGGGCCGCCTACCAGGTGAATGACGCCATTGCCTGTGTCAGCGGCGGCGTCCTGCGTGGCCAGGGCCGCCAGTACATTAGTGGCTGGCTCAACCTCGTGAGCTACTATGTTTTTGCTCTGCCGATCGCGTTTGCTTGCGGGTTCCACCTGCATCTGGGACTCATTGGCCTCTGGATCGGCATGATGTGTGCGCTATGCTTTGTGTCGCTTGCAGAGTGCTACTACGTGCTCACCACCGACTGGGACACTCTCATCAAGAGGTCCATCGAGGAGGGCATGAAAGAGCAGTCCAGCTTCCAGGAGGCGCTGCTCGATCAGGCTAGTTTCCAGGAGATCATGATCCCCGGCAGCGCGAGCCTGCGGCCTGTGCGGAGCCACGCCCTACTTCCTATCCCAGTCTGACCACCAACATTGTCCTTACACATACCCACGGAATAACTATAACAAACTATCCTATGGCCAGCTGCGGCGAAAAACCACGTATCTGCCGGTTTCTCATGGACTCGGGACGATGAATCGCCTATAGCTTGCGGAGGACTTTCGCTGGTATCCCACCCACCACCGTGTTATCTGGAACGTCCTGCGTAACTACCGCGCCCGCAGCCACCACAGAATTCTCGCCAACAGTGACACCCGACAGTATCGTTGCGTTTGCGCCGACCCATGCATTTTTCTTGATATGAATAGGACCCACCAGCAACGAGGATCTTATTGCAGGTTCCACCGGGTGGCCTTCCGACAACAGATTGACCTTGGGTGCGATCAGCACGCCGTCTTCGATGGTGATGCCGCCCAAGTCCAGAAACACGCAGTCAAAGTTGATGAATACATTTTTGCCTATCTTGAGGTTCTTGCCGTAGTTGATGTGCAGCGGCGTGAAAATATTAACTGTGCCATCTATCTCGCTTTCTGTGATCTTGGCAAGTAGATCTTGTATCTCTGCAGGATCGGCCGACTGATTCATCTGCAAAACCAGCTTTTTGGTCTCGTAGGAGGCCTGCAGTAGCTTGTAAGCCTCGGGCTCATTGCCGGGGATCGATCTATCTTTCAGTAGTTTTTGGAAAATACTCTGAGATTCGGATGTCATAAAATAATCACAACTATTTTCCGCACTGCTAAAACGGCTGGGACCCGACTAAATATTGTTCTGATTCAAAAAAAGAATCATAGCTCATCTACTTTCGTTCTTGTTGAGGTACGGACTACGAAGCTCGCGTTCCCGACCCCACTGGACCCTGTTTTTGTAGCCAATAGTGTGTTGCGTCCAGCGCTCCTTTTTTAGTGTTCCCTGGTGGTCTGACGACCAATCTCCGAAAAAGCCTCATCAAATTTGGCCCATGCCCCTACAGAATCGGACCGGCCAATAACCTGGCTCCTTTCACCGCCAAAAGGCCCCGATTGTCAGGTCTACGGGGCTGCAGGGAGATGGGTAGGTTATTTTTCAGCCATGAATTTTTTTAGCTATAATTTATTCTCTCCATTTAATGATTGAGGAGTCTCCTGTCGCGGCCCCGCATGTTGGCCAGCAGATGCACCCACGCATGAAGCTGCCGTCGCTGTCGTCACTGACAGACGACTTCTCGCTCCCTCCACTTAACACAGACATCTCAGAGGCCGAGTCTGCCGACGCTAAAATCACCCTCCCATCTCTGTCCACTCTCACCCAGTCCATTCCTGATGTGCTTAAGCCTCTTCCTGCCACGCCGAACACGTCTTTTGTTGACTCGCTGCCTTCTTTGAAGCGTTCTGCCGACGAGCAATATGGACAGGACCATAAGAGAATGCTACTAGGACTGAAGAAGGAGGACGGTTTGCCGCTCAGAAACGCCTTGCGGCCGGCTGAGAGCGTCGGAATGCCCAAGACAAGCCGCCACAGAGGTCGCACGCACCCGTCGTACAGACTGGACGATGTTCAGTGTGGACCGCAACCCCAACTGGCGGAGAGTATTCCTGTTTTTGCGCCTTCTTCCGACCAAGTGCACGATCCTATGTCTTACATCGAGTCTCTACGCGACCAAGGCGTCCAATACGGTGCCATAAAGGTAGTTTTGCCCGAAAAAAAACCCTCCATCGAAATCAGAGCCAAACTGGCCGTTAAGAAGCAAACCAAGAATCACAACACCATATCGAACCCCGGAACCCGACTCGTGCGAAAACGTGACCAGCTCCTTCAGCTTGGATTCCAGCCGCTGTTCGACAAGTCCACGCGCCACAAACAAGGACTCACGGTTCCAGACGAACACGCTCTTCCGTCCTACGACTTTTATCAGTGGAGTGACGCACCTGTGGACGACGATGACGCAAAAATCCAGGACATGGTCGATCTTCGCCAGTTCGACCAGCTGTGCGAGGACGACAGTCTGGGAACAGAGCAGGGCTTCTGGAACTCGGATTTCGACGCCTTTTATGCTACCCATACGCCGGATCTCGACGTGCACCCGACGGGGTGGAACCTCCGATTTTTGAGCGTCTGCGAGGGCTCCTTGCTGCAGTATCTGAACGAAGAAACGAATTTGATCAATCCGAAGCTGCGGGTGGCGTCAAAGTACAGCTTTGAGAACTGGAGTCTCGAGGACCATTTTCTGCAGAAAATCAACTACCACCATTCGGGAGCACCTAGGTTGTGGTATTTTGTGCCCGTGAGCCAACGAGAAAAATTCGAGAAACTGCTACGGGAGAAAAGAGTCAACCGCGCGCAACTCAAGCACGAGCCGTTCAGACACTTTGTTGACGAGGGTGACTGTTTTGACGACACTTTCCTTATATCCCCGGCAGAGCTCAAGAGTCAGCAAATAGACGTTTTTGCCACGGTACAGTGTCCGGGCGAGCTGGTCATCAAATACCCACAGGTCTACTCGCTCTGTGTGTCGCTGGGCACGAGTGTTTGCGAGAGTGTGAATTTTGCCAGCCGATGCTGGTTGCAGAGCGCGGTGGCCAGCGTGGACTGGATGCGAAAACAGCTCATCATTCCTGCATTTTCCACCTTCAAATTACTTGTGAACGTGGCTACCAATTGCGACGACCGCGACACGCTAAGGGCGCTGGACCCGGTGCTGGAAGTCTTGATCGACAAGGAGATGGAGCAGCGAGAAAATATCCGGGGCTACCATTTCAAAGAGTCCTCCACGGGTACCGCTGTGGTGACAGAGGCCGATCTCGTCGAGGCGTTTCCTTCGTACGTGGTGGTGTATGACCGCAAGAAGCCGTCGGAGTCGCTATCGATGTCGGTGGCCAGGTTTCTGGACAAGTACAACCCGGAGAAGCACGATCTCAAGGTGGAATTCTGTGTGCAGGTTTCGGACGACGCTCTGCGCACGGCCCAGAAGCTACTCAAGACCAAACTCGTGACGGGCGCAGAGTGGCTGCACAAGTACCACGAGGTGATCGAAGGCTACGACAAGCCGTCCACGAAGCTCCTCAAGCCGCTGCTCCAGGAAGGAGAATCGATTTTCCACAGTCCCGATAAGCTGTCTTTGCAAGACACAGAGGCTTACGAGACGTACCGGCTGCTCAGAGAGTATTACCAGCAGACGGAGGAATGGGCCGCTCGGGCGACCAAGTTTCTGCAATTCAAGATATCGACCAGAATGCGTCAGCGAAAAGTGGACTACCACTCGGACAGAAAAAACTGGAACGAGCTGGAGGACCTGGAAAAGCTGATCAAGGAGATCCCGCAGCTGCCGATCTCGACGCCGGAAATGGACCAGCTGCTGGAGTACTCGACCGAGATCATCAAGTACAACGAGATGGTGGAGCAGGTGCTGGCCCGCCCGGACGAGAAAGAGCTCGAGAACCTGCACATTCTGGGCAGCTCGTTCGGAGTGAAGCTGAACTCGTTTATGCTTCTGGACCGCATTCTCAAGCGCAACGGATGGCTGAAGAAACTGGACGAGCTGGACCACTACTCCAGCGACACAGACGCGGTCGGGGCGCTGTTGGCGGAGGGCTACGAGCTGGCCGCCGTGGGCGACAAGGAGCTGTTTGAAAAACTGCACACGGTTTACGAGCAGGCGGTGCGGGCCAACGAGGAGCTGGCGGCAAACAGCGACGACGTGCACAAGTTGCAGATGCTGTACGACAAATACGAACAGCTGCCCCTCAACACGGCCGTTCGACAGAGCACGGTGGCGGCTCTTGACGAGTACGCGGCTCTGTACGCACAGCTGGAGCAGATCGCACACACGGTACAGCTGCGGTTCGGCGAGCTCGCGCAACCGGACGAGCTGCTGCGCATGATCGACTCGAACCTGCGCTACTTCGACGCCAGCTTCCAGCCCTCGCGGCCGCTGCTCCAGGAAATTACGCACAAGGTCGCGCGGTACCCTGCGCTGACGGCCGAGCACCAGACGCTGCAGTTCTACGAGCACCAGGTGGACGTGTGGTACGAGCAGCTGGTGCTGTATTTCGGGCTTACCAAGGTGAAAAAACTACGCAGCTACTTTGAGGAGTGGCAGCGGTTCGACGAGCAGGTATTTGCCGAGCCGCCCGACGGCTCCAGCTACTGCGTGTGCCGCATGCGTCACGAGAACGGCATCATGATCGAGTGCGAGGCGTGCGAGCAGTGGTTCCATTTCGGGTGTCTCGGGCTGCGCGACGAGGACGAGGCAGAAATCAGCGGCTTCCTGTGTCCGATCTGCGACGTGGACATGCGGTTCAAGTCGACGCGCTACCATCTGGACCAGGTGGAAAGAAAGCCGACGCTGGCGCAGCTGGTGGAGTTTGTCTACTGGTCCAACTCGCAGCTGACCGTGCTCCCGCCGGAGTACCGCAATATCCTGTGGATTCTGCGCAACTGCTACACATTCAAGCTGAGTATCTCGGACCTTCTGGAGAACGACCTGGCGGGGATCCGCCACGCGCTGCGCCGCATGGAGGGCTGTCGCGTCAACTTCGAGGAGGACCGCCGCGTGCTGCGCGCCAAAGTGGCCGAGCTGCTGCGCGCCGATCGACGCGTCGATGCAGCTGCGCCCGAGTCCCGGTGAAAAATTAAAAATTGTAGCAAATCCGATTAAGCACAGCACATCCATCCACCCCATGTACGCCCGTGTCTCGCTCGCCGCGCACCACCGCCCCGTGCTCCTGCGGCCCATATGGGCCCGGGCGCCGTTCAGCACGAGCACACGTGTCTGCCACGAGCACCAGCACTCGAGCAGCCCGCCCTCGACACCCCCAGTTCCATCCCAGTCGGGCTGGTCCAAGGTCAAGGACTTTTTCAACCCGCACCTCCCGATGTCGCATCTTGGCGGCCACTCCCACTCGCATGCGGCTCCGCACGTGCACTCCCACGGCGCCGACGCCTCGAAGCTCTACGACACCAAGGACTGGGCCAACGAGGGCGTCAAGATCACCTGGATAGGACTCGGAGTTAACGTCACCATGGCTATCTCCAAGTTTGCGGGCGGGCTCTATTTCCACTCGCAGGCGCTCATTGCCGACGCCGTGCACGCCGTCGGCGACCTTGTTTCCGACGTGCTCACGCTGTCCACCGTCAAGTACAGCAACAGGACCCCGAGCGAGCAGTATCCGTTTGGGTTCGGCAAGGTGGAGACGCTTGGTTCCTTCTTCGTGTCGGCCATTCTGCTGTACGCGGGGTTCCAGATCGGCTGGAGCTCGCTCATTGACATCTTGACGCCCGTCTTGCCGCACAGCGTCATGGACGCGCTGTCGTACTTGCCCGTCCACTCCCACTCCCACAGCCACACGCACGACGCAGGGCACGTGCACGACGCTGCGGCGCAGGCCGTCCAGACAGCAGACATCAACGCCGCGTGGCTGGCGCTGGCGTCCATCGCCGTCAAGGAGTGGCTGTTCCGCGCAACCCGCAACGTCGGCGCGCGGCTCAACTCAAAAGTGCTGATCGCCAACGCGTGGCACCATCGTGTCGACTCGCTCACGTCTGTTGTGGCGGTGCTCACCATCTCCTCGGGCTACTTCCTCAACATCTACTGGCTGGATTCCGTGGGCGGCCTCATCGTGTCGGTGCTGGTGATGAAGGTGGGCATTTCGGGGCTGTTCCAGTCGTTCAAGGAGCTCATCGACAAGGCGCTGCCATCGTCGGACCCGCGCTACCAGAGCCTGCGCGAGCTCACCGACGCACAGCTTGCCCGCGAAAACAGCAACCTCAAGGTGAAAAAACTGTCCGTGCTGCCCTCGGGCACCAACCTCAACGTGATCGTCGACGTCACGGCCAACCAGAAGGACTACACCAACCACCTCACCCTCGAGCAGATGAGCCACATCGGCGAGAGCCTGAAAAAACAGCTCAAGTTCAACCACGAAAACCTCAAGACCGTGTCGGTGCAATTTGTGCCGCACGAGGACAAACACTAGATTCTGTATTAAATGCTACTTTCTGAGCCGTTTTTCTTGCCGCCTTCTGCGACAAGACGTCCCGTAAACACGTCCATCTGCGCCGGGTCCACGCCAAAGCCCAGCTCGCCCGTGGTCACGTACACGTACAGCTTGTGCGCGGCGAAAAAAAGCGCAACTACAAACGCCCCCAGATACACCTTGAAGAACTTTTCCACGCTCGCAGCGCCCTCGACGGGCAGCACAGCGATCCACAGCTGCGCCACCAGCACCAACACGCCAAAACCAAAGCACACGTACGCACCCCACAGACCGGTGCGCGACACGTAGCACAGGTCACGTGCACTCTGCCCGTGCGCGGCAAGGCCGCTGCGGAAGCGGACCAGCGAGAACCCGATCGAGCACCACGTAAGCAGCGAGCTGAGCCCGGACAGCGCTAGCAGCCACGAAAACAGCACCTGTGCGCCGTTGCCGACCAGAGACACGTAGCTCAGACACCCGAACGCCAGCGTCACGCCGATGGCCACCATTGGCCGGCCCCCCTGGTCGACAAAGCCAAAGCACCGCGGCGCCATTCCCGCCTTGGCCAACGACACCAGCGTGCGCGAGGTGGCGTAGATCGCCGAGTTCCCCACCGACAGGATGGAAATCAGAATCGCCACGTTCATGATCGACGGGAGCACAGGAATGCCAGCGTTGCGGATTGCAATCACGAACGGCGAGCTGTTGGCGCTTCGTTTGCTGAGAGCCATGAGTCGCGGCTCGTTGTATGGCACCAGCAGCCCCACCAGCGTGAGAGAGCTGATGTAGAAGAACAAAATCCGCCAGAACACCTGTTTGGACGCCTTGGGGATCGACTTGATCGGGTTTGGTGTTTCTGCTGCACACAGGCCACACAGCTCTGTGCCACTAAAGCTGAAGGCCGCGGTGACAAACACGGCCACAATGCCCTTGAAGCCTGCTGGAGTGAACGGTCCGGGATCTTTCCAGTACCGGTCGAGAATGGCTGCGTGATGGGGCACTCCGCCGAACAGGATTACAAGTCCCGTGACCAGAAAGCCCAAAATAGCTGCGATTTTAGTCACCGAAAACAGCACCTCCGCAAGGCCGTAAATCCTCACCGGCAGCATGTTGATCAGGATCATCATGACGAAAAACGCCGTGATCAGGTAGCCGTCGCCGATTGGGAACCCGTCCCAGAACTTGAACGTGATGGACGCCGCGCTGAGCTCGAGCGGCAGCAGCACCAGCCACTGCATCACGTAGTTCCAGCTGATGGCAAACCCCCAGCTTGGGTCGATGAAGGTGGTGGCGTAGTAAGAGAACGCCCCGGGGACAGGGAAGTTGCACGCAAGCTCGGCCAGAGAGTGCACCATGCAGAACACCATGACCGAGATGAGCGAGTAGCAGATCAGGATGCCGCCGGGGCCACCGTCTCTGAGCGATTGGGCGGAGCCCAGGAACAGGCCCGTGCCGATAGACCCGCCCAGCGAGATCATCTGCATTTGGAACGAGCCGAGCTGGTGTTTCAGGGGCACGTCGACACCGTTGGTCACGGTGGCGGGTTTGAACGTGGCTAGTGTGCGGCGCAGCCAGCTGGTGGAGGTCTCTTGCTGCTCGAGCTCGACGACACTGATGCTTTTCTCTGGATCCATTGTTTTGGGCTAGCAAAGCCAACGTGTCGGTCTTATATAGCGCATTTGGTGATCTGTTCTGCTGAGGTGCTACCAATTTGAGATTCTAGTGATTTACACAGATATTGGCAGAAAAATAAAAAAAAAATAATTTAATCTCCCCAGCATGTCGCTCAACACCTTTGATGCAGAAACAGCAGACAACCTCGAGGATATCGAGAAGCAGTTTGCCGTCAAGGCCGTCCAGCAGATGGAAACGTACTGGAACCTGCTGCAGTCGATTCCCGGCAGCAAGCTCAAGCTGACCAAGTACGACGACGAGATCGTCGAGGAAGTGCTAAAAGACTTCCCGGAGTTTGGGTCCCCCGAGGGCGTTGCGAAGGTGAGCGAGGACGACATGAAGTCTGCTGCCGGCAAGGCTCGCTGGAGAAACTTTCTCAAGAAGTTCGAGAACAAGGTGCAGGACTACAACTTCGGCACGCTGCTTCGATCGGACGCCTCAAAGGAATACGACCAGCACGGAACTATATTTGTGGTGAGACTGCAATTCTACGCGATTGAGATTCTTAGAAACAGATACGGCTTGAACGACTGGGTGTGCCAAAAAAAATAAAAAAAAAAGACATAGATGATATTTTAATCCGTCGTATTATTATGGGTACACAATCCGCCTAGTTCATCTTCTTAACCAGGTCGTTGATGTAGTGCTCTCTGTTACCAGTAGATCCACCCTGGATGAAGTGCTGGAACTTTCTTCTGACACCCCAGCCGCCAGATGGGTTGGACAGCTTGAATGGCCACAGGAAGTTGTTGGCCTGCTTGAAGTTTGGACCAACGGTGTAGATCTCGTGAATCAGGTCCTCAATGGAGATGATACCGTATTTTCCGAGCGAAGCCTCAATGATGGCGTTGTCGGAGAGAGGAATTCTTTGCTTGTTGACCTTACCGTAACCTCTCTTGTAGATGAGGTGTCTGATGGTGGAGAGCGATGGGTAACCGTAAGCAACGTATGGCTCGACCAGCTTGATGAGCTCGGAAGTGGCCTTGGTGACCTTGACGAACACACCGGCGTTGATTTGGGTCAATCTCAGCAATTGCAACACCTTTCTTGGCTTTGGAGCAATCTTGTTAATACCCTTGATTCTGACGACAAAGACAAGCTTTGGCTCGGCCTCGACGTAGTACGAGCCGTTAGCCTTGGCCTCTCTCTTGGCAGCAATCAGAGCTCTCTCGGCGTCGGCGTATTCCTTGGTGTAAGCCTCGGTTCTCTTGAAGATAGCGGCTCTTTTTTCCTTGTTGGCCTAAAAAAGTTAGTAAGAATGGAAAAAAATTTCGACTTCCCAAATCAGTCCCGAAAGATGGTTAACTAACAAGCTTCATTGCCTAAGCTAGCCGTTTCAATAAAGGTTTTCATCAGCTGATGGGAAGTCTCAAAGCTTATACATACGGCCTTTCTTGCCTTCTTCTCGGCAGCGACCTGCTCAGCAGTCTTGGCAGCCTGCTTGGACTTCTTGATTTGAGATTCTGGTTTAGCAATTCTAAAGGTTAGTAGCGGGAATCCAGAGTAAGGCCTCTGGAGGTTGCACGTGTGAAACGCAATCTCTGCCACATTCCCCGCCAGGAACTGTCCCCAAAGAACATTCCCAGCCTGTAATGTCTCCAGAGAGAGGAGGTAAAGCCTGGCTCTCTTTGGCATCATTTTAGCTGCAATCGCTTTGCGCGATACGCAGCAGTACCACGTCCGAGGACATGAACAGGGTGTCAGCTGTATCCGGTACCGGATTACAGGGCGTTTGACAGTGAGATAAGTACGAGGAGTGCGGGCCTGCCGCATCGCTTGTAATAATCTCAAGACCACGCCGGAGGCGTGAGTGTCATGTCACAACAAGAACCGTCCAGATCCTTGCTCGTCAGCTATCAACATACGGAGCAGCCATTGTGTAGTTGGATGAGAATATTTTTTTTGAAAAATTTGAAGAGTGGTGAAAAAAAACACAGCAGACAGCTCTGCACGTGATACCAAAAAAGGGTACACAACCCTGTCGTCGCGTCGATGTTACACCCCAAATTAAAATCCAGGAACGGCAGCACAGAATCATAACAAGCCCGATGACCGAGGTTATGAGCCGTGGAGCGTTCCTTTCGAGTATGTAGGCCCCTTCCATACTAACACCCAGACGAGAAGGACTACAACCATGCTACCGACAAGCAGTACGAGATCCTAAGACAGAAGGCCGACAGAGCATACCAGCAGAAACAGCACTTCTCGAGCGAGTCGCAGCGCGCGTACAAGCAGGGAAACGGAGCTGCCGCAAAGGAGTTCTCGGAAAAGGCCAAGAAGTATGCCCAAGAAGCTGAAAACTATAACCGGCAGGCCGCAGAGTACGTGTTTAAGGAGAACAACCTGGACTCTGACTGCAACGACATCGACCTGCACGGTTTGTATGTGAGAGAAGCCCAGTATATCCTTAAACAACGTATCATCAACGGTATCAGCAGAAATGAGCACCATCTGGAGTGTATTGTCGGCAAAGGGCTACACTCCAAAAACGGCATAGCCAAGCTGAAGCCTGCTGTCGAGCAACTTTGCAACGAGGCCGGCCTGAAAAATTACATTAACCCAAAAAACACCGGTGTTTTGATCATTGAGCTGGCTGGCGCTCGAATTCCGGCCTCTTGGAGCGACATCAATCCAAACGGCATTGGCGCCATGAATGAGCACCAGAACGTTCCAGACGACGACCACGTCCAATTGCAAGGAGGACAGCCGTACCAGCAGCAACCGCAGTATCAACAACAACCGCAGTACCAGCAGCCAAATGCCCACCAGCAGTCTATGTTTGAGCAACTCAACACCCCGCAGAACCAAAAAATCGCTGTGCAAATCTTCAAAGCAATATGTGCTTGTCTTAAATAATGTATTTTAGATAGGTTATCAATCTAAATTGTGGGGGGGGCCGCTTGGCTAATCTTTACCAGCCACATCTGTGGCGCTGCATAGTGCTGTATTTATGTAGCGCAAAATCCGAGTGGCGAAAAACATTCCAGCTTATGGTTGCAAACAAGATAAGAGAGCTGATCTCGGCTACTCGAAGGTCTGCGCGGAACATCCGCCAGGCGCTCGATGACGTTGCCGAGCAGCTGGTCGCCAAACAGCGGCAACGACAGCTGGAATTACAGCTCGAACGCGTGCCGGTTCGAATTCCGACAAAGAGTCATCCTCTGGCCAACCGCAGAGCTCGCGGCGTCCAGTTTGGCGCTTTTGCCGGTTCTCAGCGCTATTATTCCACCTCACGCAGAGTGCCAGTACATTTCCGTGCGGTCTCAAGATCCTCTGTGTCGTCTGTCACCAGAAACATTGTATATCAGGTGCAGCCTTTTAGAGTTACATTCCGAGCCGGGTGCAACTATGCGCCTTCTTCACTATATTCCAATTTCGCCCGTCACAATGCGAGAATGTATTCCACCTACGGCCAGACCTTAACGTCACAGGCAGCACAGAATCTTTCGCAGGGACTCCGTGCCTCGTTTCTCAAGGGCCACGAGCTGCAAAGCAAGCTGATGGGAAGAGACTCCAACGGCTCGCAGAACGTCAACCAGCACTTTGTTGAGCACAACATGCAACTTGCCAGAGCCGAGAGTGAGGTGGAGGGCTGTGTTGTCGAGTTTAGTCTCAAGTGCCACGAGCGCGCACTGCCTAAGAAATTCCTCTTGGACGACGAGATTATGCAGGAGTTTGAAAACGCCTATCTTGTGAACGAGTTCCAGTACCGCATGCTGATATTGAACGACATCAAACGTTTGAAGGAGATCATAGGCGTGACTGTCATCGAACATCTGGAAGATAGGAACCTTATCCGATGTCATTTCCCCAATTGCGACGTACCCAAGATGGAGACCATGCTTGCCGAGTCTGGGATTCGAAGTGGCGTAGTCAAAGCCGTTGAGAGCCGCTCTGTATCTTTGTCTAGCGATGATGTTTACTCGCTCAGCTTCGACTCATGCGATTCCCCAGATTTTGACAATTTCGACGACTTTCTTTCCTCAGACTCTTCTGCTTCCGAAGACGATCCGCTCTTCTTTTTTGACGAGCATCCGGTGCTTTCCTCCAGTGAAGGTTTGGAATTTCTAGCGCCAGATATTCCTGTAAGTGAGATCTACAACGACATGGACGCAATTATCATGGTTGAGGACGGGACTAGGTAAGTTACATATGAATTGATTTTTGAATGAGACACGAAACCCGTGCACCACTCTTTAGTGTAAATAGATAAATAAATAAGTAGGTGTTTTCTTGTCAATTTATTTGGAGCTTGACTTCTGCTTCCCATGGCACGCAAGAAGAACAGAAAGCAAAAGATGTCGGGCAGCGAGGGCACCGGAAATCCTACAAACGAAATCGAAACCGCCACTTTTGAGCGTCCCCAAGAAGAGGATAATGAGACAAAAGAATCGCAAGAGTCCCAGGAACTCAATGCTGAGACCGAGTTGGAAGATGCGGGACCGGAAGAGAGTGGTAGGCAGAATGATGGCGAGTCTGCGGCTGATTCAAAGCAAGACTCAGAGGCCGAGTCTCACGACAAGTTCAACGACGCTTCTGGTGTCACTCATTCGAGCAATGAGACCAAGGATGCCGATGTTGAGCCTGAAGTTGCTCCTGTTGAAGACAGAGAAGACGAGTTGGAGGAATATCTGCCTGCGCCCACTGAAAATGACCAAACTAGTATGTCCACAGCTAAATCCGTCACAATGGAAAAAACAGATAGTTCGGTCAAAGATGATCCACAGAATTCCGCTTTGATAGCAGAAGCCGGCAGCTTATCCCCAGAGGTTACAACCGAGAAGTCTGTTGCAGAGGGCAAACCGGCAGCTCCAGAGCTTCCTCCTCGCGAGCTTCAGGAACCTGGGCATCGCGATGAAGAGCCTGTTGTGATAGCCTCTGACGACAACATTCCACAAGAACAGAATGGGGAGGAGAGACAGGATTCGGACTATTCAATGAAGAGGCCAGTGAAGACGCTGAGGAAATGGTTTGCGTTCAACATAAAGGGCCCAGAGGATTCCAATGATAACTTTAACGAAGTTATGAGCGAGCTTGCCGGCCCCCGGAATCAAAGTTTGGCATTTTCACGATACTGGGAGAATGTTGAGGACCTCAAATCGCAGTCCACCAAAGATCGCGAGCTGCTGAGTCAAGGTGCTAACGGGATCAAGAGAACCTTCAACGAAATCAAGACAGGAATTGAGTACACTAACGACGACGAGCTAGTAAAGAGAATAGACTGGGAATTTTGGTCCGAAGTGATTAATGATTATAGTTCTGTTCTTGAAAACAAATCAGAGGAGCTAATTGCCAATATCACGAAAGGAATACCGCGAGAGCTCCGCGGAATGGTGTGGCAGGTGATCTGCAATTCTAAGTCAATGGAACTGGAGGAATTCTTCCGTGCCAACCGCAATTGTGAGAGTCAGTACCAGAAACTGATCAAGAGAGATTTGGCAAGAACGAGTTTTGTGACTAATAGCGCTGTCAGAACGAAAATTGTCGACCTGTACGAGATCATTAAGGTGTACAGCATATATGACAAGGAGGTGGGCTATACTCAGGGAATGGCATTTATCACGGTTCCTTTACTCATGAACATGGAAGCCAGTGAGGCATTCTGCATGCTAGTGAAACTCATGAACACATACGACTTCAAGCAGCTCTTTGTGCCTCAAATGCCTGGACTCCACTTGAAACTGTACCAGTTTGACAGACTCATGGAAGACAAGCTGCCTGAACTGTATTTGCATTTAAAACGAGAAGGTGTGAGGTCCTCGATGTATGCCACCCAATGGTTTTTGACAGTATTTGGCTACAAGTTCCCATTGGAAATGGTGTTGCGCATATACGATATTGTCATTGCCGAAGGTATTGAGTCCCTTCTCAAATTTGCTATCAACCTGATGATGAAAAACCAAAAAGAGCTGCTGGAATTGAGTTTCGATGACTTGCTACCATTTTTGAAAGACAAATTATTTTTCTACTACGTTGACAACAGCGGTGACGATAACGCACGAAGAACGCTGGCAGATGGCTATTCAAACAGAGAAATCTCCATTGATACGTACAAACTTGAAGATTTTGTGGCCGACTCAATGGCCATCAACATCCTCCCTGTGAATCTTAAAAGATACGAGGCAGAGTTTCTCGAAATCCACAAGCTTGAAGGCGAGATGGAAACCGAAATTTCACAGCTCAAGACAAGAAATGGCCAGCTTTTGCGAGACATAAGGAATATCGAGGCAGCATATGCTACCCTTAATCGGGAGCACGTAGAAATTGCCAACGAAATGGTGCAAGGAAAAATGGAAATTGCTCATTTGCAGGACGAAAATAGGCAACTTCAGGAACAGATCGACGAACTAACAGAGAGGCTTCAAAGGCTGGAGAACCAAAACGACACGAACGTCGACTTTACCGGCGAGATTTCCAATAACATGAATATGGAAATCCAAAAGACCATGGAAAGAAATCTCGAGGTTATGGAGGAAAATCGGTTGTTGGAGGAACAACTCGCGTCGGTCACGAAGGAGCTTGCCGACATAAAGGCCGAGATCAGCGAAGCGAAGGGCAAGTGGTTCAAGAAGGGTGGCTTTTGGTAATGCGTATAGAGGCAAAATACATCTTTACACGGAGACAAAAATACATTGAAAAATACAGTAATTTGTTGCTAGCAAAAAAGTGTGTGCGTTAACATGATTTTGGCGCTCAGAAATGCTATCAACGGCGCGAGGGCCTTTTCTAGCACAGCAAACACACTGGGTCGCAACTATAGACATGTGGTTGATCGCCAACTGAAGAAGAAAGTGGAATACAAAGTTGGTGATTTGAAGCCAAGAAACTTGAGAATCCCTTCTGAACCACCTAAGTATCCGCCCTACCCCTACGGGGAGTCTCCTATTTTTAAAAGAAGTAATCGCGGACTGTTTGGTGGTCAGTTCATCGTTTTTGGAAACAAAGTCTCGGAACATAAAAACAGGGCACGCAGAACATGGCTTCCGAACGTGGTGAAGAAAAAACTATGGTCCGAGGCTCTGAACAAATTGGTGCCTCTTAAGCTGACTGCACGTGTTTTGAGAACAATCACAAAGGAGGGAGGTCTGGATAACTATCTCACGAAGGATAAGAAAGCTAGAATCAAGGAATTAGGTCCTTTCGGATGGAGACTCAGATACGATGTCTTGATGGCCCAGGAACGTGCCAAAAAAGCTAGCGTGAAGAACTACGAGGTGTTGAGTGACGCGAATGGAAACGAGATTAAAGTATACTTCAAAGGAACGTACAACGGAGAGTCGGTTTCTTTGTTGGTTGGCAGAAGAAAGCTTCTACAGAAACTGTATCCCTTGGTGAAGCTGCACACGCCAGGAAACCTCAGATATGCCGCATTCAACAACAGACGCAAGAACGCACCTTTTGACGAGCTTCTCAAAGAGTTAGAGCACTACAAGGTGGACCTGAGCGACGTTATCGTGAAATAGATCATATGTACATAGACATCCGTACACGGAAAGTATCACAATATTATGTGATGACAAAATTTCACAGTCACGGACAGTGGTGTAGGGGGTAGCGTTCAAGGGGTGGTTCAAATTCGTCAGAAACCCGTACTGTAGGATGGCAGACATTGGTACTGAATATGAAAATTTTCACAGAAATTGAAAGAATACACTTTACACATCGAAATGGCTAAGTCTGGTACGTATAATTAGACACATAAGAGAGACACCAGAACGCCGAGTTGATGCGAAAGACATTGGGATCACTTCATAGGCCAGCTGGATTTGGATACCGACTATACAGACAGAGACTCATTGAATAAGACGATCAACCTCAGGGTAATCAAGACAGCTTCCATCCCAAAACCAGAATCCACGAACGCCATACAACAACTTTCCATCAGAAACGTTTTGCTGTCTTTCAAGCACAGTTTCGTACTAACCCTCAGGTATCGCTGCTGGTTTGAACAAAGGTCACAAGGTTGAGGCCAAGGAAGTTGCTCCAAAGATTTCCTACAGAAAGGGCGCTCTATCCAAGAGAACTGCTTTCGTGAGATCTCTCGTCAGAGAAGTCGCTGGTCTCGCCCCATACGAAAGAAGAGTCATCGAGCTCATCAGAAACGCTGGTGAGAAGAGAGCCAAGAAGCTCGCCAAGAAGAGACTCGGTACTCAGAAGAGAGCTAAGGCCAAGGTTGAGGAGATGAACAAGATCATTGCTGAATCTAGAAGACACTAATTGCACAGTATTTGATACGAGCTAATAAAATATAGTATGTGGTGCGAGGAGTAGTTTACAAACCGTTTAGCCTTTGGCGATCCGGGTGTGAGTCTTGCCAAGGAAAATTCTGTAGACGTGGGAGATTAAGGCCACATGTTTAAAGCCGTTAGGACGCGCAGCTTGCGTTTCTACTCTGACAATCACCCTCCCTCGTACTTCAGGAACCCGGCGGAACCGCCCAAGACGCTGGAAGAGCTGCGACGGCCAGCGATGGGACTGCCAGAGACCCAGATCTCCAGCTCTCAAAAGCTGAAAAATCTCGGGATCGGGTTTGGGATCGGGTTCGCGTCGCTCACCATCAGTGTCACGCTGGGCATCCTGCTGTACGAGCTGCTGGAGAAGCTGAAGGAGAACGAGAGACAGCTTGCCTTACTCCGCAAGAACCAGAAGGAGATGCTCATCCAGATGCAGAACTACAAGAAGAAGATCACACTTGCCTCGGTGGAAAATTCCAAGAAACATATGATGACCCAGGGCAAGATGCAAATGCACATAGCACTACTGAGACAGCAATTGATAGACCAAGGCATCGATCCGGTGAGCATCGACGAGGCTATAGAAAAGTTCGAAGAGAATGTCCGCATGGAAACCACACCCACCACGATCAACCTGTGGGTTCCAGGAGAATCTCGTTTGAAATCACTAATACCGGACGCTCACGAATATACCAAAAATAAATGAAATAGGGGTATAAAAGGAAAATTTTCGCATAAGAAAGTTGTTTTTCTAAAAAATGTCTTAACTCAAAGGCGCCCATTAGAGTCACAGGATATGGTTGTCAGTTCATATTTTGTGCTCGGGTTAGCCTAAGATCATCGTGTTTACACCGCCATTCAAACGAAGTCAGGCTTTACCGGCTCCGTGTGGTCCAAAACATACATCTACCTCACCAACTCTGCGTCCAATTTTTCCTGCGTGCGTTGCTGTACTTTCAACGCAAGCAGTCGAGGGATCGGACAGCAGGGCGATCTCGCGTCCTGACCATTTTCTTCGTAGAATTTTGTGCAGCACTCGTACAACTGGTCTATCAGTTTAGTGCATCTTGACTCGTTGTAGTTGTTTGCTTTGAGACAATCTGTGACGTTAGTCCGGCTCGATGCCTGGTCTACTCACCTTGGATGGCGCAGGCTTGTGGTTTGCAAGGGTCTCCGCAAGAACTCATGTATTAATTGTCCTGGCTAGTTGCTCAGTTATATACTATTTTTCAGGTCGTGCGCCGCCTCTTTTGACCAAGGGGAAATTGATGGGTCCTATTTAAGGGGCTAAGAGGGAAAAAACAATTGTTTGGCCTATCTCTTTCCGCAATTTCCAAGAATCATGTCCGAAGATGTGCCTGAAGAGCTTTCGTCGGCCGTCTCAAGCCAGTCCTCCATCATAAAGCCTAGCATTCTGCCCTCAGACACACGGTTTTTCACTTTCAAGATATTTGGCGGAGCTGGTCATAATCCTGCGCCCATCAAACTCGAGGATGTGATTGTGGCTGGGTCGAACTTGGAGCTTCTAGCAAACGCAAACACGTGGGGGTTGCTACAGTTTAGATTACGGCGGCAATCACTCAAGAGATTGCATCAACTCTATGGTTTATTACTTGATCTATGGAGCTGGGTCCAATGGACGCTGCTAATCTTGGATGTGTACTTTTGGTGGCTTGTCTACTCTCTAGGAATTTTCACCTCGTCTGTGGATAAACAGTTGGAGCCTGGAACTGCGTTTCCTCAGATGTCCAACGAACCTCCATCTAGAGTTAGGAGAATATTGCAGTTACGTACCACAATTGGCAACCACGCACTAGCGCACTCGCTGGCAACAAGCATACCAAAGAGCCAACTGAGGGTCAGACAAGCACTGGCAGGGAAACGGGTCCCCAAACATTTGATGGTCATCTACGAATTGAATCCGTTGGTTGTCCCCCCTCCCAGAGAATTGCCCACTCCTTACTTGACGGCCGAAAAAAAGATTGTGGTCCCCGATAAAAAAGTGATTTCCCAGGTGCTATCGGAGAGAGCCGAGTGGGCAGCGGCTCATCATACGCACAAGGCCTCAGAGGTTATGAGAGTATGTGCGGAATCTGCGAGGCTGGCCTCATGGGCGCTATTCTCAGGAGTGAAGTACCTCACGCTCTACGAAAGAAGTGGCAACCCGTGGAAAAATTTGGAGAGACTGGGGTCAATGATTCAGGCAGAGATATCAGCATTGAGTGACACCGATTCTTTGAAGAAGACCTGGATTAAGCTGGTAAGAGTAAACAACGCCGAAACCATTACAATAGAGAACAACGAGATACACCATGAATCGCCGGACAGATCATCAGGCGAGGAGAGTGGGCTTGCAAAAATACAGCCGGCACCGGCCAGCTCGCAGCTGGAATCGGCCCAAATCTCAGAGACTTATAGTGCTGGGGACGGACTGACGATTATGTTGGTGAGTGAGGAAGATGGTGGGCAGAGAATGGCAAAGATGGTCAGAAAGTTTGTGCAATTCAATGGCAACGTGTCTGACGTAGAGTCGTATGTAGATAAGGAGCTGGCTGTGCTGGATTCGCCGGAACTGATCATAAAGTTTGCCAGAAGACGCGGAATGCCACAGTCTCTAAGTGGGGCGCCAATCTACAACTTTGAGAACCGTCCGTTGTTTGCAGTCTCACGGGACCACACCAACTTCCCTTTCTTCATAAAAGCTGTCGACTTATACTCGCAAGCCACAGCTAAAAAGGAATAACTTTCTGCACAGCCGTAAATATTAGATGTCCTTATCGCAAACTCTATTTGCCTTCTAATTATTATCCCTTTTTTAACCATGTCTGCGAATTTGGTTGCCGAGCCAAAAGTAAATTCCTTTGAGTTTGTGAATCCCGAGGACACATATGCTTATCGCGAGATCAACTTGGAGTCTTCTATCTTCAATGAGGCTGGGGAGTCATTATCGCCCTCTCTAATAATTGGGAGAGCGAGTCACAAAGGCGAGAAGTCAGAAAGACAGGAGAGGCAGGACAATTTTCTTGTTAATGACGCTGCTGTGAGTGCCAATCACATTCTAGGCTATGTGACTCCTGTTAGCGACAGCGAAAAATCAGCAATCTATATCAAAGACGTTTCCCAGCACGGGTCTTACTTGCTACGCTACGGTACATCGGATGCTTTAAGATTGAAGAAGAATGGGGGCCGCATTATGCTGCGCAATGGCGATATCATCGGGCTTGTTGTTCTTGGCAAGTGCCGAGTCGATGATCCATTCGAGATATTTAGATGCACCAAAGTGCAATTCCAAGTGGTGACAGACTACCGAACAAGACTGCGTGCCGTTCGGCTCAACCGCAACGAGTATATGAAGCTGGCTAGTGAGAAGCCCGAAGAGGATTTGTGGGATTGGACATTTACCAATTTGACCAAGAACGAGGTCGCGTTTGGAGGACTCAAGAACGAGCATTTGGAAGCGCTCTGTGACATGTGCAAGACGTCTGAGCCGCGAATAATCGAGTCCAGATACATTGATATAGACCCTGAGGACTTTCATGAAGAGGTCTCAGACTCAGGGAGTGAGATGGAGCGCGGATGTGCGGAACATGAGACAGGTTTCTGGGTCCACGGTTTATCAGATTCTGACAGCGAGGAGACGCCTAGCGAGGAGTTTGACTCTGACCACATAGTTGAGCTTGTGTGTGAGGAAAGCTGCAACCTGTTCAGCAGCAACGAGCAAGACTCGGACTCTGCTCCTGAAGAAGAGGCCATTCTCAAGGAAGTGATTGCCGAACACGTGGAAATTGCGTCTGAACCAGAAAAGGAGCCCGAGATCAAGATTGAGTCGGACATGGAGGAGCGCTCGTGCAGAAAAAGATCGATCTCCGACGCGGCTGTCACTGTGTACGAGATCCAAGAGCAGGAACCAGTGAAGAAAACCAAGAAAGTGCAGGCCAAGCCGTTTCTGGCAGGCCTTGCGTTTGGCTCGGCACTGACGTTTGGTGCCCTTTCCGTGTTCGGATCGTACATTGAATAAATGATACCCAGAATGTTATGTTGTTGCTATTTTGTCTATTATATCAAACTATGTCCGTGTTTTTTATAATTATCGACTTCCAGTTGGATTTGAGCACAATGGCTAATTCGCCCAGCGAGAGTGCGCCCACGCCCACTGCAAGCCCTAACCACAGCCCGAACACGTTCATGTTCCAGCTGAACGCCATAAGCACCTCGAAAGGCGTGGCTATTAGATAGTAGCATACCATGCTGAGCAGCGATCCAATCCGCTGCCTGCCCTGGCTTCGTAGGATGGCTGCGCAGATGACGTTGATACAGTCCAGAAACTGGTTGAAGGCAACCACCAGGAACAGCTTGCTGGCGTTGGCAACGAGTTCTGGATCATTGGTGAACAGCTTGGTGAGTCTGGTTCTGAATAGCGCCATCCAGCAGAAATTGAAAACACTAAGGAAGCAGGCCGCAAACAGTGACACGGCAACGGCAATCTTGTAGTTTTCGGACTTGGCTCCGATGATGTTGGCCAGCCGTGTAGAGCAGCAGATACCGACTGAGAACGGGATCTGGAAGCCGAACGACGCGACGGTTGAGACGATCGACTGCGAGGCCAGTTCCAGCGAGCTGAACTTTGCCGACAGAAACGTGATCACTTGGAACGCAAAAGCCTCCGACAGGATCATGAGAACGCCGGGAAGGCCCAGAAAAAAGAACGGGGCCCATTCGGAGGTGAGCTGGCGGAAGGTGGTGTCATAGTGCCAGCATTGGTACCCGTCGATGAACCAGATGTAAAGGCATAGAGAAGTGGCAATCAGCCAGTAGGTTGACACAAATGCTAGCGGAGGTGCCAAAAACCCGATTTGGGGAATCAACAGATGGTTCAGTGCGACGCTGACGGGCACAGCGAGGAATATTATTCTAGTGGGGGCACTGAACTTGTTCTGCGACTGGAGATATCTTTTGGAACACTCAAACGTCACAATAGCAGGAATGGCAAAGGGCATCACACGGAGATATTGCGCACACAGGCTGGCCAACGTTTCATCTCGAGTGACCATAAAGATAGCCGATTCGGCATTTAGCCAGAATAAGCCACTTGGAATCAAAATTAGCATCAGAATCACAGTACAACGTTGGTAATACAGTCCCACTTTGGGGTAGCTGCCTGCTCCAAAAGCTGTGGAGCACAAAGTGTCCATGGATGTGGAAAATCCGTTCACTATCACAGGTCCTGTGACGTAGAACGTAGTGAGTGATAAGGAGCATGCCGAGAGATACGTCTCCCCGAGCCTGCTCGAGAAGTAGATAGGAATCATTATCTGGAAAAGATACTGGAACACGAAGGTCAGAAGCACTGGAATTGAATTGGTAACCACATATCGAGCCTCATTGGAAAACGTGGTGTCTGCGGGCGAAAGCTTGAGTGCATCGGGCTCCTGCGTGTACAGCGTCGCGGGAGATACAGAAACCAGCGGCGACGATTCATCAGGCGTCTTGGACGACATAGTGGACTGGGGTGCAGATGGAAGAACGAATTTTTTAGCGGATAAGATTTAGTGCCGCTAGATAACGGTATCTGGTGCAGAGGTGGCGGAAGCAGACGCTAATAGTGGAATGGCGTCAGATCCGAAAGGAGGGGAGAACAATGAACAAAGATAGTGGCTTATGGGCTGTGCCTCGGTTCAGGGGATGAGGTGCAAGAATACCTTGACTTGAACGAACTTTTGGTTTTTAAGAAATATCTATAATAAAATCAATAATAATCGGTGAATAATAAGTATGGTGTAGTTGAGGGTCCATGGGCGAATACGCCAGGCTATTGAGAAGGATGCCGAGCACATTCTCTGAGTTTATCATTACCAGCACATTTGAATTATATGTTTATATGACGCAGCCAGTGCTGGTAAAGCTCCCCCCCTTTTGTGCTACCACCGGTTTAATTTTTCCCAAAATAATTATTTTATTCAATGAGTTCGCCGTTTTCTGGAAGAGCTGGCTTGCGGTCACCGCGCAAGAAGCGGCTGGAGGACGAGGATCTGCGGCTAGCAAAACTGCGCAGTCCCGCCAAGCGGTCGATGGCGGAGCTCAATCGCGCGGCAGTGGAGCGGGCCACGCGACTCAAACTGGAGTCTCTGCAGGACGACGAGGGAGAGATCGACGCCGAGGAGATGGCTCTGGCAGACCGAATAATTGCCGAGAGCAAGAAGGATGGGCTGACTCCTTTGGAGCTGGAAGAGAGCGAGCACGAAAGCGGCGAGGAGTCGGTCAGCGAGTTCGAGGACGATCCGATGGAGGAAATTGACGATGGTGTTTCAGACGACGAGTTCAGTGGAAAGCGAATATGGCGTCCACGCAGGGCTGCCCAAAAAGCGTCTCGCGCTTCCAGAACGCCAGAAGCGAGCGTGGTGCCGCTCAAGGAAACCGACCTTAAGCCGCTACAAATGAGCACGGTAAAGCTAATGGAAATTCCCAAGATCGACAGAACCGAGGATCTGCTGCTGAACTTTGCGGACGAGGAAAAGTCGCTTTTCTACGACGGCCACGAGGGCTACTTTGAGCAGCAAAAGCTGAAAAACAAGAAGCCCGGCACGGCGTCCATGGCTCTGGCTCCCGAGCTCAATTACGAGGAGTATGAAAAATACAGCAGAATCCTGGAAATGTCTGCTGAGCATCAGATAGAAAAATTGAGCAATTACTACCGGCTCCAGTTTCTGCAGTGGACGTTTGAGCTGCAGCAGGGCTTCAATCTGGTTTTCTACGGTGTTGGCTCAAAACGTCTTCTGGTGCTTGAGTTCTTGCAGCAACATTTTCTGCCCGCGGTGCCCGGTGCAAAGTGTCTGGTTGTCAACGGGTACAACCCAGACTTCCGTCCCAAGACGCTCCTGTCGATGATCCAGGAGACCGTACTCGGGGTAAAGAATCCCATAGCACCACATATTCACGAAACACTGTCCAACATTAAGCAGAACTTCGCACAGAACCGTGACCTTAGGTGTGTCCTGCTGGTGAACAACATTGACGGCGAGGCGCTGCGCACGGACAGAATGCAGCAGATTTTGAGCGAGATCGCTGCCATTGAGCAGGTGCATTTTCTGTGCACCATGGACAATCTGAACATGCCTATTTTCTGGAACTCCAGCATGCATTACAACTTTAACTTCATCTGGCATAACATTACCACATATCAATCGTACAAAATCGAGAACGGGTTCAAGGACCCGCTCGGACTGGGCAAGAGCAACAAATTTGTTGGCACGCAGGGTGTCAAGTACGTTTTGAGCTCGCTCACGGCCAACGCCAAGAACCTGTACCGGCTGCTTATTTTGCAGCAGCTGGAGAAAATCGATCTGAGCGTGAGCCACGACGACCTCGACAAGAGAGGCGCCACAAAGGGCAGCACCAGATACAGCCTGCTGCTCAAGGAGTTCTACCAACAGTGTTTGTCGGAATTTATTACTTCCAGCGAGATATCTTTCCGCACGGTTCTAGGAGAGTTTGTGGAGCACAAAATGTGTACGCTCACGAAAAACTCTGCCGGAGCGGAAATCTTGTACGTTCCGTTCACGGTCGACGAGATGGAGAAGCTGCTGGAAGAGCAATTTGTATAATTAGCTGTGTTTTTTGAACTGGAACTTCGACCGACACAGTGGACATGTAGATGAGCCAGAGCTCTTGAACCATCTGTACAAACAGGCCGAGTGGAAGTTGTGTTTGCACGTCGGACAGACTTTGTTTGGCGTCGAATGGTCGATCACGTGGACGATCGAGTAGCACACGGCACAGTCGTCGTAGTTGTCGAAGTTGGCCTTGACGTTGTTCTTGAAATGCTGGATGGCCTCTAAAATGGTGCCGTTCTGGAAGTTGATCACGTATTGGCACGAGAGGATCCACGATTTCCATTTTTTCTCGTCCACCCCGATCCTTGCTGTTCCGTTCACGCTGATCGTTGACAACGGGTAATTTTTCGGCAAGACAATCGACATCTCCAGTTTCTGCTCGTCGATCTCGTACACGCAGCGCACCTCGTTCGTCGTTCTGTTGAGCCGAATACTAAACTCTGGGTCCTCAATACTGTCCTTTTTCTCGAGTCCCGCAAGCGTCTCGTCGATCAGCAACGGACTCACGTTCTTGACAATGAAAGTTTCAACTTGCAACTTGTGCTGCTTGTTCCTGATCGACTGGAACCAGGTCTGGACAGTGTTCCCGCCAATGTACTTGCAAACCAGATACATCAGATGGTATAGCAGGTCGTCGCCGTCACTATCGATGACGGAGTACTCCACCAGTGCGCGTCGGTTGTCCTCTGTAGGCTTGAGGTCCATATCGAACAAAAAGTCCAGGAACTGGCCCGTACGGTCTTCGCCGAGCTCCAGGATGTAGTCCTGGCGAATTTTCTGTGTGATGTTTTTGAAATGGTCGAAAATCAGGTACCAGCTCCACAAATATTTATTGGTTGCAATTTCGCTTTCGTCTGGTAGCAGCACGATATTTTCGAGCAACAGCGCCGGAAGTTTTGTTTCTTCGTCCTGGTTCAACGTCGCCTCTACGACGAGCACGTCTTGCAGCTCCGGAATGACTTTATGCAGGAGGAAAACGGCCAATTTCTGCACCTGTGTGTTGGAAGAGGAGAGCAGCACGAGCAGGTCGTCAAATCGCTTCTTGTAAGCTGCTGTTGGCACCTGGTCTCTGAAAACACGTGTCAGCAGAGCCAGCATAAGCTGACCGGTCTGGCCGGACACAGGAGCAAACAATAGCTCCACCAGGTCCGCATAGACATCTTCCTCATCCCAATCGATCTGATGCTCATGAAGCACGCCAAAAAGTTTGAGCGAGAAGCATGCGAGGGCGGAGTCGTTACCGCCCGAGTTGACAATGCTTAGCGACTCTGAGCACAGCGTGGCACCTAGTGCAAATACCTTCTCACTAAAATCGGACGGGTAGTTGACGTCGCAAACGCAATAAATCTTCTTGATGTAGATCTCAACAAATTGGCACAGCGCAATTCTGACCGGCACAAACGACGGCTCGTACGCGTCTTCCGATTCTGGCCAGGTGGCTAATCCGTTCAGCATCATGCCGAATCTCTGGGCCGGAAAAAGCTGAACGTTTTCGCCAACAGTGTCCAGATCTAGGTCTATAAGCATGTTGAGCATGACGAGGCCCTGTAGGCCATTGGTGGTGACGGTTTGTCCGCGAATTCGTAAAAGATCGGCGCACGCCTGGTTGCGCACACGGTCAAATGCGGGGGCAGTCAGGAATCTATTGGCGCTGGTGGCTAGGATGGCTAGTCTCACGGGGTCGGACACCCTATTCAACTCGTAGCTGTTGAATGTCGACAATTGCATGGTTTCGAACAATTTCGTAAATATCGTGACCAGAACGCGTGCAGCGTAGAAGCGTATCGCAGCAGAGGACTGAAGATGTGCCAGAACGCCCGAAAAATCGTCCTTCAAAAACTGCTCGAACAGATCTATGTCGAAATTTAGCTCGGCACAAACGCGTGAGCAGAAATCGAAAGTTCGGTTTTCCTCATCCAAAAGACCTAGAAACACGTAGTCCATAGCAACTTCACCTACAACAGCCAGCTGAAACGCCAGCTCGCAGGTGAGAAGCCCCGTCCTGGAAGCCAATCCGAAATAGAATTCGATCTTCTCCAAAAAGGGTGCAAAACGGTCTGCGGCAGTCAGCTCCCCTGCTGGAAAAAGATAAACCCCCAGTCCCAGCTTATTTGAGACAACAAGACGGTGGTCCACATTCTGGACCAGCTCAGCCAGCTCGTCAACCACATTTTCCGGTAGCATTTTTGAGACAAGCTGCGGTTTGGCAGCCAGTCTCTCCAGAAGTGCGGTTCTGTCAGCCTCGCCCACAGAGCTCACAAGCGACGAGATGTACAGCTGCTCGAAACCGTGGTCGTCAAGGTTTTGCTCAAGTTTGTCCAACAACGAGTCGACCTCAGCACTGCCCACCCGTTTCCAGAGCAAAGCCAAGAACTTTTCGTCTGCAAACGCAAGAAAAACGTCGTTCTGGTAGTGCCGGTTGCACTTCTCCAGAAACACCGCCGTGTCGGCATCAGAGAGCTTTCTGAACATGTTCCGAAGAACATCTGGCGTGAGGAACTGAAACACGTAGTCGTCGGTGTCGGGCGCGGCAGAGTCGGATTTCTGGTGGATATAGGTGCTGACTTTGTCGCATCTGGCAGGATCGAAGCCGGGAATGTCAGCAATGTACTTTAAAAACAGCTCCATGTCATTGCTGCTGAGTTTTGCGGCAATGTCGTTGACGGCGTCGTAAACATCCACATTCAACTGGGACTTTGCGATGTCTACCAGCAGAGCAAAGACAGGCTCCAGGAACGTCGGCGTGACGACTTTCGACGCGTCGCCGACGAACGACTCAATCTGCGAGCGGAACTGCACACTGTTCGTCCGCACGACGCTCTCGATGACAAAAATCGCCAGCGAGGGTGGCACGTACTCGTCCTGCAAATCTGTGAGCGACTCGACCGCGTTGGAAACCAGCTCCTCGAGCAGATAGGAGCCGACGTGGAGCAGGAGGCGCGCATAGTTGTCGACGAACACAGCCGTGTTTTTCACGACTAGACCGAGGTCTACAAATTCCACGGCGCGACCCGGCAGAGCGTTGAGGATCTCAGAATTGAGATCTAGCAGCACGTCGCCGTCGTCCTCGACAATATTGGCAACGCCGGCCATCCCAGAAATCACATTGGCGGGGAGTTTGCGCGAATCCAATGCCGGAACTAGCACTTTGAGCACGCGGTCGACACCACAGGCATTTCTCTCGCAGTAGCCGAGGTAGCAGATCCATGCGTGTTGACAAAAAACGGCATGTTTTTCAGACATGACGTCGTTCTCAAGGATCTCTAGCAACGAGCTTCTGTTCTCGTCCTCCTGGGGCAGCAGCGGCAGCAGCGTAGCCACCACCGAGTAGTAGTGCGGATCCGAGTTCAGAGAGCCCAAACGCAGCAATTCGAGGATGCGTTGGGTCGCCTTTCTGATGCCAACGATAGTATGCGAGTCCTTTTTAAGCAACGCGACGACGGCTTCAAGCATAGGAATTATGATGCCGGAGTAAAGAGCCGTATTTTTTTTCTCCAGATTTAGACCCCTGATAGCAGCTTTGGCAAGGCGTTCGAACAGCAAACCGTCCAGCCCAGTCTGTAGTAGTCGCTGGAGCAACGTGTACATGCCACCTTTGATCTGGAGGTCTTTGGACTCGAAAAACGAGATAAATTGGTCGGATTCAAGCAGCTCTGATAAAAGCGTCTCGTCGAGCTGTATTTCGCCGCTATTCTGTCTGGTAACCAGACTGATCAGCATCTGCACTCCTGCGTGCACCGTACGCAAATACTTGATCTCACTCTCTTCCTTGCCAACAAATCGCTCGTCCGAAAGCGTATCTATAGTCTCGAAAAGAAGCAGCTGGTGGCAATAGTTGAGTAATTGCTGGGCAAAGATTTTCCACAAATTGTTGGTTTTCACCGGAGAGTCTCCGAAAGCTGCGGAAATTGACGCCATAGTGCCCTTGGAAACAACACGGTCATTCTCAAAACACCCGCTCATCCAGATCCCCACCGTGTCGCGCAGATACTTTACGTATTTCTTGCCGAGAAGCGCCACCAGCTTCGACTGGATCTGATGCGCGGTGAGTCTAACCTTTTTCGAATTGTCTGTTGACAGCTTTGCGTACAGCTGGCACCATGATATAAGCACAAGCTCGTCCTGCAATTCGGCGCCGTTGGAGTCGACAATCGAGTACAGATCGACAATTGCCTTTTCTCTTGTGGTATCGTCTCTCTTCAGAAGGGCCTTGAATACGAGCTTGAGCTTTGCGGAGGATAGAAGATTCGGGTCTGGCACGCCCGTGATGTAGTTGAGCGAGACCTCATAGCCATTACTGCCGAGTCCCTGGGACTGCCCAAACGATCCAAACGAACGAAATGACATATTCAAGTTTTTTTCCTGAAAAATTAAATCAAATATATTCCGGAGAAACCGTCGACACTCAAGCCCTGCGCCGACAGCCGTTTCAAATTATTTGCAGTCGACAAGATTGGCGATTCCTCATGCAGTAAAAAATAAACATCCCCCCTGTTTACAATAAATAAAAGTTTCTTCCTCACATCGGTCACAAGACCTGCCATAGCTTCCCTCATTTGCATCTCAGAAACATGGCCCGCAAAATTGCCATTGAAGCTATAGAATTTCTCAAAGGCAGAGTGTATCTCGGCAGCTACGACTACCATCCTCAAAACACAGATGACTTGGTATTCTTCACTGTCGAGGATGCTCTGCCGTACAACGCATTCCATCTGGACTTTGGCCCCTTGCATATTGGTCATCTATACAGGTTCGCGGTCACTTTGCACAACATTTTGAACGACAGTGCCAACAAAAGTAAGGCTGTTGTCTTCTACTCCTCTACCGGCGCAAAACAAAGAACTAATGCCGCTTGTCTCCTGTGTTGCTACATGGTGCTTGTCCAGAACTGGTCGCCGCACCAGGTACTCCAACCAATTGCCCAACAGGAACCTCCGTTCTGTGGCTTCAGAGATGCGGGATACTCCAACGCCGATTTCGAGCTCGCCATCCAGGATGTCGTGTACGGGGTCTGGCGGGCCAAGGAGCGCGGCATGCTCGACATCACCTCCTTCAATTTGGAAGAGTACGAGCAGTATGAGAGAGTGGACCAAGGAGATTTCAACGTTATTTCGAAAGACTTCATCGCATTTGCATCACCCAAGCAGTCCCGACCAGGAGCCCCTCTCAATGAGCCTTTCCGCAAGGTTCTGGAGTATTTTGTCAACAACAACGTCCAGCTGGTGGTGAGACTGAACTCTCATTTGTACGACAAGAATGAGTTCGAAAAGAGAGGTATAAAACACATTGACATGATTTTTGAGGACGGAACCTGTCCAACCATGGAGTACGTCCAGAAATTCATAGGAGCGGCAGAAACCGTTATCCAGAAAGGGGGCAAGATTGCCGTTCATTGCAAAGCCGGCTTGGGCAGAACAGGCTGTCTAATCGGCGCACATCTGATCTACACACACGGTTTCACAGCTAACGAATGTATTGCATACATGAGAATGATCAGACCGGGAATGGTTGTTGGGCCGCAGCAGCACTGGCTCTATCTACACCAGAACCAGTTTAGAGATTGGCGCTACACCATGGTGCTCGATGACCAGCCAGATGAGGCCATTGGAGGATTGCATTCTTTGGTGCCATACACGGTTATCGAGGAAAGAGAGGCCCTTGTGGTTGACACAGAGCTGCGCCGCCATGTCATGACGCCTGTCCGCAGACGAAAGGTCTCTGGAACTCTCAAGATCGCTCAGAAGGCTGTTCCCATGGAAAGCCCCGGCCAGCCTCGTAAGTACCGCTCGTCCACAAAAGAGAACCAGCCTTACGCCAATTCTGACGAAGAAGCCACGTACGAGTCTATTGCGCACCAACTATCCAGCCCGCGGCGCAAAAGCACCAGACAGGATGAGGCATATTACGGTTCTGACTACGAGATCTCTGAAAAGACGAAGAAAACCAGCCCGCAAGGATCTCCTTACTTCCGCCGCGTGTCGACAACCACGACTACGACCACTACAATATCGTCATCTCCTACGCATTCCGCTTCCAACGAGTCGGGTATTTTGACTGTGCCTAAGCAAAGAGCCTCTTTGGGATCCAAGGACGGAAAAGTGAGAGGAAATGGCTCTAGATTGTCAAGCTCCAATGAGAAAGTGATAGGCAACGTGGGGGTGAGAAAGGTGTCTGCTCCGAGAAGGATCACGTCAGGGGTGTAATGTGTTTTCGCTTCGTATTGCTCTTTCAAGCTATTAGTGCTCAATAAATTTAGTTCGAAAATCACTAGCCTCCACAGCCTCGCGACAAATTGTAAATAATAATATTGATATATAACAAGAAGAAAATACAGCTGATTTATCTTCTTTGCCAGGTTTTCCCTTCAAAATGAGTAACGGCAACATTAGCAGCCGTCGCAAATCTCTTATTCCGCGACGAACCGCGACACCCACTGGGTCGCTGCGACACATTAGTGGGGCGAATAGCTCGAGAAGCATACTTCCTATGCCGTCCTCAACTAATGTGGAGCCGGCTCCTGCTGAATACCGAACGCCGAGAGAATATATTGACATTCTGGAGGCATATGTTGACCAAGACTTGATCTTAGAAAAACAACAGACTACACAGCTTATACAAAAGATCAATGTGGTGATGGCTCAAATCCAGGAGCTTACAAACGAGAAGAACCAGATCATTCGCGAAAAACGCAAGATCCAGAGTCTCATAGGTGATCTAAAGGCCAACTACGAGAATCTGGATAAAACGCTGGTGATAAAGAACAAAAGCATAGACAACGAGGTGCGACACAACAAGAAACTTTTGGAAGTGAAGAAAAAGGAGCTTGACGAGAAATCGCGCGAAAAAGTGCGGGAGGTAGAGATTCAAATACACGAAATGATGCAGACCACACTGCGGGACGAGGAGGAGGATCGTGTACGGGCACAGGAGCTGCGAAAATTGGAGATACAGAATACAGAACTAGAGGAGGAGTTGCGACGGTTGCAGGCAGATCACAAGCGCAAACTTAACGATGTGCTGTCGGAAGTGGACACTGAAATAAGGGCGAAGAATAGGCGGAAGGAACAGGATTTATGTGAGCCACGGAGGGCGGTTCTTGAGCTGAGAACTAAGTTAGGTCGAGCCAAAGAAGAGTTGTCAAAAAAGGAGGAATCGTTGAAAAGGTTAGTTTGCACCATCGACAAACATAAGGCTGCTCTTGAAAGAATGAATAATTACAAAGGAACGCTAGATGAACAGATGGCGGGGCTAGAGACACAGAAAAACGAGCTGGTCTCGAAACTAAAGGCAGTGAGCGCGAAAGTGGAGCTCTTCATTGAGACAGACTATACAACTGCGCAAGAAGAATACTCTGTGATCCAAGAGAAAGTGAACAGCGAGAGGCTCACGCGTCTCAAGATTGAAGATGAGATAATGGAGCTCCAAGGCAGGCTCCGAGTCTTGGTGGAGCCGCAAGCGCAGGTGCCGGACAAATTGACCAGCTGCGTGACTGACTTTTTGGAGGATCGGATATGTGTGTTTGTCGAGTCCGCACTGATGGGGGTTAGCTATGTAATCATTGTGGTCCACTCGCAAAAGGACTATTTTCGGATCATTCAGGAGCATCTGGAGAAACGCAGGAATACGCAACGATACGAGAACTGGCAGATTGAAATTAGCGAGCCTGTCACGAGCCACATGGCCGAGCGAGAACTCCACGTGACGAGCTTCAATGCCAACACGAAAAAGAGACTTGGGGCTAGCGTCATGTGCATTGTGTCGGACGGGAGCAGCATTTCTGCCAAAACACGCGAACTTTGCGGGAGCAGAAAATCAATGGTAATTTGGGGACACAAGTATGAGGATGAAACTGCTTGTGCGTTTTGGCAGGAGCTGGGGACGTTACAGACGGCCAAACGAGATGCTACACAGATGTAGACTGCGCACGCACGACCTTTTTATTAGTGGGTAAAAAAATTTCAGGAAAATTAAATATTTCACCAACCATGATGAGACCCCTGATGTTAAAGGGTCACGACCGTTCGTTGACCCAAGTGAAGTTCAACAGGGAGGGAGACCTTCTGTTTTCTGTTTCGAAAGGTAAGGAGGCGTCTGTCTGGTACTCGTCGAACGGCGAGAGACTGGGGACCTTTGTTGGCCACAATGGTACCATCTGGTCTATCGACATCGATCCCGAGACCGATTACGCTGTGACTGGCAGCGCTGACTTTACTGCCAAGCTGTGGAAGGCGCAGAATGGGCAATGTATTCACACATGGACGCTGGAGTCGCCGGTTAAAAGAGTCGAGTTCAGCCCGGACGGCAACCAGGTGTTGATAGTTACCGACCAGGTGATGGGGCAGACGGGTAAAATCAAGATTTTTGACATCGATCACACACAGAACGCGCAACAATCCACTCCGAAGCTGGAAATCGTGAACGAAGATGGCCCTGCCTCGAGATTCACCGTGGCCGGCTGGTCGTACGGAGCATTCTACATTTTGGCTGCCCACGCGGACGGAAAAGTGAGCAAGTACGATGCCAAGACGGGCGAGCTGCTAGGCAGTACGAAAAATCAGGAAATGTTGCTGACAGACCTGCAGTTTTCGCCCGACAAGACATATTTCATTGTTTCTTCCAAGGACAAGACTGCGTGCTTGTACGACGTTGACCGCCTGTCTCTGCTCAAGCGGTACACTGCGGATGTGCCGATGAACTCCGCATGCATCACGCCGGTCAAGGAGTTTGTGATTTTGGGAGGAGGTCAGGACGCCCGGGAGGTGACCACCACGTCGCTGTCGGAGGGTAAGTTCGAGTCGAGGTTCTACCACAAGATATTCGAGGAGGAAATTGGCCGTGTAAAGGGCCATTTTGGCCCGCTCAACTATGTGGCCGTGCATCCTAAAGGAACGTGCTACGCATCTGGAGGAGAAGACGGTTTTGTGCGTCTGCACCACTTCCACAAATCCTACTTCGAGTTCCTCTACGACGTGGAGAAAACCGCCCAGGCCACACAACAGTTCGAAATTGAAGCTAAATAGAAAACAACTCGTCTATTGGGTCTACGTAGTGAGCATTTTCTCTATTTTTTCGCGGCCTCGGCCTGTCTGCGCTCCTCGGCCGCCTTTTGCTTTGCACGGAGGATCTCCGCGTCGCGTTCCATTCTCTTCTTCGGGTCGCCTTCTTTCTTGTGCCCCTTTGCCTGCTCCTGCTGTTTCTTCAGGTTCCTCTGTCTTGCCAGCTCTCTCTGGTTGCCCCGTGCCATGGCCGATTACAGCTCATTTTCCAGAAAAAAAACACATTTTATTTTCTGAAGCTCGGTGTGAGGGTGCCGAATCTGGCTCGCAGCTCAAACCAGATGATTTGTACTTTTGTGCACTTACCATGATCAGCGCATTCTTCCTATATAATGTCAAGGGCGAGGTGCTGATCTCGCGGCTGTTCCGTGACGGCATCCGCCGCAACGTCTGCGAAGTGTTCCGCATCCAGGTCATCTCCAAATGTTCCGATATCAAGTCTCCCGTGTTGACCCTGGGCTCCACTTCGTTTCTGCACATACGTCACGGCGCGCTGTGGATCGTCGCTGTCACACGCTCCAATGTGGACGCTTCAATTGTTCTCGAATACCTCCATCGCTTTGTGGAGTTGCTGAAACGGCTCTTCGAGGTGGACAACGTTACCGAGGACGACGTCAAGGCCCACTTCCCGCTCGTTTACGAGGTGCTCGACGAGTCCATAGAGTCCGGACACGTCTCCAACTTGGATCTGTCCACCTTGCGGCCGTATTTGTCCTCGCAGACTGCCGAAACCGGCAGATTTAAAAACAGCACCGCCAGTGGCCTGCTCGCAAAAGCGGGCTCCATCAGACGCAAGTCTGCAGGCAAACTTCCGCAGATCATCAACGCCCCGCTCGACGTGGCCGCCGCATCGCACCCCTGGCGGCCGCAGGCACTCAAATACAAGAAAAACATGGTCCAGATCGACCTCGTCGAGGACTTCAACCTGCTCACCACGGCGAACGGCTTTGTGCTGCGCTCGTTTGTCGAGGGCCGCATTTTAATGGACTGCCGCATCTCTGGGATTCCAACGTGTCTGCTGGGCCTCGTCCACGAAAACCAGAACGACGCATACCAAGAATTCAAATCTGGCGACTGCACGTTCCACCAGTGCGTCAACCTCAAAGATTTCGACGAGCACAGAATAATTAAATTTATTCCTCCTGACGGCAAGTTCGAACTGCTGAGCTACCGCACAGACGTGGAAAACCCGCCGTTCAACGTCTACACCACCAGGGACCCCTACGGCAGTGGCTCTGAATCGTCCTACACGGTGGACTTAGAGTCTGCATATCCGTCGAACGTCGCTGCCACTAACGTTGTTCTCCGAATTCCTGTGCCACCTGGGACGTCGAAACTGCGAGCAAACACAGAAACTGGTAAATGTCGACTTGTACAAGAGGAAAACGTGGTGCAGTGGAGTCTTAAGAAAATGAATGGTGGCCAGAAGCACAGGTTGCAGTTTGCCGTGCCCAACACTCCGGCCCACGCTGTGGCTGCCAAGCCGCCGATCTCGCTCAGCTTCTCGATCGAGTCGTATTCTGCGGGAGGCCACAAAATCAAGTTTTTCAAAGTGCACGAGCCCACCATGAATTACGCCACAGTCAAGAGCGTCACATACCTGACCAGAGCGAAAAGCTACGAGATCCGTATGTGATTGGGGACATCCGTACACCAGATACAAAGAATATAAAGAAAATAAGGATTATTTATTTCCCCGCACAGAGCTGTTCGGATGCTGACAAGTCTGTTACGAGTGCAGCCTTTTCGGCCGCTACTGTCGTTGCAGACTTTGCGCAATGTGTCGCAGATGCGACAGGTGAAGCTTTGGTGGCTCAATGGGCCGTCAAATGCCTTATTTAAAATGGATAGAGCCCGGTTCCGGATCAGGAAGCGACTGGACGAGCTTTTGCGCGAAGCTGTGCCCTACAGCGATATCAAGCAGCTGTTGCTGAGCAGAGTTTTTTCAGATAAACCCTATGTTCTTGAACGAGCGATGGATCGATATCTGACCCAGTTTGAGAGACCAACTGATCGTACGCCGGTGCCCGGTACAGAGTCTTCAATCGTGAGCCACGAATATTACAATGCGCGTAAACAGAGATACGAGGCAAAGCTGAATAATTCTCAGGCCATCGACCCGCTCTCATCGCCGCAGTACCTGAAGTTTTTCAAAGAACTGCGAAGGGATCACCCTGGAATATCGCGGCTGCAAAAGGCATACTTCGCACTGCCCCGCCCGGCCCCTTTGTACATGCAGCCGCAGGACCTGGAGTTCTTCATACAGTATTTGTGCAACTGTCCGCTTGCTTTGCGCAAAGATACTTTCGGAGTGCACTTTTTGCACGACATGCACCAGTCGGGACTGAAGCTGGGTCTCGGCGAGTTTTTCAAGCTGCTGGACTCCCTGAAAGGCATAGTTGCGCTCGAGTCCGTGTATGGGATATACAAGCAGCAATGTGGCGTATCTCCCACGTTCATGGGACGCATGCTGAAGTACTCATTGTCTGAGCGAAATATGGCCGGCTGGGACATGGATATCAAGAGTGCGACCACCGCGTTGCAGCGTCAGATACTGAAAGACCTTGTGAATCGCAATGTTGTGCCGAACATGTACCTGATGCAGCAGCTGCTAAAAATCGGCCGCAGAGCGTCGGACGCGTTGTTCCTGTTGGAGATCACGGAGCTGGCTCTACACTGCCGTGTTGTGCACAGACAGACGGTGCGCACGATAGCAAGCTGCCTGGAGCAACATCAGGAAGAAGATCTGGCTGCCGAGTTTCTGCAAGCGTATCGACTGCTGAACAATCGGTTCGACACAGATCTAAACCCGAGTGTGCAGTTCCAGCGGGGCCAAGTGCTCGAACACCATTTGGAGCACACGGCAGGCAGCTGGTGCGAGGTGGTGTACTAGGCAGTGCGTGGCAGCAGGGCAGATCTGAGCACCAATTTTTTCTTTATAGAGACAACCTCTTAACACCGCCAGAAACTTTTTTTTTAGAAGGCGCGATTTTGGCCACGCAAAAAAAAATTGTCAAGTGGAGTGTTAAAGCAGTTGTATCAGGTGTGAAAACATAGAAACACCGACTAGCGATAGAACGAAACGGACGGAATCAAGAGAGATCTGTAGGACTAATCGCTATAACGTTTTTTTTCCCGGGAAAAGAAGAGTCGAAACGGTTGAAATTGCCTATACAGCAAACAAACACAGTTACAAATTAATTAGCGATGTCTGAGCCTATCAAGAAGGGCAACATTGCCCAGGCACCTACTCCGCACAATACACCGGCCTCTGTGAGTGGATCCTATCTGAAGAATGCTCCATTGCCTACAATCCCGTCCACAATAAAGGAGGACGATGAGCTACGCAAGAAACTACTGGCCAACCCTGCAATTTTGTCGATGATCGAAGGTAAGCTGAACACGCTGGTTGGTTCAGACTCGGGTTATGTGAAGGCGCTTCCTCCGAAAATCAAAAACCGTTTGTACGGGCTCAAGGCTTTGCAACAGAAACAATTCAAGCTGGAGGCGGAATTCCAAATGGAGCTTTTAAATCTCGAGAAAAAGTACCACGAGAAGCACCAACCGATTTTTGAAAAAAGAAAGAAGCTTGTCACAGGCTCGCTGGAGCCTGCTCCGGAAGAGATCGAGGAGGGCCAGGCCCTGATGGGCGAGGAAGAAGACGAGGAAGACGAGGCAGACGAGACCAAGACAGAGATCGACGAGAGTTTGAAGGACGTCAAGGGCGTGCCAAGCTTCTGGCTCACGGCGATGGAAAACCTGGGTCCGATCGCAGAGCTGATCACGGACCGGGATTCGGAGGCCTTGAACCACCTGATCGACATTCGACTGGAGTATTTCGACGCTTTGGGATTCAGACTGGTGTTCGAGTTTGAGGAAAACGACTACTTCACCAACAAGGAGCTTGTGAAGACTTACTACTACCAGAAGGAGCTCGGATACTCACGGGACTTTGTGTACGACCACGCAGAGGGCTGCGACATAAAATGGAAGGACAACGACCACAACCTCACGATCACGGTTGAGAAGCGGAAACAGAGAAACAAGCACACAAAGCAGGTGAGAACAATCGAGAAGCTAACGGCCGTGGACTCGTTCTTCAACTTCTTCAATCCGCCACAGCCACCAAAGAGCAAGGAGGAGCAGGAAGACGCCGACGAAGAGGAGGACGAAGAGGACGAAGAGGAAGAGGAGGAGGATCTTGAGCAGAGACTGCAGCTCGACTACGAGATCGGCGAGCTGTTCAAGGACAAGCTGCTTCCTAGAGCAATTGACTGGTTCACGGGACAAGCGTTGGAGTACGAGTATGACGACGGTGAGGAGGAGGAGGACTACGAAGAGGAGGAGGAGGATTCTGAGGCAGATGAGAGCGATGAGGACGAGGATTCTGAGGAAGATGGTTCAGGTCAGGCCGGCGGCGCCAAGGTACAGCAGCCGGCCGAGTGTAAGCAGCAGTGAGGAAGGAGAGGTGACCTTTGCTTGTAGGCAAGCTGAAAATGTATTTAAGCAAATAAGAATTGAATCCGCCACGGGCCATGTGGCGCAGCAACTAATTAATTGAAATATATGCAAAGAGATGCTATTTTGATTCGCTAACAGCTCGTATTTATTCTTTGCGCACTGCATGTCCAAACATCTTCCGCGATCGCACACCAGCAAGCTTCCCCCGACAAACCAGCTGTACAAGAGTCTACTAGCCCTTGTATCGTTGCTGCCCAATTTCTCCCACGCACTGCCGCTTCCCGTGAAGGGGCTAGTGGCTAGGGCAGTTATTCACAGTGCCAGCAAAAACCACGAGCCGCTGTCCGATGGCGAGTTTTACATGTACATGGCTGCCTCGATCTCATTAGTTCTGCTCGGCGGTGTTTTTGCCGGTCTTACATTGGGGCTTATGGGCCAGGACGAGCTGTACCTAAAGGTGATTGCCGACAGTGGGACGCCTAGCGAGCGCAAGTGGGCGCACGAGGTGCTGAAGCTGATTGGCCGTGGCAAGCACTGGGTGCTTGTGACGCTGTTGCTTTCAAATGTGATCACCAACGAGACGTTGCCGGTGATGCTCGACAGGTTTTTGGGCGGCGGGTTTGCTGCCGTTTTCTCTGCCACCGCGTCGATTGTGATTTTCGGCGAGATCATCCCGCAGTCCGTGTGTGTCCGCTACGGCCTGCAACTTGGAGCCTACTTTGCGCCCTTTGTGCTCGTTTTGATGTACCTGATGTACCCGGTGGCGTACCCTATTGCGCTGCTGCTCGACTACATTCTGGGCCAGGACCATGGCACCGCGTACCGCAAGTCTGGTCTCAAAACCCTTGTCACGCTGCACAAGACGATGGGCGTCGAGAGACTCAACCAGGACGAGGTCACCATCATCAGTGCAGTGCTGGACCTGAAGGAGAAGCCGGTGTGTGCGATCATGACCCCGATCGACAAAGTCTACACGCTGCCTTCGGACCGCATTCTGGACGAGGAGGTGGTGGAAGAGATATTCAATGCTGGGTTTTCCCGGATTCCGATCCATCTGCCTGGCGAGCCAACCAACTTCGTTGGCATGCTGCTGGTGCGGATTCTGATCAGCTACGACCCGGAGGACGCGCTGCCCGTCTCGTCGTTCCCGTTGGCCACACTGCCGGAGACCTCGTTGGAGACCTCGTGTCTGAACATCTTGAACTACTTCCAGGAGGGAAAGTCGCACATGGTGATTGTGAGCACGACGCCCGGCATGGACACCGGGGCCGTCGGCGTTTTGACACTGGAGGACGTGATTGAAGAGCTGATTGGCGAGGAGATCGTTGACGAAAGCGACGTCTACGTCGACGTGAACAAGAACATTCGCCGCAGCATCCCCGGCCCCCTGGCCAAAAAAAACGTTACGTCCTACTTTCACAGCCTGTACCCTTCGAGAGCCAACCCGCAGAACTCACAGATCAGGCATTCGTCGCCTCCGGCGCCCGCTTACTACTCGAAACGCGATAGCCAGGACACCCAGACACCGCGAGAGAACAGCACGCTGAGATACAAGTCGCCGCCGGCGGCGGAGCCAGCCCACAACTCGCAGATCAACTCGACGATTGCCAACGGCATCAAGCCGTCCAACCTGGCCGTGAATCCGCTGCAGACGAACAACGCTCACGTGACCATCAAGAAACAGCCCCAGCTTGACCCGCCGCCGGAGAGCGTGGCACGCAATTACGGTTCTGCCGAGGACAATGGCGAGACGTCTCCCGAGAGCCACAAGAAGCTGACAGCGCGCAAGCTCCCGCTCACACAGCCCAAGGCCGTTCAGAAGCGGTTCACCATTCCGACCCAGAAGAGTGAGCGGTCGTCGGTCGATTTGTCGGACGTCCAGCACCAAACGTCGTCGTTGCCGTCGGCAGCCTCGGAAATTACTGAGCACACCATCAACTTGCCGATGGCCTCGAGCCGTTCAACAAGGAGCGACAGCGGGATCATCGAAAACATTGTGAGCGTGCGTGGAGTCAGCAAGACTGTCATTGGGGAGAGCGCAGTGAGCGAGTCGATGAACATTGGCGACGAGAACGGCTTGGGCGACTCCACGCACAGCGAGAAGGTGCCGTTTTTGAAGAAGGAGAACGGCTCTAAGCCGCGCAGAGACTCGAAACGGTTTTGGGATTGGGGGTAACTTCGACGCGCCGATCGGCGCCCTTCGTTCTATATTTTTTATAATTTACTACCTAACGCTTCTCGTTCTTTTGTCCCATTGCTTCTTTTGCAAAGTCAGTCTAGAACGCTCGAAACCATGCCCAAGCCGACGGACCTGTCTCAAAGCCAGGTCTCGGTCTCAAATGTAAGCATGAGACGCGACGAGTCGTCGTCGTCGCTCCAGTCGCATTCCAGCAACGTCGGAACGGGCAACGGAAGCCATGTGCTGGCCAAGCTTTTCCGGAAGGGTTCAGATCGGTCGAACCCAAACGTCTCGAGCCGCGCAGGGTCTGTGAACAACACTCCGTCGGTTTCTTTGACACCCAGCTCGTCCAACCTCACGCCGCGAGTGAGCAACAGCAGCAACGCTTCCACCGCGGGGAGCACGGACTCGTCGTCGCTGCGACACCTGTCGCTCAAGAGATTTCTGAAACCAATCCACCGGTCCGCCAAGGCCAAGGAGCAGCAAGAACACTTGCATCAAATGATCCAGCACAAGCTCAACAAGCTCAAGATCTGCAACCACCACCACCATCACATCAAGGATCAGCGGAAGAAAGAGCCGGCATTGCCACCCCAGCCCGATGGCCGACAGGAGGGCATGGCTATGCGCAAGCTGGTGGCACAGTATGGCGAGATTCCGGACGCTGCCGTGGAGAAGAACGTGCTGGGCGAAGGAGCAGGCGGCTCGGTCCTGATTGTGCGTCGGCCTTCTGACGGCCAGGTATTTGCAATTAAGAAATTCCGGCCCCAGTCGTCGCGTGAGTCGGACTACGATTACCGGAAAAAGGTGATCAACGAGTACAACTTGCTCGTGGACCTGGATCACGAGAACATTGTTCGTGTTTATGAGCTCCTGAACGAACACACGTTGTACGTGATGGTGATGGAATATTGCAAGTATGATTTCTTTACGATTGTCATGGGCGGAGTGATGTCCAAAGACGAAATATTCTGCTATTTTAAGCAGATGGCCGAAGGTGTGGTCTATTTGCACAGTAAGGGAATTGCTCATCGCGACTTGAAGCTCGACAACTGCGTGGTGAGCGAGACGGGAATACTGAAGCTGATTGATTTCGGTTCTGCCGCAAGGTTCAGAATGCCCGACAGCGATCCGGACCAGAACATCATCCAGGTTTCGGGCATTGTTGGGTCAGACCCGTATCTGGCCCCAGAGTGTCTGTCGATGAGCTCGTATGACCCGCGGCCGGCCGACGTGTGGTCGTTGGCCATTATGTTCTGCTGCATGGTCCTGAGACGGTTCCCATGGAAAATACCAAAGACGACAGACTCGTCTTACCGGGCATTTGTAAGCGAATCAGGGGACGACGGCAAGTCTTCGTCGGGCTCCAGCCGGCTGTTGAAGCTGCTGCCAGCAGCCTCGCGGCCGCTGATTGGCGGCATGCTCACTGTGGCCGCCAACAAACGGACCACGATGGACCAGCTGCAACGGGATTCGTTTTTCTACGGAATTGACTGGTGTCACGGTTCTATTAAGGGCGACCATACACATCATCTAATCACAGAAAAGGACCTGGAGAGAATCGAAGCCGAGCGCAAAAAACAGAGCGAGATGGCCAAGAAGATGGGCTGATCACCACCCGTGGTCGTACAGCATGGACACAGACTCTCCATTATTTATTCTGCGGATTGCCTCGGACAAGATTCTTGACACGTCCAAAATGACCATCTCTTTGGCGTCCAGCTCCGCCACGTGTGCGGCCTGGTCCACCGAGTTGGTGGTAATGATTTTGTCAATTTGCGACTCTTTGAGCTTCCGCATGGCCTCGCCGCTGAAGATGCCGTGCGTGATCAGCGCATACACGTATTTGGCGCCCTGGTCTTTGAGCAGGCTGGCCGCGCGCGTGATAGTGTTGGAAGTGTCTGCCAGATCGTCCACCACCACACAGACTTTGTCGTGGACGTCTCCGACAAGCATCGTCGTGGCGACATACTGCTGGTCATCCGCAGGCTGGCCATTGGGTGCGCTGGCCGGAGAGTTGCGGCCTGGGAACCCTGGAGTTGCGAAGCTGACACTGTTTAAGCTCGATGTGGACGGGTTGGAGTGCACCATCAGCTCCGATTGCGCTGTGTCCACCTTCTGCCGGCGCTCTTTGTGGATCAGGGCGAACGGCATGCACAGCGTATCTGCTAGGGCAGCAGCACGCTTCGCTCCACCAGAGTCTGGCGACACTATCACGCAGTCTTTATAATTTGGCACGTAGTTCGTAATATAGTGTTGGAATAAGGGTTTTGAAAGCAGGTTGTCGACAGGGATGTCGAAAAAGCCCTGGAACTGGGCATCATGCAGATCCATTGTGATTATATGGTTGGCACCGGCCGAGGTGAGCAGGTTCGCAATCAAGGTGCCGCTCTGGGCTATCCAGGAACGGTATCCCGTTGGATTGGCGATCGAGGCTTCGTTGGTGCGCAGTGTTTTGAGTGACGAGCCAGTGCTGACAGACCGGTGGCTGAGCACGTTCTTCGGGCTCGGATCGCGGACATTGGCCCTCGACGGCAGTCTAGGCGACTGCGGAACGCTGTCGGGAACTTTTGACCCTCTGTGCTGGGCCCCTCCAGGAACACCTCGTTTACTGGCCTGAGACTCGACTTGACGCGAATAGAAGAAAAGCGGACACACAACGGTTATCCTTTTTGCGGAGGCCATCTTGCATGCCGAAATCATAATCAGGAGCTGCATAAAAAGGTCGTTAACGTGGCCTGCGCCCGACTGGACAATAAAAACGTCTTTTTCCCTCACGGAGTCGCCAAAGTGCACTGAGGTTTCGCCGTTGGCAAACTTTTTGAGCTCAACCTTGCCCGGCGGCAGGCCGAGATTGCGGCAGATCCGGTCGGTAAGCTCTGGATTGGAGGATCCAGAGAAGACGATAATGTCACGCATGGGTAAAAATAAAGCTGTAAATTAATTATTTGACCAAGTTTTTTTTTCTATCGGCGCGACGGCGACGCTACACATTGCAGCCGGCCACCACCGAGTTTAGGTGCATGTCGAATAGCTGGCATCGGATGGGCATGTCCAGCTGGTAGAATGGGTTCTTGAGGACGTAATTGCAGTAGTGTTCGTAGATCTTGTCGTAAACGGCGGCGAATTTGGTCTCGTCCATGTCCGGCGACGCAAACACGATGATCTTGATGCCGGTGACGGTCTGGTTCATGAAGATCTTGAACTGAGACGTGGCAATTTCGCGCAACCCCGTGCGGTTCGAATCAGCCAGCGTCTTGGCCTTCTGGTAATTGTGCACCGCGTCCGGAGGCGTCAGCTTCGACGCTATGGCATGCACTCCGTGCAACGTGCTGGCGATGACGAGGTAGTCGTTGGACTTCTGTTTTGTGATCGGCGAATTTATCGTTTTGAAGTCTTTTTGGTACAGAAGCGAGCCAGACCGCGACGTGATGTAGATCGAATACAGCATGGAAAATAAAAAAAAATGCTATTTTTTTTAAATCTCAATGTATTTATCTCATTTCGATTACAGTAATCCCCGCTGGTTGCGTCTTTTGCGCTTGTCACGGTAAACGCGATAGCCCAGAAGACCAATATATGCCAGAACAACAGCCATGGCTGTGTACAGAGTGTACGTGAACAGACGCCACAGAAGGTTGAAGAAGTAACCAATGGCCCCCCGCTCGTCGTTGTACACCTCCTTGTTTAGCCGTTTGGCGCGCTCCTCGGACCGTCTGAGCCGGCTCGCGGAGCGTCTGCCCTTGGTCTTCTTCGGCTTGTTGTACCGCCGGTGCCGTTTCCTGGCCTCGTTCTGCTTTGACTCTGCGTCGATTCTGTCGTCGAGCCGGTCGATGAGCGCGTCGATCGACTGCACAGGACGACCAGCAGAGTCCTTCAGCGAGTTCACCTCTATGCCGTACAGATCAACGTTGTGGAACAGCTCGCCAGTCTCTGCACTGACCCCCATATAAGGCGTCTCTGGGACGAGCGACGCAGCAAGCTCTGTTGTGCTGAAACAGGTTTTCCAGTTGTCGTTGCCCAGAATATCGAATTCCACGCTAAAATACCCCGACGACCGGATATACCGCACTCGCATTCGCGATGGCGCGCTCATGCGTGTGTTGTACGCCCTGTGCAACGCACAGCTGCCGATCTCCGTCGCTGTACCGTCGTCGTCCTTGTTGTACTTGCCCGCAAACCCATTGTTGCTCTGAATCGAAACCCGTGGGAAGCTGTTGGCGCCCCTGTTGCCGCGCATCTTGCCCGGCGTGTTCTTGAAGGTGTCCAAAATCACCGCAAGCCCCTGGTAGTCGTCCTGCATGCCAAACATGTCGCCCTGGCTCAGCGGCTGGCTCGTGAGCCAGAACGCCATGCCGTCCCCAATCAGCGAGATCCGCGTCTGCTGGCCATGGATCTTGAAGTCGACAATCGCCTCAAACGAGTCGGAGTCCTGAAGTGAGATCGGCAGCCGCGAAAAAACGTACCCGACGGAATTAGGCCGCTCGGACACAAGACGCACATAGTCAGAGTCTTTTTTCATCACCATGTTGCCGCCATTGTCGTAGTTTATCAATGACAGAGTGGCCGGGTTGACGAATGGCTTGCGGAAATTAAGGTACTGGATGTTCTCGCGGCGGATCTCTCGCTCTTGGATCAAACTTTGCACGTCATTTAGTTCCTGCGCGGGCTCTTGCGCCCCTCGGCTTTTGCGGCCATAGAAAACCCACAGAAATAAGAGCAAGAGCACACCCCCTACCAGCTTGGTTTTGTTACCGGCACGGGCTAATTGTCTCCGCATTGGGCCGCGCTGTGCGCCATACCCTACTCCAATGTCCATCAAGGGAAAAATACAAAGCGAAAAATATATTGAAGACCCTGCACGGTGCAGAGATGTGCTGGCGCTCGGGCTGGCGAGGGCGATTTCGATGCATTACGTAAGACTCTATAGATCAGTACTCGAGGTTGATGTAGGAGCACCCGTTCACGGCGATCTGACTGGCCATGCTGAGACTCGAGACGCTCGACGCGTCGGAGTCGACGCCGTGGATCATGACACGGATGTTGTCGTTTTCAGCGCCGGAGCGCGGCTCGTCTGACACCTTGCGGTGGAACAAACGGTTGAACACGCCGGGCTGCGGCGTGGAACGCAAGCCATAGCCGCAGTCTGCGCAGTTGCCGCACTGTCCGTGGTTTCTCGGCAGCGGAAGATCTATTATGTGGTCTGTTTCGTGTTCTTCGGGCACGGCGCGTTCTCTGCTCTTGATCTTGTCGAGCTGCACGTGATCAACAGGCACCTGACACGAGTACTGCCACTGGTCGGCAGGGTCGATTCTGGAGTCGATGGAGAGTGGACCGGAGTCGGCGAAGCGCGAGCATGTGAGCACGTCCTGGCGGAACTCGAACAGGTCCCCCCGCTCCCACGGATTGAGCCGCAGGTACTTGCAGAGGATGTGGAACAGTTCCCCCGAGATGGGCAGGATGCGCATCAGCACGGTAGGGTCCTTGACGAACGCCTTGAACGTGGTGTCCTGGAGCGAGGCCTTAAGCCAGGGGTTTCTGATGGTGACGAGATTAATTAGAATGATGGCCAGCGACCACACATCGCCGGCGCTGGTGGGGAACTGCACGTTTTCGTGCAGGCCCTCTGAGGAGGGCTGGAGCAAGCGTTCGAGGTGGATTGAGTGCGCGTCTTTGGAGTCGAAGCCCTGGCAGAAGTTTTGGATGCGTTCGGGCGACATGTAGTAGCTGGAGCCGCAGCAGATGTTGGACTCGATGTGGTGATCCTGGAGTGCCAGACCGAAATCGGCGAGGATCAATTTGGTGCCGTTATCGGCGACGAGGATGTTTTCTGGCTTGAGGTCGCAGTGGTAGACGTTTTTCGAGTGACAGTACGTGATGGCGTCGACGAGCTGCAGAAATACTCTCTTGATGAGGAACGGGTCGTTTTTGTAGCGCTGTTTTTCGACAATCGTGTTGAACAGGTCTCCGTCCGGATAGTAGTCCATAACGACAAAAATCGCCGGCTTGAGGTCGTACACTTTGTACAGCGACAGGATGTTGGGGTGTTTGTGCACTTTGAGCTGCAGACTGATCTCCTTGAGGATTTTGCAATGCGTGCCGTTCTGCTCGATCATCTCGAGACTGAGCAGGTTGGCAGCAAGGTTGCCGCCGTTCGCGAGGGCCATGTCGAGGATCTGGGCCTCCATCAGCTCGAGCAGCTTCTTGTTGCCGTGGACAGACTGGTTCTTCAAGATGATCTTGATGGCGTACATCTTCCCCGTGAAGAGGTGGCGTGCAGAGTATACCACTCCGTACGATCCGGAGCCAATCCGCTTCTCAAGCTGGTACTTGTTGTTAAGAATAACCTTGGTTAGAGTTTTCATGGGAAAATGAGTATGGGGACGACCAAGACATATAATATATTTAACTAGGCTGGAGTTCCCCACCGATCTGGGCATCCCGAGCCGCACGAGTGACGCCTGGTCAGTCGATTTTCACCAAAGGCTGCAACTCCATTATTGTCTCCGTGAGGAAGTAAGCGCGGCGGTGCAGCTGTCATGCACGCTCTGCAATTTTTTTTCCGAAATGTCTCTCCACTATGCGCGTCCAGCAGTCGACTGATAATTTACGCCCTAAAAAATTCGTGATAAGACCCTTCCCGATGGAGGATCTCCGGTCACTGGATCTGACAAAAGCCCGATGCGACGGAGTCAAACACCTGCTAATTCCGTTTGTGCCAGTGGCAGAACCCACGCCGCCGTACGTGTCTGCACTCGCCTCTGACACACTGTTCCAGATAGTCGCCATCAGAGACGTGTCGCGGTCCGCGATCTCGTACATCGAGAGCCTAGTCGAGCTGATCGACGCGAACGAGGGCTTCTACGACCGCCAGACCAAGTCGCGCCCGCGCAAACAAAAGGTCATCCGGTCCGCAAACGTCGACGGCGACGCGCAAGAACACTGGCCCACGCAGGCAGCTTCCCCCACGTACCGGCTCACGCTCCAGGACGCGCACGGGAATTTCTGCTACGCACATGAGATTGAGCCTCTGCCGTTTTTACGGAGTAGCCCGGATCTGTACCCGGTCAGACTCGGCTCAAAATTGCTGGTGCAAAAAGACACCACAGTGATGTTCGGCTCGGCATTCCAGCTCACATCTTCCACCTGCCGCTTTCTAGGCGGCGAACTACCCCACATGAACCAAGACTTATACCGTCGTGAGCTGCAGAATTTCAAGCGTGAGATAAATTACACCGGGTAAATTATACACTTCAGGCTTTACTCCTCCAGCAACAGCTCCCACAGAGCCTGCTCATTCGGATAGTCGTGGTGGATCACGCTTACCAGCAGGTACTGCTCCAGCACCTGCGAGATCAGCTTGTGCGACACAGACCCACGCGCATACAACATCTGCCATTCTCGCCAGATGTTGAACGCTTCGTCGCTCCATGCACGGAACGACTCCTCTTCGATGATGGTCGTTTGTACAATCTCTCTGTCGGGGAAAACCCCCCACGTAACACAGTTGCTCTTCTGCCCAGGTAAATTCGACGCATAGCCCCCGCTGCTGTCGGAAACATAGTATGTAACGTATTCGTTGGCATCTAGTCTAGGCAGCAACGCCTCCCAGTCTTTTTTCGAAATGAACATCTCCACAAACGCCTTCTGGTAAACGTAGCCGTTCTTCGGACCCCATCCGAAAATCTTGTCGCTAGACTTGCTGCAATTCGTGGCCGGCTGCGACGAAACCGTAAACCAGTTCAGCTCGTTCAGCCGAATAAGCTCCTCCTGAATCAGCGCTGTTTCCGGGTTCAATCCCAATTCCGACCACGGAAGCGCGTTGATCTTGCCGCTCAGGTAGTTGGTGAAGATCTTAGAAATGTCCTTCAAGCTCTCAGGGTACCCCCAAAGCTCGTAAGCTTTGGAAGAAGTCATTTTCAGCGAAGGGCCATAACCGTCTATCTCACCATATGCAGGTGAGCGTGAGTCTCCAAACCGTCCGTTAGGGAAATCGTCCCATGTGGCGTCCTTGCCCAACGTACCCTTACCCGACGAGATCGAGACTATCGTCTTGACCTGCGACATCGAGTTTCGAGTCCCCGAACGGCTCATTGGAGCATTCACTATAACCTGGTTATTCACCTGGCGGAACCTGTCAGCATATGCTGCTCTTTTTGCTGTTGTTGTAGCCTCGTCAATGTCCTCGTCAGACACCGTTTCCTCCTCAAGCTCCTCCTCTTCCTCTTTCTTCTTCAGCACCTGCGAAAGAAGCTCGTTTTTGTTGATGATCTGTGCAATCGACTTCTCCAGGTTTAGGGTATAAAAGTGGAAGCCGCGAATCTCGCCATTCGTGTCTTGGTGAATTTTCGACACCATCTCCGACAACACGTCAACTCCAATCTCCTTGACCTTGTCATCATCATTCTGAATGTCTTCGGGGAATTTCTCCAGCAGCGGCTCTGGAATCGACGCGTGGCTCAGTTTCGACGCGCGCTGAAAGATGCTATAACCATTGATTGGCATCAGACCAGGAATTATAATCAGGTCCTTGTTTTTGATCTCCTCCGTCGACCTCACCGTCTTCACGTAATGCACAAACTTGTCCGCGTCGTAAAACATCTGCGTCACTAGAAAGTCTGCCCCAGCGTTCACCTTCTCTACCAGATAAGGCAGATCTTTTTTCATGTCCTGGTCGCTGTTGTCGGCCCCCTCCACATGGCCCTCCGGATACCCCGCCACTCCGACGCAGAAATAGTCGCCGTGCTGCTCTCTAATGTACCGCACAAGGTCAACGGCATATTTAAAGTGGCCGTTGCGTTCGGGATCCATGCCGTCTCTAGGAGGGTCGCCTCTGAGAGCCAGCACGTTCCGGATTCCTGCTTTCTTGGCCCGCTCAAGAGCGTCGTCAATGACTTCTTTCGAGGTGTTGGTGCACGTGAGATGCAGGCACGTGGTCAGACCAAGCTCCTCCTGGCACGTCACCGCAAGATCCAGCGTCTTGTGCGCCGTTGTGCCGCCTGCCCCCCAAGTGACGGTGACAAAAAGCGGGCCTAAAAGCGACATTCTCGTGAGCCGCGCGTACAGGTTGCGCAATCCGTTTTCCGTCTTGGGCGGGAAGAACTCGAACGAAAAAAAGGGGTCGTTCGGGCCCAGCTTCTTGATTTTCTCACTGATCTTGATGGACATGACTAACGAAAGAAAAACGAAAAATTGGCAACAGAAAAAATCTGCGTCGATAAATTCCACAAAAGCGTCGATCGGCGGGTATTATAGTTTCTTTCTCTCCATGTCCGATCCGCTTTTCGAGGCCGTTTCTGACGATGAGCGGGCCGATTCCGAGCTCAACAGGCTGTTGCAGGAGGACCATGAGACAGAAGAGCTTACTGTTCCGGTGATAACCCGTGAAAGCGAGCCTGAGCGGCCTGCTCCAGTGCGTCTCGCGTTTTCAGAGCGGGAGAACAAGACTATCAACCTTACGCTTAGTCTTAGCTACCAGCGCCAGATCGTCCAGGATCTCATTGAGGACGATGGATTGGTTATACTGGGCAGAGGGTTGGGGCTTGAAACCATTGTGGCAAACCTATTACATGTTTTAGGGTTATCTGTGATAGAGGACAAGAAGAGTCTAGTTTTGCTGGTGAACGCAAGCGAAGCCGACATACACAAAATCGGCGAGGAGCTGCGCGAGCTGGCGTGGCTTAACGGCAAGGACGAGCCGGTTTCGTTTCTCTCTGTGAGCCGGGATCCGACTACGCTGGACAAACGACGCCGGTTATACGAAAAGGGTGGAATTCTGGCCATAACCACGCGAGTTTTGGTGACGGATTTTCTCGGCGACGTTCTGAGCCCAGACCTCGTGACTGGAATAGTGTTTCTGCACGCGGAGCGCGTCAAGGAGTACTCAAGCGAACGGTTCATCGCCAACCTGTACCGCAAGAAAAATAAATGGGGGTTTGTCAAGGCACTTTCGGACGAGCCAGAGAGCATGGGCGCCGGGTTCCAGCCGTTGTACACGCGACTGAAGTATTTGCGTCTCCAGAAAGTTATGCTATGGCCGCGGTTCCATGTGGACATAACCAACTCGCTCAAGTCGCGCAAGGTGGAAAACAAAGTCACAGAGATCAATGTCCAGATGACAGATTACATGCTGAAGATCCAGACCGGCCTGCTTGCGTGCATGGAAGCCTGCTTAAACGAGCTGAAGCGACATAACCCGGAGATCGCGTCCGACTACTGGACTATCGAGAACGCGCTGGACGAGGAATTCGTGCGCAACATCCGTGCCACGCTCGACCCATATTGGCACAGGGTTTCGCCAACGACAAAACAGGTGCTGTACGACTTTTCCACTCTTCGAGAGCTGCTCGGCCGGCTGTTTACGTGGGACTCTGTGCAGTTCTACCAGGAGTTATCAAGCATCGTCGAGGCAAACAAGCCGTCGGTGACAAACAATAACAAAAGCATGGCTCCGTGGCTGCTGCTGGACGAGGCCATGACGGTTATATCGTGCAGCAAGGCTCGGGTTTTCGATAAAGTGCGCGACGACGACGACACAGAGGCCACTTACTTGCTAGAGGAGCTGCCGAAATGGGAGCAGCTTGCAATGATTTTGGACGACATCAACGAGGAAAAACAGCACCGTGACCACTCTGAGGATGGGCCTGTGCTAATCATGTGCACGACGGCACACTGCTGTAGCCAGCTGCGCAATTTTCTAATGAGTTATAAAGAGTACAGGGCGGGCAACCGCACCGGATTCAGTGCGCGCAAGCTCATGGTGCGGATTTTGAAGCAGCATCTGGCGTGGAAAAAAGGCACGGGCAGTCGCACCGTGAAGATCCAGAAAGAGCTCAACAGGGTTTCGAACCAGGCACGTAGCGACATGGACGACGACGTGGCCGTGTCGCGGACGTTTGTGCGTCGCAAGGCAGTGCCGAACAAACGGCGTCGCGCGCGTGGCGGTGCAGTTATGACGTCGTATAACCGTATGTTGAGCAAGACGGAAGACGACGATAACGTGGACGATGCGGTCCACGAGGCGATGGTCGATATGCTGGAAAACGAGGTTGGTGCCGATCTGAGCGACAACGACGTCAAGGAGGAGGACTCAGGGTCTGTGCCTCCCGAGGAGTTTGAGGAGTTCATGGACCATTTGGAGCAGACACCAGATTTCGAGGAAGTGCGCTCGCATGGCATAACTCTTGAGTATGTTGACCGGACTGACCAAATTATCATCGAGAAATTTGACGCCAAGGCCAGTAATTACCTGCTGGAAGAAGTGATGCCGTCGTACATCATTCTCTACGAGCCGAATCTGGCCTTTATTCGACGGGTCGAGCTCTTTCAATCCTTGAGGCACACAAATCCTGCTCGGTGCTACTTTATGTACTACGGAGACTCTATCGAGGAACAGGGTTATCTGAACAGCATCAAACGGGAAAAGGACGCTTTCACGCGTCTTATCAGGGAAAAGTCCATGCTTCCAAAGACATTCATAACCGACGAGGACGAGAGCGCTAGGTTTTTGCCGTCTGTTGCGCAGAGCACGAGAATTGCAGGGGGTAATCCGCTTGACACGAAAAATAAGGTCGTTGTTGATGTGCGGGAGTTCCGCTCGCAGCTGCCCTTTCTTTGCTACTTGGCCGCGATGGAAGTTATACCTTGCATGCTGACGGTTGGCGATTACGTGTTGTCGCCCAAAATCTGCATTGAGCGGAAATCGATACCAGACCTGGTCAGTTCACTGAAAAGTGGCCGGTTATACCAGCAGTGCGAGCAGATGTTCCGCTACTACGAGCTACCGACGCTGCTGATCGAGTTCGAAGAGGGCAAGTCGTTCTCGTTGGAGCCATTCGCAGGCTACCGCGACGGGCGGCCGCTGGGCACCGGGCCGGGCAGCACGGCGTTCCAGCAGGATCTGCAGCTGAAGCTGATGATGCTACTGATTGCGTTTCCAAGCCTGAAAATCTTATGGACCTCGTCACCGTTCGAGACCGCGCGGCTGTTCCGGGAGCTCAAGCTCAACCAGGACGAGCCCGACGTCGACAAGGCAATCAACGCTGGGCTGAATCCGCTGTTCGACAAGGACACCTACTTTAACGACATGGCGATCGATCTGATCCAGAACATTCCGGGCATTAGCTCTGTGAACGTGCACTTGATTATCAACAAGGTGCGCAACATCCGCGAGCTGGCGCAGATGAGCGAAGCCGATCTGGCGTCCCTTGTTGGGCAGGAGGCTGCTGGCAAGATTGTGCGGTTTTTTGAGCGGACTATATGATAATATGATAGGATCTACAACAAATTTAATTAATAAACTGTGATGGATTAATTGAAGAAAATCAGTTATGGAATTTATGTGATGCGATATTTATTAGACAGTATATTTCCACACCATAGAGAACATGACAGAGTCGATAGACGCCGCCATGGCCAACAGGTCGAAAGGATCGGCTCAGCTTCGTCCGCCAGCTCTCGCTAGCCATTAACCAATTTGTCCACAATGCCCGCCGCATACAACGCCTTCTCCTCCTCGGACCGTCTGGTCACGATCTGCACGCACACGGGCATCTTGTCCCAGTCTGCGTCGCCGTCACGTGCCGAGTCGACGCGGCCCACCGGCACCACTACACACGCACAGTCTGTTATGTTGAACGGCGCTGTGTACCGCGGCGTCGACGACGTATGAGGCTTAGATGCGGCCGTCCACCAGATCGGGCAAATCAGCACGTCCACGCCCCATTTTTTCCATGCCGCGTAAAACTCCTGCTTGCACTCGTACACCTCTTTGCTGACCTGCCACCACTGCGTCACATCGAGCGGTTTGTCGATGCCCTCCTTCACAACGAGGTTTCTAACCTGCTCCATGTCGGGCTCGCCCGTCTGAGCAAGCGTCGTGGCAATCTCCTCGTACGCGTCTGCCCCAAAAACTTTGCCGATGGTGTCGAGCAGTTTTGGTTGCAGATCAAAAATCACAGTTTTCGTTTCGTACGCGGCAGCCTGCAATTTTTGCTCAACAGCGCCCAAACACCGTAGAATGGCCTTCTGCGGTGTCTTGATGCCGTCGTCCTTCCAGAAGCCGAACCGGAGCTTGCCCGTAGAACTGTTCAGCACCTTGTACGGAAGGGCCAGCACCTTGGGATCTGTGTTCCACAGTTCTGCCTCCACAATCAGTCGGAACATCAGGTTGACGTCCTCCAAGCTCGTACCCATCGGGCCAATCACAGACGGCACAAGCTCCTGCCACGCGTAAGAGTTGCTCACGTTCATGTACGAGATCCTGCCCGTGGACGGCTTGAGCGCGTACAGGCCCTGGGCAGCGGACGGGATGCGGATACTGCCGCCGATGTCTGTGCCGAAACCGAGCACCGCGCCGCCGGCGCCAATCAGCGCGCCTTCACCACCGCTGCTCCCGCCCGACGACATGTTCACGTTGACCGCGTTGTACGTGTAGCCCAAGAGATTCGACTCTGTCTCTGTGCACATCATGGCGATCGGGACCGTCGTCTTCACGTAAAAGACGGCTCCCTGGGCGAGCAAAAGGTCCGCCAGCACGGCATTTTTCGCGGCGGGTTTGCCAAACAGCGCGCAGTAGCCGATCGACGAGTCCTTCCCCTCCAGATCGACCTGGTCCTTGAGCGAGACGGGTACGCCGTGCAGCGGGCCGACGGTTTTGCCGTGCGCGGCGTAGAACTCGTCTAGCTGTCTGGCGCGCGCAAGGGCCTCGTCAAAGAAGATCTCAACGCAGCAGTTGAGGATCTGGTGGGCAAGCGCCGCACGGTGGCAGAACGCAGTGGCCACATCGACCGCCGAGAGCTTGCCCGCCGCAATCTTGCGGGCCAGCTCGGCCAGCCCGAGCCGCGTGATCTGCGTCTCTGTCTCGGGCAAGATCGTGTCCAGGTACTCCCGCGTGTTCACAAAGCCTGCCTCCAGCATCCTGTGCTTGAGCCCCGGGTCGCGCCAATCCGCAGGAATCGCCTCCACCAGGTGCTTTTTTTTCGCCTCTCTTATCTGTTGCCACGACATTATCACCGCTGTGGGGCCAGGAACAGCCGTATATAAGCACACGAGCGATGCGCATGCGGCAGGGCTGAAGGGGCATTCGCGCGCTCTCATTGGCTTATCAAAGCCCACCGAGGATCCTTTTCATGCACGATAGCGGGTTTTGCTTATCTTATCGCGCCACTTAGTTTGCGCCTACTTAAACCGCTCAACACCAGGTTCCTGAGCAATGACCACCCCGATTCTCGAACAGAGCTACGGCTACGGGTTTGTGCTCGGCATCGGCGCAGCCTTTGCTCTGCTCATGTCGCTGATCACCCGCGTGCTGTCCAAATACCTCGGCCAGGTCCAGAACTCTGAACGCTTCACTACAGCCTCCAGAAACGTCGGTTCCGGCCTCATTGCCTCGTCCACCGTGTCTGCGTGGACGTGGCCTGCCACGCTTCTCTCGTCTGGCGCGTGGAGCTACGCTCACGGCGTCTCCGGCGGCTTCCTCTACGGCGTCGGCGGCACCATCCAGGTCACCCTGTTTGTGTTTGTGTGCCTGCAAATAAAATCTAGAGCCCCTGCAGCTCACACCGTTTCCGAGTGTTTTTCCGTTAGATTCGGCCCTGTCGGCCACTGGGTGTTTCTCTGCTACGTCTTTGCCACCAACGTGCTCATCTCGTCCCTGCTTCTCCTTGGTGGCTCGCAGGGCTTCTCGGCTACCACGGGCATGAACGTCGTCGCTGCCAGCTTCCTGTTGCCGCTCGGTGTCATGGTGTACACTGCCCTGGGCGGCCTCAAGGCCACCTTTATCTCCGACTGGATCCACACCGTCATCATCTACATCATCCTGCTTGTAGCCAGCTACAAGATCTACTGCTCGTCGCCGCTGATCGGGTCGCCGGGCAAAATGTACGACCTTTTGCAAGAGGCCCAGATAGCGTTCCCATCCGCGACGGGACAGAGCTACCTCAGCTACAGAGATAGCACTATGCTCATGCTCACGTGGACCGTGTGCCTGGGCGGGCTTAGCTCTGTTTTTGGAGACCCGGGCTACTCGCAACGTGCGATTGCGTCCAGCTCCACACAGGTGTTCCAGGGCTACACGCTTGGGGCGCTGTGCTGGGCAGTGATCCCCACCGTTATTGGTTCCTCTGCCGGACTGGCGTGCCGGGCCCTGTTGTCGAACCCCCACTCCCCCACATACCCTAACGAGCTCTCTACAGAGGAGGTCAACAACGGCTTGCCCGTCATCTACGGCCTCTACGCCGTCATGGGCAAGTCCGGCGCAGCAGCAGGCCTCATCATGCTGTTCATGTCCGTCACCAGCGCCAGCAGCGCCGAACTCATTGCCTTCTCGTCTGTCACAACCTACGACGTGTACAGAACGTACATCAACCCAAAAGCCTCAGGAGCACAGCTCGTGCGGGCTGCTCACATAGCCGTCGTGGGCTTCAGCCTGTTTATGGCGGTGCTGTCGGTTGTGTTCAACTACGTGGGGGTCACTGTCGGCTGGCTGCTGACTTTCAGCGGCATCATCGTCAACCCGAGCGTCTTCACCGTCGTGATTACGCTCTTTTGGAGCAAAATGACCAGATTGGCACTTGTCATTGGCGCGCCGCTCGGTACACTTTCGGGCGTCCTGTGCTGGATCGCCGGCGCTTACTGTTTCGGCAACAACGTCGTCGATAAGGACACCCTCAACATAACCAAGGCCACCTTTATCGGCAACTGCACAGCCCTGTTTTCGACTCCGCTGTACATTGTGCTCGTCAGTCTGCTGAAGCCGGATCCGGAGCCGTTTGACATGAACAAGTTCCGTACGAGCATCACCCTGGCAGACGACATGGACGCTGAGGAGGAGCACGCGGCCGAGCTGCCGGCAAATGAGCAGAAGAAGCTGCGCTCGCACATCTGGGCCGCGGCCGTGATCAATATCGTGCTTGTTTTAGGTGTGTACGTTGTTCTGCCCTTGGGATTGTACGGCAGCAACCACGATCTAAGCAAGGCCTCCTTCACAGGGTTTATCGTGGTGGTTTTAATGTGGCTGCTGGTGGCAGCCATGTACATTATTTTATTCCCGCTATGGCAGGGCAGACATTCGATCAAGGTGTTGCTACAGGTGCTACTAGGGCGTGGCTCGGCTGACGGGACCAGCTCCGTGGAGGTCGTCCAGTTGCAGCAGGAGCAGAAATCTTAATGTATGGAGCCATAGCGAAAAAATCTTTTGATTACTGCGTGGGGCCAAAATAGCGATAATTAGTTACTTAGAGCGTCCTGTAATCGCACCAGTAGCTTTGCCGACTCGACCGCCTGCACTGAGATATCAGGCGGCAACGACGGCGTCATGAGTGCGCCGAGAATGGACTCGTCTGCCGGAAACAGCTTGGACACCGAAAACAGTGTTTGCAGCTCGTCTCTGGCCCCCGCTGAGATGGCATACCCCACTGCAGTGCGCAGTAGCACATTCACCAGCTCCATGCTCTTGCCCGAAATGTGGATGTACATCAGTTTGTTCTCGTGGTTGGTCTTGGCGTAGATGGCCGCAAAGATGAACGCAAGCTTGAACAGGTTAGACCCCACGAGCTCGGGCGAGCCGAGCAGCCGCAGAGCCACATTGCGCGAGAACTGCGCGTCCTCAATCACCTCGGCCACAAAAATACTGGCCAGCAGCAGCTCCAGACATGACGGCAACTTGTCGTTGAACCGCTCGATGCCCTCGTAAATCACGTGCAGCGGCAGCGCAGAAACAAAGAAACCCATTGTCCTCACCACCAGGTCGCCGTTTTTCCCCTGGTCGTATGTCTGCATCAGCGAGTTCATCTCCGGGTCCAGGTTCTCGAGCGCTAGCACGGACGACATCATCTTTTTGTTGTTTACCGAACCGCACAGCACCTTGGTGAGTACGTCGATCGCGTGTAGTTGATATTTGCCCTTGTCGGCATCAAACTTGGGCACGTAGAACCCGGCTTTTTCGTCCTCCGGGTCCAGAGGAACGCCGAACGCGAGACACAACGCAAGAACCAGAAAGGCCTCCTTGGTCGAGCGCAGCTCGATCGCATGCGAGATGTTGGTCAAGGTCATCAGTGTGTCTTTCATCAGATGCAATTTTTTCCGTGCAAACACAAACCCTTCGGACGTGCCCAGCGATGTTATCAATGAGTAGACAAAGTTCAGCAACGACGTGTTGGCCGCCATTAGATTATTGTTTGAGGCGCCCTGCGGATTGCTCACAAACGACAAGTTGCGTAAGATCATCGACACTGTGCTGAGCTCCTCCACCAACATCAGTCGACGGTCTAGGAACGTCTTGGCGTAGATGCGGCCGGAGAAATCATCTGCCTCTGCACGTGCGGCTTCAAGCAGCTCCATGTAAGACGGCAGAGCAAACGGTGCCAACGGTCTCTCGTCCACGTCCGACGCCGGCGTGTCGACGCGTGGCGGCTCATCAAACACAACATCTGCGTCGGACTCCTCGACCTCCAGACCCTGCGTCTCGTCGTCCACCTCCTTCGAGGTGAACGAGTCAACCACCACCTCAATGTCCTTGTCTCCCTTCAGTTGGCCGCTATACTTTTGGAAAACCTCGTCTATCTTGTTTGGCTTGAAATACTCCGGGCGTGCGTCTTCGAACCCACCTTTGCGTTTGGTCAAGTTGCCCGAGACCAGCATCTCCAGGATGTCAGTACCAAGACTGGCAAGCGCCTCCAGCAGGCCCATACACTCGCCGAGCGGCACGACGAGGTTTGGGTCCGACGTAACGATAAGCAAAACGTTCAGCGCAAGATTCACCTCCGCGTCGATATTGGACGACAGCGACAACGAGAGCGCGTTCAAATCAATCTTGCCAAGTTCTGGCACAAATAGGAACACAGGCTTCAAATGGTCGATCTGCTCGCCAAACGCAGACAGCGCCTTCAAATCGTGGCCCCCCACTTTGTCGAGCAGTCGTTGGTGCGGCACGTAGTTGCGAATGAAGTCAGGAACAAAGTTTGCGTTCGGCTGCGGCGTCGTGTGGCGCGACTCTGCAGTCGCAGGCGACGGCTCGCTCGCACGCTGTTCCGCTGGAGTGAATTTTGTCTCCTGGACCGAAGCGGGCGTCGGAGCATTGAAAACAGGCGGTGTTTGGTGACTGGTACTGTTGGGTGTGGATTGTTTAGACTGAGTCTGCTGCTCAAGCTGTTTTTTCCGCATCGATAGCTCCTTCATCCCCTCCGGCGTGTTGGCATACAGTTCGAACGGAAGCAGACATTTGTGGTACATCTGGACAAACTCACGCAGCAGCTGGTTGTTGTCGGGTGGGATTCCAAACTTGCTGGCCACAGGCACAATCTTCTTGGACCTGAGCACGTTGTTGAACCCGCCGAACTTCACCATCACGGCGTAAATCAAAAAGAGGTTCATTTTCTTGCCCCCAATCACAGGATACCTCTCCGCCAGGGGAGTGTTGTTGCGATTCATAAACTCTTCCAGGAGACACATAAAGTTGTGCTGCTGCTGCATCTGTATCTGCATCTGTCGCTGCTGCGGAGTGTTGACGTTCGGACTGTTACTGTGGGAGGAGGACGCGGGACGGGGTTGTTGATACTGCTGAGAAGGCGGCGTTGGTGCCGGCACAGACGCGTCGAAAGGGCTCTGCGTTGGTGGCTGGGACGGAACCACACGCTGCTGCTCCAATTGAGCGCCTGGATTGTTCTCAAACACCTGCGGCGAAAAAGAAGACATGGTGCCCCCAGACATCGTCTCGTCGTTAGGATTGAACGTCTCGCCCGGCTTCTTGGCCTGGGACGCAGACGTTTGTGGTGGGGCAGGACGCGCCGACGACGAGTTTTCTGGAAACGTCAAAAATGCCATTTCGTCGTCGCCGGCCTGCTCGTTCCAGAATTCACTGTTCATGGGACAATAATCTAGGGAAACAATTATTTATTATACATTATGATTTTTTGACTATTTTATCAAAAGCCGGGTAACCATGACCACCGCCGGCTCTTCCTGAGCTGTTTCTGCAGGTTCCTATAGTGCTCATACTCGTTCCAGCACGAGCGGTCACCGAAGTTGCAACCTGCCATGTTGACCAAAAAGTCGCGGTCCTTCTCGTTGTAAAAATACTGCGGATCGTCTCTCTGTTCCGCACAGGCTCCTGGCGGAAAGCTATTGATAGCTCGCAGGGGCACAAAGCCAACGCGCTCCCTGATCCACGGCTGTGTTCTATACAGTGTCTCGAGACAGTCCTGTTCCTTGTGCTCCCACGTCATGTGCATCTGCTCGTAGAATACCGGGTCCCACCAGATGTCCAGCAAAAGCTCTGTCCATTCAGACCGTCTCACCAGAAAGCTTCCTAAGTTGAACCCTCCGCAGTCCTGGGCCAGCACCAAGTCCACAGGAGCATGCTCGACGTCCACGTATGGTGAGTCCACGGGAATGTGCAGCGGGTTGTGGTACGACAGGTCTCTGTAGGTGCGGTTTTCCAGATTTTTGAATAAGTATTCCTCGAGAGAGATCTGCGGCTCCATGATGAACGTGTGAAGGTCTAGCCACCAGAACCACTCGGCTTCTGGATACTGGCGCATGGTCTGTTTGAGAATATCTGCCTTTTCCCAGCCTTCGCGCCATTCGTGGCTGTATCTTCTTTTCAATGCTGTGTCTTTAATGGAGAGGATGTACCCGTGTTGCTCGGCATATTCTCGTTTGTTAGCGATTGACGACCGCTCCACAGACCATTCCTGCGGGGTTTTCCATCGCTGCACACCACCGCCTTCGTTGGCCGCCAGAATGATCACCACCCGCGGGTTCTTGTGGTAGTGGGGCAGAAGGAAGAACAACAGCAGCGGCAGCAGCAGCAGTACGTACGGCCGGTGGCGCAAATACCGCGCAGCAAGCTCCAGCCACGCAAACGGCGATTGGGTCGCTGGCTTGAGGGTCTTCGAGTATGGCTGGTGGGCCGCGTACGGGGTGGACATGGAACCGTAATATTTATTTATAGTTTCTAAAATAAACTAAAAGTCGATCGTCGCTAAAGGCCTTTCAGCAGCTGGTCGAAGTCGGGCACAGTCACGGTATCGCCCATATAATTAGCGTCGACGAAATTCGACACCGGCATGTGCATTACATCGGCAAAGTCCTCCATCTCGGGCATCCCGTCGAGGCTGAAAGGCGCGCTCGTCTCCGCCGTCGGGTCGGCACTGAATTTGAAGTGTTTGAGGAAGTCGGACTCCCTGACGTTGGCCATTTCTGTCGGGTTGCTGCTATGCGCGAGCCACTCGTTGATACTGTCGTGCGAGCTGTCGGAAACCGACTCGCAGCCCGTGCTTGGCTGTGTTGCCGGGAAGTGCTGCAACGATTTGGTTGCAGGGTCCACCACGGGCTCCGCATTGCTGTCGGTGGAGTATTTGGCCCGCTTGCGTGGAATAAATGGCGCGTAGTTCCTATGGTACAGCTGGAAGGGCAGGAAAGAGTTCAGCTCGCGACGATCTTTCTCCAGCTGGTCGTCTGCCCCCTCGAACAACCGCGCCTCCAGCTTGTGCTCGATCCGTGCGCTGATCTCGTCGTTCAGCTGGTCCGGGAACGTGTCGCTCGCGTCACTCACCTCAAACGTGGTCCGCAACAGTTTCAATCTCTTCCTCTTGTCGAGGTATACCTGTCTCACCACATAGTGTGCCATTTGGCCTTGGAGATACTGTTTGCCGTATTCCTTCATAGAAAGCAGGTTCTTCTGGATGCAGTCGTCCGCCATCTTTGCGATCGTCGCGTCTTCGTTTAGCAGCTGGCACAGCATGGTGAACGAGCTCGAAAAAATGCACTGCATGTAGATATTCGGACACGGAGCATAGTTATTGTCCTTGAGCCACTGGGCCGAAATCTGCGAAATCATAAACGCACAATGGAAAGTCAGCCCCCATGAAGGGATGTTCTGCAAGAACTCCTTGTCTTTGCGCTGAACCACAAGTTTTTTGTACTCGCGCAAAATATTCACCCGATGGATCGTCAGCAGCAGTAGATAATAGTACATCGTGATCAGCGCCGAGTGGGATGTCTGCGACTCCGGATCATCCAGCTTGAATACCAGATGCGGAGGAAGACTCTCAAACCACTTAGTCACCAGCCTGTCGCACTGGTCCACGTCCCTCCACAGCAAAATCCCGTCCGCCGTATTGTCATTGGATGATGTGATATCGATAAGCTCGCCGATCTTGATCAGATTTCGAAAATACTCGTGGTTATTTTGCGCAAAGTCGTCGAGCGCAAACAGCTCCTCCGTGTTCTTCGAAATCGCCGTTTCCGCCTTGGACACCAGATATGAGCCGCTGTGCCAGAACACAAACATGCGGTCACGTGCGTAGATGATCCACCACAGCCTGCGATACATGTTGCGCTCGTACTGCGGCAGCCGTGGTTGTTCTTGGTAGAACCTGTTGTCCTGGGCAACCTGGTGTGCCATGCGCAGCCACGTGCGTCCGCTGGTGCCCATGGCGTACTTGGTCATCTCCGAGATGCACGAAAGCACCAGGTACGTTTGCACGAGCGCGATCGGGTCCTGCTCCACAGACGCGTCCACAAGCGCCTTGGTTCTCTTGTAGAACACGGCAGTGTATTTGTCGTATGTGTTGCGCTCTTCCTCCGTTGCGAGCTCTGCTTTTGCAAGAATTGAGCCGATGCAGAGCAGCGCTTGCACCAGCACCAACGACGGCACGTCCTCCAATTGCTGGTGGTCTTTAATGAACTTCCCGTACTCCAGGATCATCAAGCAGTTGTTCATGTTTTTGAAAAAGAAGTTGAACAGTTTCCAGCAGGTAACCCGGTCCGGCAGATTGAAGCACCCTAGCTGCGTCATGTACTGCAAATCCAGGTCGTCGAGCTCCGTTTCGTATCCCACGACGTTTTTGTAGAACTTGGACGCCAGCTCGTTCACAGCAGGATAGAAAGCCATGTTGACCGCACGGCTCTCTGTCTGGGCCGCTGAACGCATGTATTTTTTGGGCGAGAACTTGATCACGTTCAGGAAATTATCCTGCGTCACGAAATACGTCACCCCGTCGGTCTTCCTTCTGCGCTTGTGGAGCACGCACTGAGACTCTACCTTCAGCTCCTTACACTTGCTGCACGGCATGCCGGCAGTGCCAATATCACATTTTATTTTTCGCCGGTGGCAAATCACACACGCAGCTCCGACCTTGCGCTGATCCATAATATAGATGATTTATAATCTATTTTTTTATTTTTCATCTTCGTAATTCATTAAGTTATATGTCGTAGGTTTTTCGGAACGACTCCACATTCAGGCCAGGCTTAACCTTGTCAATCAGGTCACGCCGGTCCATTGCTAGAAAGGCGCGCTTTAAAGTTTCGATCAAGCTCGTGGACTGATTGCTACGGGCTACAGAAGAAGACCCATCCAACGACTCCACCTCGTGCATGCTCAGTCCAGTGAGTAGGTGATCCACGGCGTCGCGATACATTCCCATGTTGATGAAAGAAACACCCAAGTTGTATCTTGCTCTCACAAAGTTGGGGTTCAGCTGCAAAGCGCGCGAGTACGCCTCAATTGCCTGCTCGGGCTTGTTCGAGTTGGCAAGCGACGCACCCAGACGATTCCACGCCAGGGCGTCGTTTGGATTGTGTTCGATCGCCGCCTGGAAACAATCCAACGTCTTGCTGTACTCCTCCATCGAGTAGAACAGCACTCCAAGCCCCGTCTGCACCTCAGAGTCCATGTTTGCTCCTTCGGGAGACAGCTGTGCTGCTTTGATAAATAACTGTGTCACACGCTTGTTGAGCGAGAACCGGTCGTCCGCCTGGATGTCTGGGTTCGCATTTCGGGCACGCTCGGCAACCTCCGGGTATTTGGTTTCGATCCATCTCTCCAGCGTAGCAAACGCTGCGTTGTCGTACCCTTCGTTAATGTACGAAATTGCCAGAGTCATAAGTGCAACAAGATTCTGAGGCGACAGTTCCAAACACTTCTCCAACGCTGCTATTCCAGCAAGTTCTTTCTCGTTCTGGGTCTGGACCTGGCCCAGACGCAGCCAGGCATCGACATGGCCGGGATTCTGCTCCACGGCAGCCTCAAATGCCAGCGCTGCCTCACTGAGCTTCGCACCGCTTTCCATCAGCTTGATGCCAATCTCGTAGGCGTCCAGATTGTTACGGAACTGATTATTCTCCTCAAAAGTGTACTCGCCGTAGTTCAGCCTTGTCTGTGCGTACTTTTCGAAATCTTTCTCCCATTGCGCCTGGAACTCGTCGTTGCTTAGCATGTTGTCCGCATAAGTCTCCTGGATGTTGTCCCAGACTTGGTCAAACGCGCTCTCCTGTGCGGAGACCGTCTCCTCTGCCGGCTGCTGCATCTCGGCTGTTGCCTCTTCCATCTCCTCCATCTCCTCCATCTCCTTGAATTGCTGCTCCCAGTCCACCTGCTGGCTTGTGTCCTCCTGCATCACGCTGTTTGTCATGCTACTGGCCTGAATTGGCCCATTCGCAGAACTAAAGGGCCTCAAGTGCAACCGTGGAGCCATCCCCATCGATCTCATCCGAACCTGGCTGACTGGAGACGGACTGTGTGTAACCTGAGACGTGGCCGTGTTCTGGAACTCTGACGACCACCCAGAAACTTGCGGCTGAGCTTGTCCTGGAATTTGCAAGGGCACTGGGTTCTGCGCGCGCGGACCCCTCAGAGCAGGGGTGGTCTGCGTTTGCAGGTCCGGCTGGATCATGCGCAGCTCATTGGCCATCGGCTGAAAGTTGAACGGCGTGCTCTGGTTCATAAACTGCTCCATGTGTGCCCTTTCGGCCTCGTTCATAGCCACGGGTGCTCTGATTTGGGCATTTTGATGGGTATCGTGAGCGCTGTTGCGGAGCGATTGCTCGAGCGACGTATCATGCTGCGACTGCTTGAAAAACTGCGCCAGTGGATTGGCGTTGGCAGCACACTCCGATCCTCCCAGAAATGACATATTGATGGTTTGTGCTCAAGTCGCGGTGGTAGGCGATTTATAAAAATTCTCGGCTGCGGTTCCAATTTCCGCTTGTGGGCCCCACCCTCCGATAAGTCACACCCGTGCACCGGCAGGGGCAGGGCGGTGGAGCTTGGGAGCCGTGTCGCAGAGAAACAGGTAGACGTGACCCCACACAAAGCTGAACACGTTCTCGTAGAACCATGTGAGCGGCAGCGTACGCATGTTTCCGTGCATAGGATGGTATCTGACCACGGACAGCACTGTGAACATCACAGGTAGGTAGATGGCGTTGAAGCGGTAGATGCCGAGAATTTGCAGTCCGTCCGTCGGGTTGCGCCTAGAGTAGATGTAAAGCATTGTGTCCATGAGATGTTCACCGATTCTGTATAGTGGGTGGACGTAGGTGCTGAACATAAAGAGCCCCGAGCTCAGGATTGCAAGACACGTGATGAAGTCTTTTGTGCGATGGAACGAGTTTTCAAGGTACTTGGAGTACCCCACAAACATGTATAATATTACCAGAACGTTGAACGAAAACGGGCCGAAATACAGCAGAGACGTCAGTATTCGCCAGAACTGGCCGCGGATGAACACGTCCTCATAAGTGTAGACAAGGTCTCTTTCGGACGCAAAGCCGGCAAAGTTGATCAGCGAGACGGCAACTATGCCGATAGTAAGCATCCGAGTGACAATCGGCACTTCCATCAGCCATTGGACAGGCATGTGTTCCATTTTGTGGATTTATTTTTTGAAACTTTTTAATTTTGATTTTATTTTGATCTTTTTTTCCTACAATGCTCCTTGTTCCCTCCTCTCCCTCCTGGAGCAATGAAAATGAAAAAACACTCACCACACCGTACCACTATCTTGCGGACCAGACCCAGGGAAAGCATCTGAGGAGCCTGTTGATCAGAACGTTCAACTTGGTGCTTAATGTGCCGGCAGAGAAACTGGAAAAGATCGAGGCTGTGATCGATACATTGCACCTTTCGTCTTTACTGATCGACGACATTGAGGACAACTCAAAGCTTCGGCGTAGCAGGCCGTGCGCCCACATGATTTTTGGTGTTCCCCAGACCATCAATTGCGCCAACTACATGTACTTTGTGGCGATGCGCCTGCTGACAGATGCCATCGAAAACGAAGACAAAAGGCTTGCGGCACAGAATATCTTTCTGGACGAAATGACCAATCTGCACCGGGGCCAGGGTCTCGATCTTCACTGGCGAGAAAATAACGAGTGTCCGTCCGAGAAAGAATATGTCAATATGGTGATGAACAAGACGGGAGGATTGTTCAGGCTGAGCGCAAAGTTGATGAACCTGCTGGCTGATCAGCCTTGCGACAAACTCATTGCGCTAAGCAACATGCTCGGAGTGATCTACCAGATCAAAGACGACTACATGAACCTCATATCCAACGTCTACAACAAAAATAAGGGATATTGCGAAGATATTACCGAGGGGAAGTTCTCGTTCCCCATTATTCATTCAATCAATGCAAACCCAACCAATAGGGAGCTACAGAGAATACTGAAATTGCGCACCGAGGAACACGAACTCAAGTTGCATGCCCTTAACATCATGAAATCCACTAATAGTTTCGAGTACTGCCGCGAAGCTCTCCGCGATCTTGAGAACCAGGCACGGGAGGTGATTGCTGAGGTCACTCAAGACCCTGCCATCCGAATTAAACTGACCAGCACACTAGCAAGAGTGTCTAGCTTGGATGCAGAGAATAGCAGCTAGTCGATCTCCATCTCCACGTCCTCGTCCTGTGCGACCTGCGTATCTTCGTCGTCGCTGTCAAGCTCCTCAATCTTTCCCTTGAGGTCCTTGGAGTCTATATATCGCGAGTATGTGAGCATTTCGGGATTATAGTATTTGACGAGAGCACCTTGACTGCGCACATATCGATCGTATAGCTCACTGAGCTCGTTCACGCGCCGGCCTTCCGCCACGTTTGGTATGATTAGTTTGTTCAGGTCCACATTCGAAAGGTCCACCTTCTCGCCTTCCAGAGGGTCTGGGTTCTCTCTCAGGAACTGGTCAATGTTGGATATCACGACCCGGTCGCTTGCTGGGCTGTGTTGCGGCGCAGAGTTCAGATACTCGCTCTCAAACATGGATTTGCTTGTATACCCCGGGCCTCCAGCACCGATGTGGAGATCCGTGAAATTTTCAATCAGTCTTCGCTTTGTATCGCGGAATGCCGACTCCCCGGCATCCAGAAACCGTTTCCTGCCTATGCACGCCATGTCCGGGTCCATGTCATAAGAAGAGACATGTATATTTAAAGAAATTTCGAGTCGTGCGATAAGGAAAATTTGCTCTATCCAGAATTTCCACGAACGTTCTACGCTCTGGTGGTGTAAAGGCCCACGACTGTTATGATGTATGAGAATTCGTAGGCCGCTTAGCATCTTAATGTTGTCACCGTACTATACTTTGTGATACTATTTGTAGTCTATTAATAGTGTAACCCGTAATTTGGTAACTCCTGTGTCTACATGGCGGTGCTAATCTAATTTCTCTTTATTTTCACCATGTCGACTCCCCTGGATAATTGGCATGTGGACGAAATATTCACCGAGCTCGGCTCGAAAGACGCCGGCCGGCAGAAGCGCGCTGCTAGCAGGCTACGCGACCAGTTTGTTGCCGTGTCGCGTGAAGCCATCACAGCCGAACAATTAAGTGTCTATAACAACTACATCAACAAACGCATATTCGATCTTATCAACAGTTCGAGCGTCTCGCAGCAGCTAGGCGGCATTGAGGCGATCAACGCGCTTGTGGAGTTGATCAGCAGCTCGATGCCGCGTATTGGAGCCTCTTCAACCACGGAAGAGAACTCCAATATGATCGCCCGGTACGCTAACTACCTCCGTCGGCTGATCACGTCGAACGACCTCGCCGTCATGAGACGGGCCACCACGACGCTTGGCAAGCTGGCCATTCCGGGGGGTTCACTCACAGGCGATTTTGTGGAGTTTGAGGTCAAGCGGTCGATCGAGTGGCTCGTGGCGGAGAAAGTGGAAAACAAAAAACACGCAGCCATCCTGATCATTAGCTCTCTGGCAGAAAATGCCTCCGCAATGCTCTATCCGTACATCAAGGAGGTGCTGTCGAATATTTGGATTGGCTTGCGCGACTCAAAAAGCTTGCTCAGAGAAGATTCCGCCATCTGTCTCCGTCACTGTCTGAATATAGTGTACGAGCGAGACCTGGAACTTAGAAGCTATTGGTTTTCAAAACTGTACACGGAGGCGACGCTGATATTCCGCAACTCGCCTGCGACTTCCAACGGAAGTGGTCCCGTGGTGAATAATAATCCGTCGGAATTCATTCATGGGTCCTTGTTGTGCTACAGAGAGCTGGTTCTCCAGGGCTCGTCGCTGCTGCACTCGAAAATAGACGATATTTATGAGAACCTCATGGGCATCAAGGACCACCGGTCTGTCGATGTGAGAAGAGAGGTCACCAAAATCATGCCTATCCTTGCGAGATTCGACAGGGTCAAGTTTGTGGACAAATACATGCATCGCGTGCTGCTCTACTACATCTCGCAGCTGAAAATTGGCAAAGACCGCTCATTCATCCTGCTGAGTATTGGAGATCTCTCTGTGGAGGCCAAAAATAACATCATCAACTATCTTGACGGTGTCGTGCTCGAAAGCATCAAGGACGCGTTGGCGTCAAAAGTGCCCAAAACGAAAAAAGAGCTTGTTCCGTACTGTTTCTACTGTCTGGCAAAATTGGCGATTTCTCTCGGACCGCCATTGACAAAGTTCATCAACAATTACGAGCTCATGACACTGATTCTCAAATCTCCAATCAATGACAATATGCTTAGTCTGCTTAAAATATTCATCGACAACCTCCCGTCTTTAGAGCCCATGATCAACGAAAAACTGATCAACGCAGTCAGCTTCTGTCTGTCGGGATTCGAGTTCAAACATCCTGGAGCTCCCGACTTCAAACGACAAATGAACGCCACTCTTGCACACAACTACCGTCACAGCATGTACATCAGAGACGGCGGCCAGTTCGGTACGCCGCCAGTAGATATCACCTCGCTCACAGGGCTGCCAAAAAGCCACTACCAGGAAGAGCCCGACGTTGTGATTATTCTACAGGCCCTCAAGACCTTGAGCTATTTTGACTTCAGAAACTACTCTCTGACAGAATTTGTCCGCTATTCTGTCATCCACTACATCGACCACGACAGTCCTGAGGTGCGACTACGGGCAGCTTTGACCTCGTCCAAAATATATCTCTCGGACCCAATCTGTCTCCAAAAAAGCCTGAACTCTTTGAAAGCTGTGAGTGAGGTTCTTGACAAACTGCTTACAGTCTGCATTACCGATCCGCACGAGGAAATCCGCCTGCAAGTGCTCAACAGTCTGGGTGAGAGATTTGATCCCCAGCTGTCTCAGGCCGAGAACGTGAGGCTGCTTTTCATGGCTCTGAACGACGAGTCGTTTGAGATTCGCAAGGCGGCCATCAAATTGGTTGGAAGACTCTCAGCAATCAACCCGGCTTACATCGTGCCCTCGCTGCGCAAGCTGCTCATCCAGCTGCTCACCACGCTGGAGTATGGTGGCCACAACTCCAGAGAAAAGGAAGACACGGCGCTGTTGCTTGCTGTGCTGATTTCGCACACAGGCGACCTAACAAAGCCGTATTTCAAGCCCATCATGGACGTGTTGCTGCCTGCCAGCACCGAACCCGGTGCTTCTGTTGCGGCAGCGGCAATTGCAGCGATTGGCGAGCTGGCCGTAGTGGTTGGTGACGAAATGGTGCAGTACATTCCGCAAGTGATGCCAATTTTTATCGAAACGTTCCAGGACCAAAGCATGAGCTTCAAGCGGGACGCAGCACTGAAAACGCTCGGCCAGATCGCCGGGTCCTCGGGCTACGTTATCCAGCCGCTGCTCGATTACCCGCAGCTGCTGGGTCTGCTGGTTAATATTCTGAAGTCTGAGACATCACTGGCAGTGAGACGCGAAACTGTGCGTCTGGTCGGTATCCTCGGAGCTCTCGATCCGTACAAACACAGAGAAGTGGAACGACACGGCCAGGATTCGCAGACTGTGGCAGAGCAGAATGCACCGCCCGTGGACATGGAGCTGCTGATGAAAGGTAAGTCGCCGTCAAACGAGGACTATTTCCCAACAGTGGTGATCAAGACCCTGTTGCGCATACTCAAGGATGCGTCCTTGAGCACCCATCACCCGGCCGTCATCCAGGCGATCATGCACATCTTCAAGACGCTGGGAATCAAGTGCGTTCCGTTCCTGGACAAAGTTATTCCTGGTTTCGCGACTGTGATTCACACGTGTCCGCCCTCGTTGCTGGAAACATACTTCCAACAGCTGGCCGACTTGATCAAGATCGTCAAGTTGCACATCCGCCCTCATTTACCAGAGATTTTCGCGCTCATTGAGGAATTCTTCCACCAGGTCAATCTCCAGGTCACCATTATTGGCATGATAGAGCAGGTCTCGAAGGCCCTGGACGACGAGTTCAAAATCTACATGTTTCAGGTGATTACCATTTTTCTGGACGTGCTGGACAAGGACGACTCACCGCGCAAGGTGTCGACGTTGCGCGTACTCAAGGCTTTCACAGTTTTCGGCAGCAACATTGAGCCGTACATGCATCTCGTGATTCCACAGATAGTCAAGCTTTTTGAGTCACCGGACGAAGTTGTCAGTAAGGAGGCCATCGAAACTATTGGGAAATTGTCTAGACATGTCAGTCTAAACGACTACTCGTCCCGAATTGTGCAGCCACTAGTTAGAATTCTGGTCTCGCATTCTTCCGAAGACATCAAGAATTCTGTCGTGAACACCATCTGTCTGCTCTTGCTGCAAATGGGCACCGAGTTTTCTGTGTTCATCCCAGGAATCACTAGCATCATGACGAAACATAAGCTGCAATATCCCGTCTACGACCAACTGGTTGACAAACTGATTCACGGCGAGCCGTTGCCAACCACTCTCCTGAATGATAAAACGCAGGAAACTCCGTCCAACGACAACTTCGACATTGAAGCAACGCCGCGGAAACTCCCAGTCAACGCCCAGGCGCTGCGTTATGTCTGGGACTGCAATAGCATGCGCACAAAAGAGGACTGGCAGGAATGGATCCGCCGACTGAGCATTGAGCTGCTCAAGGAGTCGCCGTCGCCGGCTTTGCGTGCCTGCTCCTCGCTCGCTACCGTTTATCCACCTCTGGCTAGAGATCTTTTCAACTGTGCCTTTGCAAGCTGCTGGAACGAGCTGCACATCCAGTACCAGGGAGAACTGGCCCAGGCTCTGTGCATTGCGCTGTCCTCGCCGAACAATCTACCGGAGATCCACCAGACGCTTCTCAATCTTGCTGAGTTCCTCGAACACGACGACAAGTCGCTGCCGATAAGAATCCAGACCCTGTCGCAGTACGCGCAGCGGAGCCATGTGTACGCCAAAGCACTGCACTACAAGGAGCTGGAATTCATTCAGGAGCCGTCTACGCCGACAATCGAATCCCTGATCAGCATCAACAACCAGCTGCAGCAGTCGGACGCCGCTATTGGAATTTTGAAGTACGCTCAGGACCACCACGGCCTACAACTCAAGGAGACCTGGTACGAAAAGCTCCAGCGCTGGGACGATGCATTGCGTGCTTACAACGAACGTGAGAAGGAGGAGCCGAACTCCACCGATATCACTATGGGAAAAATGAGATGTCTACATGCTCTGGGCGAATGGGAGCTGTTGAGCGAGCTAGCGCAGGATAAATGGAACAATTCGTCTGGTGACATCAAAAGGGCCATTGCGCCACTGGCTGCTGCGGCCGCCTGGGGAATCGGCCAGTGGGAGCGTATGGGTAACTACATTAGCGTCATGAAGGTGGAGTCGCCAGATAAGGCGTTTTTCAATGCTATTTTGTGTCTTCACAGAAACAATTTTGAGGAGGCCGCAGAACAAATTTCGAAGGCCAGGGATCTTCTGGTCACGGAGATTACTGCATTGGTGAGCGAATCGTACAACAGGGCGTACGGGGTGGTTGTGAGAGTGCAGATGCTGGCCGAGCTCGAGGAAATCATCAAGTACAAGTGTTTGCCCCAAGGCTCTGAAAAACGCATCCAGATCCGCGAGACGTGGAACAAACGGCTTCTGGGCTGCCAGCGGAACGTGGATATTTGGCAAAGGATGCTTAAAGTGCGTGCTCTGGTCGTGAAGCCGAAGCAGGACATGGAAATGTGGATTAAGTTTGCCAATCTGTGCCGGAAATCGGGCCGGCTGGGGCTTGCGGAAAAGTCGCTCAACGCACTTCTGGACGAGGGTGACTCCGGCCACCAGACGTCCCGGGCGCCACCCCACGTGGTGTACGCACAGCTGAAATACATGTGGGCCAGAGGCCAGCAGCGAGAGGCGCTCAACCACCTGATCGACTTTGCGTCGAAACTATCACGTGACCTAGGCGTGAACGAGAACGAGGCCATCACGCAGCCTCTGCCAACGGCCATTCCTGGCGCCTCCGACAATATCGAGAAGTACACCATGCTGCTGGCGAGATGCTATCTCAAACAGGGCGAATGGAAGATTGCTTTGAATAGCAACTGGACAGAGATGGACTCTACAGGTATCTTAGGCTCGTTCCTGCTTGCTACGCATTTCGACCCCAAGTGGTACAAAGCCTGGCACAACTGGGCTCTCGCAAACTTTGAGGTGATTTCCCCGCAGGCAAAGCAGTTGCACCAGGAAAGTGCGGACGTGGACGAGAAGAGTCTGGGAGGCATTTTGCACTACGTGGTGCCAGCGGTTAAGGGATTTTTCCACTCGATCTCGCTCTCGCAGTCTAATCCACTCCAGGACACGCTGAGACTGCTGACGCTGTGGATCAAGTACGGAGGCATTGAGGAAGTGGCCAATGCGATGCAGGAAGGGTTCCAGCTGGTGAAGGTCGACACGTGGCTGGACGTGATTCCGCAGTTAATCTCGAGGATCCACCAGCCGGACCCTGTGGTGAGCAAGTCGCTTTTGGGTTTGCTGTCGGATCTGGGCCGGGCGCATCCGCAAGCGCTGATTTATCCGCTGACAGTGGCCATCAAATCCGACAGCGTTTCGCGGCAGAGGGCAGCTCTGACAATCATCGACAAGATGCGTGCACATTCGGCGCGGCTGGTGGATCAGGCGGACCTTGTGAGCAATGAGCTGATCCGTGTGGCGGTGCTATGGCACGAGATGTGGTATGAGGGGCTTGAGGACGCGTCGCGGTCGTACTTTGGCGACCAGAACATCGAGAAGATGTTCCAGATCCTGACACCTCTGCACCAGATGCTCGAAAAAGGGCCAGAGACGATCCGAGAGGCCTCGTTTGTCAATGCTTTCGGCAAGGAGCTGAACGACGCGCATCAGTGGCTGATGAATTTCCGGCGCACAAAGGACGTGGCGTACCTTAACCAGGCATGGGATCTGTACTACGGCGTCTTCCGCCGGATTTCCAGACAGTTGCCGCAGCTGCAAAACCTCGATCTGCAGCATGTTTCTCCCAAGCTGCTGGCCGCAAAGAATCTCGAGCTCGCTGTTCCGGGAACATACGTGCCAGGAAAAGAGGTGATTCACATTGTGCGTTTCGAGCCGGTGTTTTCTGTGATCACATCGAAGCAGAGGCCGCGGAAGTTCAACGTTCTGGGCAGCGACGGCAAAAAGTACCAGTACTTGCTTAAGGGGCACGAGGATATTAGACAGGACAACTTAGTGATGCAGCTATTTGGATTAGTGAACACGCTACTTGCGAACGACCCGGAGTGTTTCAAGCGGCATATGGACATCCAGCAGTACGCGGCGATCCCGCTGTCTCCTAGCTCGGGCATGCTTGGATGGGTTCCTAATTCCGACACGTTCCACGTTCTCATCAAGGAGTACAGAGAACCGCGCAAGATCTTGCTAGACGTGGAACATCGTATCATGCTGCAGATGTCTCCGGACTACGACAATTTGACATTGCTGGAGAAGGTGGAAGTGTTCACCTATGCCCTGGATATTACGCGAGGCCAGGATCTATACAAGGTGCTGTGGTTCAAATCGAAGTCGTCAGAGGCCTGGCTCGACAGACGAACCACGTACACGCGCTCCTTGGCGGTGATGTCGATGGTGGGATATATTTTGGGTCTTGGCGACAGACACCCTTCGAACCTGATGATGGACAGAATCACTGGAAAAGTGATCCACATCGATTTTGGCGACTGTTTCGAGGCGGCCATTTTGAGAGAAAAGTACCCGGAAAAAGTGCCGTTTAGACTGACACGGATGCTGAGTTACGCGATGGAGGTGAGCGGTATTGAGGGCTCTTTCCGGATCACCAGCGAAAATGTCATGAGAGTCCTTCGCGACAACAAAGAGTCGTTGATGGCCATTCTGGATGCCTTTGCGTACGACCCGCTGATCAACTGGGGTTTTGACTTTCCGCTGAAGCAGATAGTCGACAATCCGAACCAGCACTTCCCAAACGCAAACTACAACGAGCTGTTGCGCAGCGGCCAAATCACCGAGGAGGAGGCCTCCCGGATGGAGGCGCAGAACAAGGCAGATATCTTGAACGCGCGGGCTGCGTACGTGCTCAAGCGTATCACAGACAAACTGACGGGAAACGACTTCAAGCGGTTCCGGGAGCTGGACGTTCCGAGCCAGGTCGACAAGCTGATCCAGCAGGCTACCTCTGTGGAGAACCTTTGCCAGCACTACATAGGATGGTGCTCTTTTTGGTAATGCGAGCCACACTGTTTACACGATTCTTGGTGTTGTATTCTCAGTGCCAGGCTAATTTTTCCGCCTCGCGGAAGCCCATGTCCGTGGGACGGAGAGTGCAGTAGATGATAGATAAGACGTCTTGGTGAATAGAGAGATGGTCCGTTTGAAACTACAGCTGTAGCCACGAAACCTGCTGCCTGTGTGTCGCGTCTCCCCCCACTGGAGAAAAAGCTACGGGCCTATTTGATGCCGTCGTCCCTGTGTTGTACTGAATATTTATGGTATACTATCTAATCATGCATATTTCTGCCTGATTTGGATATCCGAAAGATCGACAGCAGCCACCAAAGATAAGATACCATCAAAATTACTTAGCACATCTAATGACTGAAGTGAAAGAAAAACTCCCGGAGGTGGAGATTGAGGCTGCCTCAATCCTGTCCATCCCCGACAACAAGCTCAAAAAGCACCTCAAGCCCAGACACGTCAATTTCCTAGCCTTGGGCGGATCTCTTGGGGTCGGGCTTCTTATTGGAAGTGGGGGCTCCTTAGCCATTGCCGGACCTGTCGGGATGCTTCTCTCGTACATGATCATGGGACTGATCACCATGTGCACACTGTTCTCGCTGGCCGAGATGTGCTCTTTGCTGGGCAGCGAGGGTAATTTCGTTGAGATGGTCTCACGATTTGTTGACAAATCGGCCGGATTTGCGTACACCTGGTGCTACGCGCTCGGCTACAACCTGACACTACCGTCTGAAATCTCCTCAATCTGTCTTTTGATCGGCTACTGGGACACGGAAAAAAAACTGCCCGATTATGCGATAGTGCTGATCTTCACGTTTTTCGTGCTTATGGTCAACATTGTGGACGTGGGCGCGTATGGAGAGGTGGAGTTCTGGATCACCATGGTCAAGCTGCTTCTGATTGTCGGAAGCATGATTTTCTGTCTGGTTGCTACCTGGTGGCAACCCGTTGCACAAAACGACAGGCTTCCAGTACTGGAGAGACCCGGGGCCTTTTGTCCACTATTTGACAGATAAGCCTGTTGGCAAGTTCTTAGGAGTTTGGAGAGTATTCATCAACGCTGGTTTTGGCTTTCAAGGAACTGAAGTTGTTGCCTTGACAAATAGCGAGGTGCCAAATTTCCGAAAAATGGCCCCGTCCCTGATGAAGTCGGTGATTGTGCGGATTATCACCTTCAACGTTGTTTCGTTGTTTATGGTCACTTTGATGGTTGCATCCAACGACGACAAGCTCTTGAGCGCGGTCAACGCCGGGGCAGGAAACGGCGCAGAGTCGCCGTTTGTCATTGCTGTCGAAAATGCCGGGGTGAAAGTACTGCCTTCTGTAGTCAATGGTGGCATTCTCATTGCTGCCATGTCTGCGGCCAACACCCAGATCTACATCCCCTCCAGAACATACTTCTTTGGTCAAAAATACGGCTACTGTCCCAAATTCCTGACAATCACCAATAGAAACGGCGTGCCGTACTACTCGGTGATCTGCAACGCCGCGTTCGGTCTTCTCGCGCTGCTCACTCTCAACAACACCGCAGAGCAGGTCTTCAACTGGCTGATGAACCTGACTACCGTGTTTGGTTTTATTGGCTGGACACTGATCAATTACGCTTTCATCAGGTACTACTATGGGCTAAAAAAGCAGGGCATTGACCGAGACGAGCTTCCCATCTACAAATCGCCTCTCCAGCCGTACTCGGCTATTTTTGCAGCTTTGATGCTGGTGCTGATAACGTTCACGCAGGGATTCACCGCTTTCATTCCCTGGGATACGCAGAACTTTTTTGCTGCCTACATTTCGCTGGTGATTTTTGTTGTTTTCTGGGTTGGCTACAAAGGTTGCACCAAGAATTTCAGACAGATTCCGCTGGAAAATATTGATCTGAGCTATTCGCAAGACGAAGACGAGCTAGAGTATCACTCAAGAGCAGCGAGATACATGGATAAGGTCTTTAGCTGATTCATAAGCAGGAACAGATCTGGGCTCTGCTTGTCTATTTCATCCATATTTAAGTTAAAAATATCTCGGTAAAATTACGCTCTAGGGCAGTTATGTTTTGCTTAGAAGCCGTCAAACCTCTTTTCGACCAAACCTGTTCACTTACAAAACCGTGCCCTAATCGATCAAATTCCAAATGCGTCCAAGAGCTGTTGTTTAGCAGACTTCTTTCTCCAGTTGCTCAACGATTGACGAATGTCCTGTCTTAGAGTCAATTTCGTTGGTCCTTGAGAAACCTCTTTCTCTTCGCCGCTCGTGGCGGTAACGTCGGCCACAGACGCCGACTCCAAGGCAGTGTCGTTCTCATAAACATCGGCCTTGTCGGTGAGCTGAACGTTGTGAACAAGCAGCATCATAATGAGCATAGGAGTGATGACGCCCACAGTGGCCCATCCAATGATCTGCTGCGTTTCGCGGTAGGCCCTGGCAATGGCATCTCTCTCCTCGGTTCCCTTCTTGTACTTGAGAGCCACCTTGATGCTGCTGTAAATTTTGTTGGCGTTGCTCTTGGTGTCTTCTGGCAGATACTTATTAAGCTTGGACAGAATCACCGTGTTCCAGATCGAGCCTGCAATGGCAGAGCCAATCAGAGAGCCAATGGAGCTGAATGCAAGGAAGAAAGCAGTCGACATGGCAATGTTGTGACGGCCAGCCACAGCTTGCACAATCACCTGCAACGCGCACTGGTAGAAACCTCTGCCTGCACCGATAAACACCTCGGCCATGTACAGAAGCGGCCTGGCAGCCATGCCGTCGCCCGTGTTGACAAAGTACACCAACAGAACGTGTCCCAGGTAAAGGAGAATAATTCCTGAGGTGACAAACAGTTTGGAGCGTTTGGTATACTTCATCATGAGTCCTCCCACAACGCTGAAAATTTGGAGACACGCCTTCTTCGAGTTGTCGATCCTGCTGGCCTCTCCAACAGTCACGTAGTCGGAAACCTGAAGCACCGTCTTCATATACGTGGAGAAGGCCGAGTTCTCACACCAGTCCAGAGCAACAATGATGCAGGCGAGCAACGTGGTTTTTTGCAACAGGGCCTTGTGTTGCACAAACGGATACTTGGCAACCTTGGTGTTCCACAGGAGGAACAGACAGAAAATGACGAACCCAACCACCAGAAGTGCAATGAGCCTGGCTTCGTGCCATTTGTATGGACTGGACTTTCCGGTCAGTGTGAGTGGAATGAAAAAGAGCACAAGTCCAACGGCCATCAGAATGCCTCCAAACAGATCCAGTTTGACAAACAGGTAGTATCCGGCCTTCTTGAAGAAGTTTCCTTCAGGAAGGCCCTCGAAAGACTTGATAATCTTGTCTTGACCAGTGGATTTGGTCTTGCGGTCGACAATGTACATCATAGTGGTCAGAACAAGACAAGAGACGAACATGACAATGGCCCACATTCCATAGCCCCATCTCCAGGTGGAGTGCTCGATGAAAGCGTCCTGAATGACGGATCCGACGTAAAGAGAAGGCACTGCCGCAATGGCGTCCGGAAGCTGCGACATGAGACCACGGTTGATGAGAGAGGAAGTATCAGCAATGAACACCTGCTGGAACACACGGTACCCAATTTTGCCAACAGCGTACAGAATCTCTGCACAGACATAAGTTTGCACGTTCTGGCATGCGGCGTAAAGAACGTACGCCATGGTGTACACAAAGACAGAGAAACCGAAACCCTCACTGCGGCCGAAAAGGTCGTTGAGCTTGGCCATTATAGGATACGAGACGATTGCCGTGATTTTGTAGGTGACATCGGCGGTGGAAATCAGGGCATGGGCATCAAAATGGGACGTGGCGTAGGAATCCAGACCCGACGTGGAGTCTCCGGCAAAAGTTTCGACAAAAGCTGCAAAAACAAGCACACAGTAGGCGGCAAAAACGAGCTTTTTGCATCTAGGCGTACTTGAAGTCTCCGACGCAGTCCTGCTCAGCTCAACTGTTTCAGGGTCGAGCTCAGAGCTAGCTTTTTCTTGCGATTCGGTGTATGGTGCTGCCATGGTTGAGAGAAAAATCTCAATACCCACGTCTTTTTATAGTCGTTCGTTCGCCAAGCATTAAAAGTTCTTGCTTGGGATGAGAATGTACAACTTCCGATATAGTCTAAGCACTGTTGTGCGTACATATTATATGCATAAATGTTGATCTTTATGATAATCCGTGGTCGGGACCCAAGAAAGATGTTGTCTGACTTGTGCTCTGTGTCCATTCAAGGATGACACCAGGGCGACAAGAGTGTGCCTTCTGATCGATTGCGATGGGGGCTGAAAAGTGCTTGCTTTTCCTGTGCTACTCAATTTGTTGGACTCCAGGGTCTTAGAAAAAGAAACGATTTTTTCGTTTTATTGTTCTTGGCCACTCATCGCCCTGCCTGAAAAATAGGAACACAGCGAATTACAGCCACGACTTCGTGGTTCGCGCGTCAAAAGGTCAAATTACATCTGCACAGGGGTTTGTGCAAGAACGGGAACAATCCGCCTGCAGCACCGACTCGTCTAGTTGTGTGCTTAGATGGAAAAGATATGCAAGTGAGCGAATAAGTCTTATGGCGAAGCTAGCAAAAAAAAAAATTTGGCGGAACTTTAACCCTAATTTCTCGGCTGCTGCGAGGAGAAAAGATTAGAACAAATTTAACCTTGCAGTCTCATGGATCTACCGGCCCGTAATATCTTCATGTGGAACTGCTGCTCGTCACATTCTGTCCCATTTTCACTTGCTCCATACAATGGGTGAATGTTTGCAGCTGTACTTCCAGATTGGTTGTACGGTTAAAAGCAGGCTACAGTGTGCTGCGATCTATCAGATAATTTTCTCTGGTTCCTCCTGTAGTACGTATTAAGAAAAAATTCGTTAATGTGACCAGCAGTTGACAGGTTGCGCAGACTGCCTAGCGTAACGTTACTACCGCTTTATGGATTCAGCCTAGTACAAGCATTGGCAGAGTTGAGGTTGTGGAGGGGCTCTTCGGCATTGCAATATTCAGGGTCCTAGATGGGAACCCTGACAAAAATTAGAAGCTGCCAGTACGCAAGTGGCACACGAATCCTGCCATATGCAGCAGGTGCAGATTCGAATTAAACAAAGCCACATGGTCATCTGACTTATTAGACTACAAAGTAATAACAAGCGTGAGTGTCGCAACGCCAAGTCCCCCATTTGGGTCGAAGGTCTCCTAATTCGTGAAATACGGGCAACTGGAAAGTCGGTTACCGTAATTGACTGCATCTCCTCTCCTTGCTATGGTCGGTGTAGGGATGTGTTGAAAGTTTTTCCCCACACGCTGCAAGTGACGCCGGTAACGGAGCTCCAGATCTCGAGCTACGGCAGCGGTCTGGAGTAATCAGCGGCGAAAGGCGACCAACTGACGGGGAAAAAGCACAGTAGACACTGCCGTACCGTCAACCTCGATACGCTTCTAGTTCCTTTAGTTCAGCTCTCTCTCCAACCTTTTGTCCGCGAGAACTTTTCAGACTAAACAAATTTTATTTGTTAAAAGATTCTCGCCATGTTCGACGCGAAACAGCTCAAACGAAAAGGCGAGAACGGGAAGGACGGCAAGGTTATTCCCGAGAGCATCTACAACTACCGGCTGTACCGCTGCGCCATTTTCGCATCCTGGGCCGCGGTCCTCTGTGGATATGACTCAGGATTCATCAGCGGAACTATAGTCCTAGACTCTTTCCAGGAAGAGTTTGGGTTTGAGTCGATGTCGCAGTCCACAGTGACGACAGTCAAGGCCAACATCATTTCCCTGTTCCATGTGGGCGCCTTTTTTGGGTCCCTACTCATATATCCTGTTAATTTCTACCGAGGACGAAGAATCGGTCTGATTATCGCTTCGATCCTAATCGTCATGGGATCTGCGATCCAACTAGGTGCAAACCACACCACGGGGCTTGCCCCGCTATACGCTGGAAGAACGATTCTAGGTGTTGGCATAGGAGGCATCAGCAACATTGCTCCAATGTACACTGCTGAGATCGCACCGCCAAGCATCAGAGGCCGTCTGGTCGGACTTTATGAGCTTTCATGGCAGGTAGGTGGTATTGCGGGATACTTTATCAACTACGGAACAAATAAGCATTTGGAAGGCGATCTCAAATGGCGGGTTCCCATTGCCGTGCAATTGATTCCTGCTGGAATATTTATGATTGGATTGGCCTTCATCGTGGAGACTCCTAGATGGTATTTTCAAAAACATAAGATAGAAAAAGGGATAGAAGCGCTGTCATATATTCGGAAACTGCCACCGAACGATGATTACCTCAAGTATGAGACTGCGAATCTGCTTGCCGAAGCAAAAGAAGCAGAAAAAAAAGTTGGAGATGGTCTTCTCGCCCCGATCAAAGCAACTTTCACTAACAAAAACCTCAGATTCAGACTGCTGCTTTCCACAAGCACGTTTATTCTGCAAAACACTTCTGGTATCAACGCGGTGAATTACTATAGTCCTACACTGTTCAGTGCTATTGGTGCCAGCAGCACCTCGTCTGCGTTGCTGTCGACCGGTCTCTTTGGCGTGTTGAAAGGTGTGGCGACGACTTTCTGGGCTTTCTTCCTCATTGATCCGCTTGGCCGTCGACAGTCGATGTTCATCGGCTGTCCTATCTGCATTTTCTGCCTCTTTTTCATCGGGTCTTATATCAAAATCGCAAACCCCACCTCGCATTCCGGAATGGACGCCGGCGGAAAGGCCACCATGGCAATGTTCTACATCTGGTGTATTGCGTACTCGATTTCGGTGTCTGGAATTCCGTGGGTCTACTCGTCAGAGCTTTTTGACCAGAGTGTCAGAACTTTTGCTCAGGCCTGCGCAGCTACCTCCAACTGGTTTTGGGCATTTATATTTGCTAGATTCACAGGAAACATGGTGAACAGCATGCACGCTTACGGAGTGTTTTTTTTCTTTGGCTCGGGAGTCGTGGCGACGGTCATTATCTTCTACCTCTTCTACCCCGAAACATCGAACGTCCCTGTCGAAGATGTTGGACTACTCTTCACTCCAGGGGTGCCTGCATGGCGAGCCCGTAAGTATGCCATGTCTGTGATCGAGCAGCGGAAAATTGAAGCCGTCGAGGAGTCCGACGTGGAGGTGCTCCCTACCGACATCACCAAATCATCATCTATCAGCGCATAATGTATTTAACGACTAAACATTTTCTAGATTCTCACGGAGAGTTTGTGCGGCATGCCCCACAGGAGTATCCTCCAAAGGTATTCCGGTCCAGTAGCCAAATTGGGCGGCGCCCTGGTATATCACGGCCTCCCAGCCTGGAATCACGTTCCAGCCCTTTTTCTCAAACTCGTCATACAGGAGTGTGCGAATGATGGGGTGGTAACACATCTCTAGCACCGAGCCCTTGGTGGACTCGATGAAAACGTCCAGTGTGGCCTTGGCCAAATTCTCTTCAGCTGTCTGAGGCTTCATGTTCGGCACCGCCAAAACTATGAACTTAGGCAACTCTACGCGACGTGCCTCTTGCGGAGTCCTCAGATGGATGATTTCGCCCGCAAAGCCGTTCTCCTTCATACTCTTAGCCACAGTTTCTACCTCGTGTGCAAATCTGTTGATGACGTAAATTTTAGGGCATGCGAGATACATGTGGAGCGCATATATTGCTGCTCTGCAAGCTCCGCCGGCGCCATACACGAGACCGGGCTGCGCTTTCTGACACTTGTGCTTTGCTATCTCGTTGAACAAGAACGAGTCTCTAACGCCGATGATGTCCGTGTTGGCCCCCACATACACTGTTTGGCCGGTTCCGGAATTTTTTCGTGCGAAAACCGTGTTGATAGATCCAACAACTCTGGCCTCCTCCGTCAACTGATCGACAAGAGAGCTGAATGTCACCTTGTTGGGCATAGTCACTGCACACCCGATCATTTTCCCCGACGCGAGCATTTTGCTGAAGGCATCGGCGTCATCTGTGTCGAGGAGTTGGTACTCCCAGTCAAGTCCCTTGGCCGCAAACATGGTGTTCAGCAGCAGCGGAGCCTTGCTGTGTTGTGTTCCCTTACCGAAGAGGTAGACAATGTGTTTTTCTTTATGCAGAACATGCCATGGCCGCACGGGCACGAGCTGATCCTGAGTCATTTTCGCTCGCTCGAGTACAAATTTCACAGAATTTTTCAGCTGTTGTAGGGCAGTGCACGCTTATGCAGGACCACAAGAAGCTGGATAAATTATCAAGTCGTGAGATTATCGAGCGCCCCAGTTGCCATTTAGCGCAGCGAGTGCAGGAACAGCGTTCCGTGGCCACACACGTGCTCTTTTATTGATGGGAGCGAAACAAGGAAGGGGGAAGGGTTGGAGCAGGATGTAGCACCAGGACAAATAGCAGACCCTGTGTGGCAAGAAAACGTTGACCATCACTGAATACCGATCATTTTCCAGACCCTGTCAAAAAATGCCGTTTGGAAGCTGAAAAAAAACCTGCATCAAAGATGTGGCTGTTTGCTGTGAATCCATGGCTTTGACACTTGCCAGAGATTATAAAATGGTGTCCCGGGACGGCCTATGTGTCTATCCACAATGTCCAAAGCCGACTTTGGCAACAGCGAGGAGGAAGGAAAATCCGTTGCCAACCTAGAGACTGTCAGCATCGTGCCTAAAGACTCGGCCAGCGAGCTCTTCGAGGTCGATGACACGCATCTGAAAAGGACCCTGAAAGACAGGCACATCGGCATGATTGCGCTGGTGAGTGTTTTTGGTACAGGCTTGTTTCTCAGCAGTGGAGGAACACTGGCCAAAACAGGGCCTGTCGGTATCCTCATTGCGTACGCCGTCATTGGAACCATTGTGGGCCTAAACCAGATTGCTTTCGCTGAGGTGGCAGCTTTGGCTCCCCTCACGGGATCCACCATCAGACATTCAGAGATCTTCATTGATGAGGCTGTCGGCTTTGCCTATGGCTATCTTTCGCTCTGGCAACACCTTCTTCCAGGAGGCCTTGTTTCCGCAGCTCTGATCATTCAGTACTGGAGCAACCTCAGTCCTGCTGTGTGGATCAGTGTTCTGGCAGTTCCAATTGCCATCACCAACCTGTTTTCGATCAGAATATACGGAGAAGTCGAGTTTGTGTTTGCGCTGCTCAAAATCTCTCTCATTGGGATCCTCGTGCTTGCTGGTCTAGTGCTGGATTTGGGAGGAGTCCAGGGTCAGCAAAGACTTGGTTTCCACTACTGGAAAGACCCTGGCCCATTTGCGGAGTTTGTCAAGACCGGCAATACCGGTAGGTTCATTGGTTTCTGGGCTGCTCTGTCGTCGGTTGTTTATTCTTACGGTGGAGTTCAGGGCATTGCGCTTTTGGCTGGTGAGACCAGAAACCCACGCACAAACATTCCTCGTGCCGCCAAAAGAATTCTGTACAGAGTTGTTGCTCTTTACATGATTGCAGTCTTTGTTTTGAGTTTGATTGTGCCATACAACGATAAGAAAATCGCCGTGAGCGATGGAACAGCATCTCACTCGCCATACGTGGTTGCATTCGAAAGAGGAGGCATCAAGGTGCTTCCGCACGTGGTCAATGCGCTCACGCTCACGTCGGCATGGTCTGAGGCCAACGCAGGTATTGCCAGCTCTGCCAGAGTCTTGTTTTCGCTTGCGGCAAAGAAACAGGCCCCCAGAGTTTTTTTGAAGACCAGCAAGCGACTCAACGTTCCATTTGTGGGCGTCGTCTTGGCTTTACTGTTCCTTGCTCTGTCCTATATGAGTATCGATAGCACGGCAGCCACAGTTTTTAGCTGGTTCCAGAACATCACCTCGTCGAATCTGCTGCTTGGCTGGATCCTTATTTCTATCTGCCACATCAGAATGAATAGGGCACTGAAAGTCCAGGGATACAAGAGATCCGATCTTCCGTACCACAACAGATTGGCACCTGCCGGAGCATGGATCTCGCTTATTGCGTCGGTCGTTCTTCTGCTGACAGGTGGATTCACCACTTTTATCCACGGAAACTGGCAGACCTCGACATTTGTGTCTGCTTACTGCTCCCCATTGCTGTTTGTGATTTTTTATCTCGCTTGGAAAATTACCAAACGCACTCCACAGATCGACCTCCAGGACATCATCATTCCCGTCTTAATGGAGGACTACAAAACTAGACCGGAAAATGACGTGCCTCGAAAGGGCATATATAAATTTATTTCTCTGTTGTGGAGTTAAAAAATAACTTTATTTAAAACTAGTGCTAAATGCTAGTGATATAAGTTAGGCAGCTTTCGGGAAACATTTGGCTCGTCAAGATACGCAACTTCCTCATCGGTGAGTTTCAGCTTGATAGCGGCTAATGCGTCGTCAATTCTCTCGACCTTGTTGAGGCCCAGAATAGGATTGTGGTCTTTGGCCAAGCACCAAGCTATGGTCACGGTGGCCATGTTCACCTTGTGTTTGTTTGCCAGCTCCTCAACTCTGGAAAGCAGTAATTTGTCCTGCTCGGTAATCTGGGTCAATCCGAAGAAGCCAGCCGAGAAAGGTGTACTAGAACGAGGGGTAGTGTTGAACATCTTATCGAATGGCCTGGCTAACACTCCTCCGGCGAGCGGTGAGAACGGAATAAGTCCAACTCCAGTCTTCTTGCAGTACGCAATCAGCTCGTCTTCCTCCTCTCTGTAGAACAGAGAGTAATAGCTCTGCATAGAGATAAACTTGGTCCAACCGTGAATCTCGGCAACGTGCTGCATTTCAACAAACTGGTACGCTCTCATGGCAGAAGCTCCGATGTATCTAACTTTGCCGGATTTGACAACATCGTGCAGCGCCTCCATTGTCTCCTCTATTGGTGTGTCTGCGTCGAACCGATGGATCTGTAGCAAATCAATGTGAGTGCCAAGCCTTTCGATACTTTTATCCACAGAGTCTAGGATGTTGGTTCTGGAAAGCCCGTGTCGGTTGATGTACTCCGATCCTTCGACCGTTCCCGGAAGGAGGATGTTTGTGTCAGGATCCGACTCGTTAGCAGGGAAATAACATTTGGTCAAGATCACAACAGTGCGTCTGTCGATGTTGTATTTCTTGAGAAACTTTCCAATAAGGATTTCAGAGAATCCATTGGAGTAATTGCACGATGTGTCAAAAGTACGAATTCCGCTGTCGTACGCTTTCTTCATGATCGTGAACACTTCGTCCTCATCTTCCAGCACAAAGTCGAACCACGACTTGCGCCCATAGGACATACATCCTAGGACGATTCTGGAAATTTCAAGGCCGGAGTTTCCCAGCCGGGTGTAGAGGTCTTCTGGAATGGTATCCCACTTGAACGAGTTGAACTTTGGTGCCATGGTAGAAAGAATGAACGAAAAACCGAACGAAAAACCGGCCCTTTTATAGGGCACAGGAAATTCCAGTCTCTGGGCTTTATACCTTTATGTCCGTTGCTGTAGGGGTTAACGGAAAAGGCCTCATGTAATACCACTTGCTAGAAGTACCTGAGAGTGCATAAGAGCTGAATTTGAAATATTTCAAAAATCACAGCTCCGTATTTACCCCGAATCCCGTTAAGTTTGGTGGCTGATTAATAAGCTTGACAAGATAACGTCACTCCTATTTCCCGACCGTACCAGATTTAGGTCCTTGCCAGAGGGCTCAATTGCAGTGCTGCCGGAATACTAAACACACCACAGAGTGCGCCTGCGAGCCAGAGCTCGCAACGAAAAAGTATGCCACCACTGAGAACAGGGCTCCACGAATTGCGCCCAAAACAGAAGCCAGCCCTGTTTTTGGGCCACGAGCCTGTGCTATGAAGAGTTCTCCCGCATATGCGTAGAGGCAGCCATAGTAGACGTTCATGAAGAAATTGTAGCAGGGGAAAAGCCAGCATCGCAGGCCGGCGTGCGCACGGTTCTATACCCAAACATGATCGCCATGGTGGCCATGCTTACAAATAGCATGGCATAGCGTCTGCCAAAAGTTCTCACAAGTAGTGCCGAGTAGATCGGCCCGAACTTCGGCATCTTATACGACAGCGTCGACTTTCTGTACACGATGTAGCTGGGCGCCGCCGTGCAACTCGATGTCAATGTAAAGTAAGTTGTAGAAGATGCTGGACGAGTAGTTCACCAGCAGGTACGGAAACACGAGCGAGGTGGTGGAGTACGCGACAATTCTGTTCTGGTAGAGAATCCACACGTGTTTCTTAACAGCTGCGACCATTTTGTCCGGCTGCGAGCCCTTCTGCAGCCAATAACAGTCAGAGCAGAGTTGGCCGCATGCCAGCAGCTGTTTCTGCGTGAGAAAGCATGGACGGTTACTTGCGGGAAATTTTCAACAGAGACCAAAAACTTCAGAGTTTCATCTAGCCGCAAAACACAATAATGCCGCTGTTGGTGTACAACGTACCGACAGCTACTGCTGTATTGCACGAAATCCCCCAGTAGATCAGGATATTCACTATTTGTCCTATCCTCACAGCATAGCCATCATGGTGCTGACACTTGAACGGCACATATTCCATGAGTTGGTTGCCACCGGCACAAGAGCTGGCCAGCACGTTGAAGAAAGTACGTGGCAAAATGGTTTATTTCGCTGGTTGCAAAGCCCAACGGCGCGGCCAGATTCAGCTTTCTGCCAATACCACTACCCCACTATCCCAAAACGTAACCCGCGCATACGGTCGGGCTGATGGTGGGGTCGTGGGCTCGAAATTGCAGAGTATTATACGAATGAACCGATGACTGGATGAGCTCTAGCTACGCATCCACTTGAGTAGCCATAGCTGGCGATGCAAGGAAGCCGAAAATGTACTAAGTGAAGCCAGTCTCATCAATAGTAGTAGTGATCTGGGACAGCTTCCAGGCCTGCACAGGGTGACCATGGCGTACGGTCGGGACCTGCTCGACAGTGACGATTGTTTTCTCTTTGAACATAAGATAAGAAAATTTCTTATTTGCGGAATCAGTAACTTTTTATATCCGCCGGCTGCAGCAGCCTGTCGGAAAGCTCTGGCGGGTCACGGGACTTTTTTCTGTGGCATAGAGTAGGGATATGAGCATAGTACGAGGCCAGGTTTGTGTGGGTGCAGTGCGTGGTTCCCTACTTGGCGAAAAACAGCCTGCTACGTTTCTCTCTAGAAAGTCCGCCGACGCAAATTACACCGGAGCATACGATGCAGAGAGGACCGTGCAAACGCGTTTACTTGTTTCCGTTGGAGGTCTTCCCCAGTGGCATGTCCGAGAGTCCCAAATGATAAGATCGCCGGCCTTGCACGAGATCTTGATCTCTTCACATCCGGGCTCTGAAGACCACGCCAGCTGCGGAGAAGCGGCTCAAGGTAGTCGTTCTTCTCCCAATCAGCAACAGTCCTGAAAAACTTCTCAAACAACTAAACCGCCGTCGGAAGGGCTGTGGTCGCTCAAAGGAGAGCATCAAACTGAAGCCATTGGAGGACACAGAAAGCTGGCTAATACCCCAAAGATGCGCGAATACATCGATAATGCCCTAGTCAAGCCGTGCTTCCCTGAACACTTTTCGTGGTTGAGTTTGTGGCTGCTGTAAACGTTGCCCAGCACGGAGGCCAGAATTTTCGTTGTCTATGACGCGATTTTGTCAAATTTAACGTTGGAGAGTGTATTTACCAGCCGGAAAGCTTCCTTCTGGTACTACAGCGCGCAGTGTCGTGGAGTAGCATTTTTGATCATGACGTAGCCGTTTCTGAGAAAACCGTCGCGCCAATCGTGGGGTTGAGTGGCGAATAGGTGCCCAGTATGGCCATGAATATACCCGGAGTCCTTGACGGGGACGTAGGTGGTGCCCTTTCCGTCTGTGATGGACATGCGGAAAAAGATACTAGCCGGAGATAAGGTCTATCACGTGAGCGGTGGAGTTTTTTGAATCCCGAGGGAGAGATAACGGCTGTAAAAAAATTATCATCTTGGATAGATAGAGTTAGGAAGGTCGAAACGAGCTGAAGAAAATTATTATCTTTATCATATTTTTCCCCAGAAGTCTCTATTGCAAAATCTCCAAAATGCCCAGGGATAAGAGAAGCCGCAAAGGCTGTTTGACTTGTCGACAGAGGCGGGTGAAATGTGACGGTAAGTGATGGATTTGGGATCTAACTCAAGAAACTCACCCACGATGCAATAACTGTGCGCGATTAGACAGAGCTTGCACTTACGACAAAAGGGTGGTTTGGGAACAGGATGCATTTGTGAGAGGGATTGCATTTGGTCGGTCAGAACAGTATAAAAGGATTAAACAGCAACAGATCGGAAATGCAAACGAGGGGCTCGAACAAACTCTTAGTCAGCGGGTAGCATCCGAGTCGGTACCATGGCTACCTTTGCAAAACGCGAACACCTTATTCATTAATCTAACGCAACAGGATTTCGTCAATATCATGGAGCGCGATGATGCACTATCGAGCATACCTGACCCAACACCGAAGCAACCTCATAGTCCGCAGGTATCACACTCATTTTCTAGCACTTTGCCGACACCGTCGGAAGACAGCTTTCTTTTGGGAACATTACAAGAATTGGAGTGTCCTTACTCGATAGGCTCGCCCAGCGAGTTTGTGGTGGAACATAAGAACAAATCATTGCTTGCAAACCTAAAGCCTCAAGAACGCGAGCTTCTTTTATACTTCATCAACTCCATTTGCCCTGTTTGTGTGTGTTATCCAGAAAAGTCTAAACTATCGTCACACCCACTTGAATCAATTGATTCGTTTCGGTATAAGCTGAATCCCGAAACAAACCCTTACCTTTATCTAATTGTTCCACTGGCGGCAGGATCAGCAATGGTGCTGAATTCGATCCTGGCCGCTAGTGCATACCAGTTATTTCTGCTAGGAAAGAAAGAGTTTGAAGAAATCTCTGACAGTTACACAAAGCAGGTGCTAGGGGAGCTTCCACATGCCATTGGAGATATACATAACATGGACGAGGTTCTTGCAACCATCATAATGCTCTGCTTCAAGGAGATTTCCTCAAACTGCGGGTCTGGAGCTCAATGGACCACGCATCTTGCCCAAGCAAAAGAATTGCTGAAAGAAAATAGAATGCGCACTAATGAGAGTCCGGTATCTAAATTTTTTACACGGTACTTTATCAGCCACGAGGTGTTGGGAGAAACGGCCTGGGTTGGGGAAAACCATTCAAACGACTCCGTGCCTCTTCCAAGACTACCACAACCAATTTTCGATGACCCTCATTTGGAAACACTTCGCAATGATGGAGACACCCGAATTGATCTCGTTCTTGGTTGCAGCCCGTATCTGATCTCAATAATTCATCGAATTTCCATGCTTGGTAAATGCTATGAGGACTTGGAGCTGGAAACATCACAAGCTAGTCGCGACGCAATTGAGGCAGAGGTTTGGATCAGACGCGAACATCTGCATCGAGAAATCGAGGAACTCTGCCAGGAATTCGAATCGACTCCGGAAGTTAATGATGAAGACGCACACTATATTGAAACAATTGCCGAGATAAAACGCCTAACCGCTATCATCTACTTATTTGCTAGGATCGACTTAGAAGCGTTTTACCAACACGACGGAATAATCTCAAAATCCTTTCATAAGAGACACGCAGATACACAGCAGATTTCTAAACATATTGTGTCTCTGATGAGGTCACTCCCAGACATCTACATGACTCTGCTGTGGCCGTTATTTGTCATCGGCATTGTGTCCACCGTCGCCGACGAAGACAGATGGTTTGTTTTGAATGCATTCACCACTTTGCAAAAGAAAAGAGAGCTTGGAAGCGTCCGAACCGCTTGTTCTGTTGTCACGAGTGTTTGGAAGGAGAAAGATCTGGGGTGTGACCACGTACGTTGGAGAGATATGATTCGAGGTAAAGCAAGCACATTGAGTCTTGCGTAAGTTAGTTGCTAATTTGTCCAATCGCTTAGCTCATTGAGGTCCTTGATTCTGTTTGAGCCACCAAACCTCCCTTGGAGGTTGTATATATCTCTTCCCTCGGCAATCTCTGGTCTCCAGCGCCATGCTTTGCGATAAGTTTCTGGTAATCCCGATTTTCCCTTCATAATGAGGTCGGATATGTAGTGGCCAATTATGGGCATATACTTGAATCCTTGTCCAGAATCTCCGGTTGCCAATACAAGGCCCTTGATGTCAGGATGCTCACAAATCAAGAAATGACGATCGGGTGTGTCGGTGCACCAGCAAATTTTGGCAGCATCAAAGGGACGCGTGCTGATTTGGGGAAATACCTGCTTCAAAAACCCTCTCATTTGCTTTTCCGCTTCCACGGGGATCTGGTTTCGATAAAGGGGCGTCGAAATATTTTCAGTGCCGTCTTGGTTTATGTATCCTGGAAACTCGTTGCAAAACTTTAGGATCCCATTTTCGTCGGGCTCAAAAAGGAACCCTTCATCTAGGTTCAAAAGAACAGGAGAGTTTTTCAGCGCTTTAGCCTCTTCTGAGGTAAGCTTTATGTGACCCACGGTCCAGCATTTGGCTAGTAGTTGGCCTTTAAAATTGAGTAATTTTGTTGAATTTGCTCCAGCACATATAACGACACGATCAGCTTTCAAGATTGATCCCGAATATGTGCGAACTCCGACACAATTGAGCCCTTCCATGAGCAATTCTTCGGCAGTATCCTGAACAAAATGAGCTCCCTTCTGCTTGCATTCTTTCCAAGCGTTACTTAAAGCTAGTGCTGCAAATGTCCATCCGCATTTACTCTTTTGAAAATAGCCTTTCCAAGATTTGAATCTGGAGTCAAGATCCAAAGATTTGAAGTCATCTGCAAAATCTCCTGTCCATCGAATCAACTTGGCAAAATCCTCTGGTGTTTGCAATTTGTCAATATCTTCTCCCTTAGAATTGAGACGGTTGTAGCGTTGATTGATTTCAGCGACAGCAGCATCTCCTGTAGCACCGTACACTATACCCACTTCGTGGAATGCTGGCTCGTATACGGGATCAGATCTCCACAATTCCAGAGCTTCCAGAGCCAGATCAGAGTGAAACTCGTCACTTACAGTTGACTGGAAAATTTTGTTTAGGTCATTGCCTGCAGCAAGAGGGGACGGGATGGCATACGGGTCGAGGAGGGTCACGTTTTTGTGGCCTTTGCGAAGTAGTTGCAGAGCTGTGGAAAGACCAAAAGTACCGGCGCCCACAATTAGAACGGAGGAATCAGGGCTGATCATGTTAACGATTTCAAACTCGAGCAAAAAAGCCTCTTATACATATACTTTTCTGGTACCAGACATATGAGGGTACTGATAAGAATTTGGAAAAAAAGAAGCTCGAGACGAGCTGAAGTTGGAAATTTATTTCCCTGTCTGCATAAACTGAGATTATAATTTTTTAGGTCGGATTTGTAAGATAAAACTAAGTAGTATAGAAAAAGTGGCGCTGCTGTCTATCTGTGTAGTCAAGCATCTTCTCATCCTCAACCCCCTCGATAGACACGTCCAGCGTGTCCTCTGGAATTTTCTCGAGAGCCTTTCTCTTGTTATGGTTCATGATCACACACGTGCCCCAGTAGAGAGCAGACAATAAGATACACACGCAGTAGGCGACAATCATCGAGATGAATCCACCAGTGTATTTGGGTGCCTGGTTGCTTCTGAACGTTTGTGTACCCGTAATAGCCCCCCCACAGTAACCAAGGTAGTTGAAGCCATATGTGACAGATTTTTTGGTGCTTCCAGAAGTGTTTGCTTGAACGCAGGACATCATCACCACATATGGTGCAAAGTAAAAGTACATCAGGTAGAGACCTAATAGTTGAGGACCAACCTTTTTTTGGTCAACTGCGTAGAGAATGATAGACCCAATAAGTGGAATAATCAGAGAAATAACAGAAACCAGGCATCTCCTGTTCTTCCAGCGAGCTCCGAGCCAGGTGAAAAAGAAAGTTGCGAGAGAAGCAATGACACCAGTAGGAATACCCATAAGAGCAGATTTGACAGGAGTAAAACCAAGGTTGTTAATGATAATAGAGTTGTAAGTGCTCAGTCCACCATTAGGAATGTTAATACCAAAGTTGAAAAGCATAATCAAGTAGACTCGCACGTCTAAAAACGCCTCCTTGACTTGCTCCCATTTCCATGAGCTGTTCTCAACACCGGTAGCATTTTCAGCAACACGTTTAACCATAAAGACCTTCTCGCGCTCGGTCAAGAATTTGGCGTTGATTGGAGAGTCTGGCAAGAACCAAAAGATAATGCAGGACCACACGAAAGAAATAGAACCAACCAGGAGGTAGATATACTTCCAAGTAGGTATTGCGCTGCCAAACGTTGTGGCAAGAGCAGACAGAGCTCCATTGATCACTGACGATGCAAACATGAAAATGAATGCCGTGCGGTGAGGAGATTCAGATTTCAGATAAAAGCTAGCAATCATCAGCGAGCAACCAGGAACAATCGCACACTCAACAAGACCCATCAGGCAACGAAGAGTAGCAAGACCAATAAACTCATGGCACGCACACAATAAAAGCGTGGATGCAGACCAGATTATCGAGCAGGAGGCAATAACCTTGCCGATTCTGAACCTCTGCAATAGATAAGACATCGGCCACATCCCGACGAGAGAACCTATGAATACGATAGATCCCAGCCAGGAGTACTGCTGTCCAACCAGGTTGTTATCGGTTTTGAATCCAAAGATTGCGGCCGTACTGAGAGACACTTTGTCAACCGCACCCATGGTAGCCGTGAAGAAGAGTGTTGGGAGTAGAATCAAGTCGGTCTTCCTAATGGCCCATTTTTCCTCGGCTGGAGTAAGCTCTTCAAACTTACCGCTATGTTCAGCAAGAAATCGAAGAGCTTTGTCTGCACTAGGATCATCAACGATTGATTTTTGAGTGGTGACCGCCAAAAAGGCATCTTTTTCAGGCAAATCAGTCGAAGTCATTTTGAAAAAGTGATAAGCGATGAAGGGCAATTTGTCAACTTAAAATACTCATTGTCAGTCCGGGGAAGCCCAAGATAAGTGACTCGATAATGTTAGTTGGTCATCTGAATAACGAAAAGAAATTATTTCCAACGATCGCGTTAGCTCGTCTCGACCTGCCTCTGAAAAAAACTGATTAACCCGCGCGGCGCTATTGATTTCCCCTCGTCACGAGCTGCCCCCTTATCTCTAGCTATCAGCTTTATCAGCTTAAATATATTAAATAATCCAGCTCCTGCTTTCACACTTTTTGTCTATTCAATATCTACACCATGACTATTAATGAGACAGGAATCAGTATAGCTATTGATCGTGGTGGAACCTTCACCGACGTGATATACAAATTCGGGAAGAAAGAAGGCACGTTCAAGCTTTTATCGGTTGATCCTTCAAATTACAAAGATGCAAACATTGAAAGTATCAGAAGAGTTTTAGAACTGACATCTGGCAAAACCATACCCAGAAACCAGCTTCTCGATACTTCCTCCATTTCCTCAATTCGTTTAGGAACCACAGTGGCCACCAACGCCCTTCTGGAACGCAAGGGGTCAAGATGTGCTTTGGTGACTACCAAAGGATTCAAAGATCTGCTTCATATTGGAGATCAATCACGGCCAGACCTGTTCGCGCTTAACATTGTGAAGCCAGGTGTTCTCTTCGAAAAGGTGGTGGAAGCAGATGAGCGCGTCACTATGCCAGCATTTTTGGTTGACCCAACTGGCTATGATGCACGTGATCTTCTGGATGGCCAAAAGTATGTTGAAGGCAAAACAAAAGAAGTGTTTGAGATCATCAAGCCGTTGGACACTGAAAAATTGACCCGTGATCTAATAAAGTTGAAAGAGGAAGGTATAAATTCTGTTGCTATTGTTTTTATACACGGTTACAATTACCAGGAGCACGAAAAGCAGGCAGGAGAGATCGCTAAAAGTCTTGGATTTGGAAATGTTTCGCTTTCTCATGAGCTGCTACCAGTCATCAAAACGCTTCCCAGAGGGCAGTCAACGGTTGTCGATGCCTATTTGACCCCTATAGTGAAGGAGTACATTGACTAATTTTTTAGCTGGGTTTGAGCCGGGTTTTGAGAAGCACACCAGAGTCGAGTTCATGCAATCTGATGGTGGACTGTGTTCCTGGAGAAACTTTTCGGGACTTCGTTCACTGCTTTCTGGACCTGCTGGAGGTGTTGTTGGTGAGGCAAAAACGTGCTACGACGAAGACAACAAGATTCCTGTAATTGGGTTCGATATGGGAGGAACATCAACAGACGTCTCGAGATATGCGGGTGAGTTTGAATTCTCGTTTGAGTCAATCACCGCTGGGATAAATATTGCTGCTCCCCAGTTAGACATCAACACTGTCGCTGCTGGAGGTGGTTCCATTCTTGAATATGTCAATGGTGTGTTCAAGGTCGGACCTGAGTCAGCTTCTGCTCATCCAGGACCTGCGTGCTACAAGAAAGGCGGACCATTGACCGTGACGGACGCTAATTTATTCACAGGTAGAATTTTGCCCGAGTTTTTCCCCAAAATCTTTGGTCCGGGCGAAAATGAACCTTTGGACTATGCCATCACCAAAAAGAAGTTCGAGCAACTAGCGCAGATCATCAACGGAGACAATCCGGGCTTCCCCAAAACTCCTCATGAAATCGCCCTTGGATTTTTGAAGGTTGCCAACTACCAAATGGCAAAGCCAATTAGAGAGTTGACTGAAGCCAAAGGGCATGACGCATCTGCTCATTCTCTGGCCTCCTTTGGTGGCGCTGGAGGACAGCACGCCGCATCAATTGCCAAGATTTTAAAGATAAAGAAGGTACTCATTCACAAGCACTCGTCCATCCTATCCGCGTATGGTATATCTTTAGCGGATGTTGTCAATGAACAGCAGATTCCGTGTGCAAAAGTTTATTCTGAGACCGCAAGAGATGAACTAATCAAACAAGCGGAAAAGTTGAAGGAAAAAGCTCTCATGGAGCTGAAGGCTCAAGGTGTTAACTCAGAGACTGTATTCTCGACAGTTTACCTTAATATGGGCTATAAGGGCTCGGATACCAGAATCATGGTTGCACGACCAGAAGATGATGATTTTCTATCGGTGTTTTATGAGACCCACCAAAGGGAGTTTGCTTTCAATGACTATGACAAACCTGTTTTGATTACCGATGTCAGAGTTAGAAGCACTGGTAATACATTTGGTGAAACAAATGAAAGGTCTCCATATAAAGACTATGCCTCAGTTGCAAAAGTTCCTGTTGAGTCCGGAGTTGAAGAAAAAACCACTCCTGTTATTTTTGACGAGGGTGCTCTTGATTCCAAAGTGTATCTTTTGGAGAAGCTCGCCCCTGGAACTGTGGTAGCTGGTCCAGCACTTATTTTGGATGAGACACAAACCATAGTGGTAACTCCCGATGCATTTGCCACCATTCTTCCAAGACATGTGGTTTTGGACGTCAATGTGGAGTCCAAAAGTCAGGTCAGCACCGACTATATTGATCCCATCCAGCTTTCGATTTTCAGCAATAGATTTATGTCTATTGCAGAGGACATGGCTCGTACACTGCAAAAAATAGCTGTGAGTGCCAACATCAAAGAACGACTAGACTTCTCCTGTGCTTTATTTGACAATGAAGGAAACCTGACAGCAAATGCCCCTAATGTGCCGGTCCATCTTGGGTCCATGTCTAGCGCTATCAAGTACCAGCTTGAGTATTGGAATAGTGACCTTCACGAAGGCGACATTTTGTGCACAAATTCTCCAAGCGTCGGTGGAACTCATCTTCCGGATATTACAGTGATTTCTCCTGTGTTCTACGAGAACAAAATCCAGTTTGTGGTCGCAGCCAGAGCACACCATTCGGAGATTGGTGGATCGTCTCCTGGGTCGTCGTCGTCCTACGCGAGAGAAATCTACGAGGAAGGTGTTAATATTGAGACATGGAAAATTGTGGAAAAGGGAAAGCTAGATTACGAGGGGCTTGACTATCATTTTAACGTGGCACCAACTAAGTATGGTGTTTCCGGAACAAGAAACATTGATGATAACATTTCAGATTTGAAAGCACAGATTGCAGCAAACCAGCGCGGTATCAATCTTTTGAAGGAACTGTTCAACGAGTATGGAAGCGAAACTGTTTTATTCTATATGCGAAATGTGAAGAAGACTGCTGAAATGGGAGTGCGGAAATTTCTGATGAAGTTTGCTAGGGAAAACGCTGACAGACTGCCGTTGAGGGCCGTTGACTTCCTTGACGACGGAACACAAGTGCAGGTCAAAATTGACATCAACCCACAAGACGGGTCAGCTGTCTTTGATTTCACTGGAACATCCCTTGAGTCTTACAGCAACTTGAATGCTCCCAAGTCTGTCACAGCCTCTGCAGTCATCTATGTTCTCAGATGTCTGGTCAATCTTGATATCCCACTCAACCAGGGCTGCTTAGACCCTTGTACATTGGTTATTCCAGAAAACTCGCTAATCAATCCGAGCAAATATGCTGCTGTTTGTGCAGGTAACGGCATGACCTCGCAAAGGGTTACAGACTGTTTATTTAAGGCCTTTGGTGTAACCTCTGCCACGGGAGGTTGCATGAACGGACTGAACTTCGGGAGCGGGGGCCAGAACGAGAAAGGAGAGCTTGTCAAGGGCTTTGGATACACGGAGACAATTGGGCAGGGCAACTGTGCAGGCATTGTGGAACAGGACGGGGTCAGGGTAGGGTTCGACGGATTCTCGGGGACGCAGACCAACATGACGAATACGAAGATCACAGACCCGGAGATTCTGGAGCAGCGGTATCCCTGTGTTTTGCTGCAGTACTGCATTCGGAAGAACAGTGGCGGTCGCGGAAAATGGAACGGGGGAGACGGTCTGATCAGAGAGATCCAGTTCTCGTCGCCTGTGCACGTGTCGCTGGTGACCCAGCGGCGGGTTTTTGCTCCGTGGGGCATCTACGGGGGCGAAAACGGGAAGCGGGGAGAGAATTATCTCGGGCGCAATAGGGGCGGTGTGATCCAGTGGATCCAGCTGCCGTCGCTTGCTGAGATTGCGATCCGCAAGGGGGACATCGTGAAGGTACTGACCCCTGGGGGCGGCGGGTTTGGGAAGGTGGATGACAGCGATGAGCAGTGGGGCGTGGGCCGTCCGAGGGACAAATGGAAACACGTGCCGGCGTGCAGTGGGACGGTAGGCCAGCTGAGGAGCGCGCTGAACTCGTCGCAATGAGCGCGAGGGGGATGGATGATATAGAAGGTGTAGTGAATGGAGAGTTGCAAAGTACAGGGTGTAGGTGGTAGGTATGGATTGAAATCCATCCAGCCGCATGACCACGCATCTCTACTGCGTAAGAATTGTCGTTCCTGGCGAAAAAAATGTTGATAAGACTTGAATCCAATATTTAGTGCATAGGAGTACGTAGGCTGTTTTAACTAAAAGTGTTGCAATGAACGGACGATGGACAAAAAAGAGCAAAGACTTGTACGCAAAACAAGGAGAAAGAGGTCGGCCGGCTGTTTGTCTTGTAAGTCTGACAGTGATTGTTTGATAAATATTGACGTTAACAATCCATCAAGGTCGTAAGAGGAAAGTGAAATGTTGCGAGACAAAACCAATTTGTTCAGCCTGCAGCCGTAGCGGATATACTTGTGTCTGCGCGAGAATTATCACGGAAACAACACGTTTCGGACAGTGACATACCTCAAACTGGCTCTTGAAGTCATAAGAAGTTGGCCAGCTATTTCTGCAAACATTAGAGTGAAAGAGCCGCCTCCTTTAGACTACTTGGATGATATATCGAATCCTGTGGTTGAAGAGAAACAGGTACCATTAAGATCCACTGATAGAACACTGTTAGAAAGTTTTCTCTTCAACTACTCTATCATTTTAGTTCTCTGTCAAAAAGAATGGCTATTAGAGCTTGGATCACCTTTTGATATTTTCAACGAGTTTCGTCCATTTTTGAAGACCCCTCTTTACCAGTGTCCCGTACCCTGGATGAACAATCCCATGGTGGGTGTTGCACTGTGTGCAATTGAATTGGTTGCAAAAGCTGGTTGGCTTTGGCACTATTACCTATTTAATCCACAGCATGAGGCACTGGCTGTACAGGTTCATAGTGCAGCCAAATACTTTATTGTGCCTTTGCTTACAACAGATGTCAAGTTTGTTCAACCGAAACATGTGCGAAGAAGACTTGAGGATAGCTGTTGCACAGCTCGGATTATGGCGAAGGCTGTCTACTGCCTGCTCACAAAACTTCTTTACCCCAGAATGGATGCCAGCAAAAGACCTGGAAAAGTTGGCGTTCCATTCCCAAACCTCTTCGATATGCACATGGTCGTTTGCGGTCATACGTACGTCAATGATTCATCAAAAAGATCAAAATTATCTCATGTGGAGAATCGAGAATTTTGCTTCTGCCCTACGAATCTCCTGCTTTTGGCTGTGGAAAGCTTTTTGAACGGTACATGGGGAACTAAAGGTAACCCTGGCCAGGGATGGATCGTTTTATTAAAGAAAAATTGTTTTAAGAAAGTGATGTTCTAGAACTGAACTACAAATCTCCAAGACATCCGCCTGGAACCACAGACTCGGCATAGACCTCTGCAATGTAGTACAGGTAACTGTCAACATTTCTGGTGGCAAAGGTGGCATTATTCTGCGCCAAGTCTAAGATTTCGTCGATCTCCTCATAGTACTCTTGGATATACTCCGTGTTCATAGCAGGAAGATGGAGGTAGCGGTGCAGCATGTCAATTCCACCATAGTGCTTTGGAGTAGTCTCAACAATCGTGCCATCAAAGCACATTTTCGAGAGAGCAACTCTTTCCTGGAAAAAGTATGGGCAAAGCACGTTTTGAGACTCTTCATAACTGTACCCTCCCCAGGTAGGGTTAGGATCACACTTGTCGGAGATGTCATCGCAACGCCAGCTGATTTGATCCTTGTTTGCTTCAACAAGATAGTCGAGCAGACCGATGACCTCGTAGATGCTTCCGTCACCGAACCATCTCATAAAGATTTCGTCATCTTTACCGTACTCCATCAGACGGTTTCTGGCGAAGGCAGCCGCCTCCAACGAATCTTGTAGATGAGCATTGATTATTCTAGTGTAAGTCTCATTGCAAGTGTGAAGGATTGGGGCAAATTGAGGGCTTGACCAGCCGTATGCACCGCTGAGTGATAACTCTTCAAGTGCATTTGTGGAGTTGCTCGCGTAGAAGGTGGCTGCAGCAGCGTGCGTAGCAAGTAAAACGGAAGAAGTGAAAGAGAATCTCATGCTGGATATCAAGTTTGGTATATGCTCTCTACTCAGTGCGATGCTAAGGTGGTATCTTGGACGACCTTTTATAGGAAATATGCCCGGACTTCAGCTACGACCATGGTGGTTAGATGCCTCGAGATATGGTGGTCTTCGGCTGCAAAATCTTGACTTTCTCGACCTCGAGGCGCCACATTCGTTACCGTACATATCCTCTTTAGACAAGTCGCAGATTTGGTTACCAGAATAGGTGCAAAAGGCAATACTTTTGCACCGCAGTGGTAAAAAAAAATGCATCTCATAATGCCTGTTCAGTTCGCTCTTCAAACAAAATTTTGCGGGGCCAAAATGCAACTCTCGACCCTGCATAGTACAAAATGGACCCTTTAATTTGAAGGTCTTTCCCAAAATGGAGAAATTAGGTGATGCGTTTTGGTGCATCTGATGACACAGCTGCAGAGCTTCACCTCATCGGTAAACTAGAAATACTTCTGGAAGATGCTGCTGCCCTCCGGACGTATGGTTGGCCAAGAAAGAAGGTCATGCTACTTTATTACAATATGAATTGACCAAGACTAAAATTTTGGGTCAAATTAATCTAGAGTTTAATTAAAATCTAAAGACGAAGAAGAACTGAAAATTTTGTTTTGAAAGCCTCGAGACGGCCATTAGAGGTCACCAAGACATCCGCCTGGAATAACGGCTTCAGAGTAGACCTCAGCAATGTAGTACAAGAAGCTGTCAACGTTTCTGACTGCGAAACTGGAGTTAGTCTGGGCAACATCAAGGATCTCGTCAAGCTCCTCAAAGTACTCGGCAATGTAACCGTCAGAGCTCATGTATGGAACATGCAGGTAACGATGCAGCAGATCAATACCAGCATAATGCTTTGGACCAGTGCTAACGATGGTGCCATCGAAGCACATGTTTGCAAGAGGTTTCTTGGAGGTGTAGAACAGATCGCAGATAACGGTCTCTCCTGGGGCATCCTCACGGTGGTATCCTGGGTAAGTAGTTGGGTTTGCAGCACACTCTCCGTCAATGTCGTCACATCTGTAGAGAAGACTGTCCTTAGAGGCCTCGACAAGCCAGTCAATGGTACCGATGACCTCGTAGATGCTTCCATCTCCGAACCATCTCTCGTAGATCTCATCGTCCTTTCCGTACTCGGTCAGACGGGCTCTGGCGTAGGCAGCAGCCTCCAGAGAATCTTTGAGACCAGCGCGGATCATTCTGGCATTAGTCTCGTTACAGGTGTGGTAGATGGAAGCAAACTGAGGGTTCGACCATCCAGTAACACCAGAGACGGCAAACTCCTCCAGAGCAGTTGAGGAGTTAGAGGCATAGAAGGTGATGGCGCTAGCCTTGGCAGCAACGAGAGCAACGGCGGAAATGGAGAACTTCATTATGGTATCAAAGTAGTTTACCTCGAAAGCAAATGTATTGAAACTAAGGCAATAAGGTTGGGCTTTTATATAGCCCTGATCATAACCCCGAGAACGGCCGCCCAAAAATTCTATCCGCTCTACAGCAGTTCTTCGGCACAAATTTGGAAAACGAAAAATGGTCAGAACATAACCACTATGGTAGCTTCTGTAGTTGTTTTTATATGAAATGAGGAATATCTGCAGGTACGCGATGAAAAGTTTTTGATTTTGGTTCAATTAGGTAAAAAACCCTATTTAGGGTTTCTGAATTGGTGTTATGACGGGCAGGTCGTCCAATAGGACCCATCAATCAATACAATCCGCCTGTTTATAGACCATATTAATAGCACTAGAATTTGCCCGAATATCCGCTTTTGGCAGAGTTCGAGAGCTGAGACTCAAAATCGGCATTTAATTACCGAAGAAACACTTCCTAAAGCAGATGTAGTAGTAGCGAATCCAAACAACGCGTGATTATTGCAGGGTCTTTTAGCCCTAGTCCCTTTGTTGATGCCGTCTACCAATTGACACGGTTATAACAGTACACGTTGTTTAGCAGTAGCAGTGGCGAGCGAATGGACTCATCGGGTGCTTCATTGAATGAGACCATCCGGAAAGAAGCTTAAATTGATTCTCGAAGTACCTTCCTTAGGCTCACTTTCTTTTTGGGTTTTGAAAAAATAATAGCGATATTTTCACTTGTTGATTCCGAAACGTGATGCAAGTAATTCACTCTACATATGCTGCCAAGCCTGGCCGTTGATTACCATGCTTCTACTCTGCTGAGACGTTTAGTCAAATGGTCGAATAGCTAGATTTCATCAGCGGGATCTTTGCTCGATTTAGGCATACTTATCACACTTAGTCGCTCTCGGGTGAGCCCTCTTCTACACTTTCAACGTGCTCGATATCGATGAGCTTTTCCGTAAGGCGTTCTGTTGGAGTCCTCTTAATCTCTTGGAGACCGTAGAAGATGGTATGAGAATCGAGGAATATGTTCTCAATGTCTTCAAGGGTTCTCTTGGAGGTTTCAGGATAGAAGACAAAAAGTGAATAGTTGCAACAGCGTTCGTCAAGGTGAAGACAATGTATGTCTTCCAAGCCAGATTTTGAGTCATGATCGGAGTGATCATCGCAATCACAAAATTGCAAATCCAATTCGTTGCGACACTGATTGCATTACCTTTGGCACGAAGTTGCAATGGCAGCACCTCAGCAGCATAAACCCATGGAACACAGTTCATAGCATAGCCAAAGAACCCAATAAACGTGAAGAAGAATGCAGTTGCGGCGACTGACGATTCTTTGGTACCAACACGCAAAAGGATAGTGACGAGAAGCATTGAAATACATTGTCCAGCGGAACCGGATGCCATGGCAAAACGTCTTCCCATCTTATCCAAAAACAGCGTAGGGATAAATCCGGTTGCGAAAAAGGTCAGCATAATGCAACCACCCAGAATTGTCGCGAGGTTTGAACTTAGTCCAACGTTATTCTCTAACACCATTGGCACATAGTAAACCACCAAGTTGATGCCTCCGAACTGGTTCCAGAACTGACCAAATACAGTAAGCATGATTCTAAACCGGCCGTGCATGGCATCTCTGCCCATAAGAATATCACCCCAGGTGATTTTATCGCCTGAACCTTCGATTTTTTGAAGATAGAGAATGTCGTCAATGATGGCAGAAATCCGCGGATGATCCTCTGGCACACCATTAATCGTTGCTAGTGAGTACCTTGCATCTTGTGTTCTTCCAACTTTCATTAACCACCTTGGAGATTCAGGGCAGAAGAATAACATCACAATCCCGAGTACCGCGAAAAGCATCTGAATACCTACTGGAAGTCTCCATGAAACCTGATCTGTTCTTTTGCTGCAACCGTAGCCAATCCAGTACGACACAGTGATACCAAATGCGACACCTTGAGGTTCTGCGGCCACCAGGCCACCTCTATGGTTCTCGTGGCATACTTCAGACTGATACATCGGTGTTGTACTTGTCTCAAATCCTGTTCCGAGGCCAGAAATGAATCTTCCGATGAAGAGTTGAACCACACTGTACGAGCTGCATTGCAGAATGACTCCAATGGTCACCAAGGTGAATCCCAGCCAGATGGCCCGCTTTCTGCCTAACTTATCACCGATCCAGATGTTTGCCATGCTACCAAAAAAACTTCCTAGGTTGTAGATCGCAACTATAATTCCGAGATAATTTCCTTGGGGATGGCCAAATTGGCTTTGAAAAAACGACCTCGTTCTGCACATTTGCTAATGCCTCCCTGTTCAAACCCATACAGGATAAATGCGAACATGCAGGTGACCGTCAATATATGTTGGGTTGGCTTCCCAGGGCGGAAGAGAGGGTAATACGATTGAAGTTTGACCATTTCGAGTAACTCTATTTCCCGTCAAGGCTTGCGCTCAATGCCAAACTCTGAGAAGTTGATCAGGGAACCATCCATATTTATATCTCCGCTTTCGTCCCCCACATGCGTTTAGCCTGTCACGCATTCTATACTATTCAGCCTATTTTGGAGGAGAGGGAAGTCGAGATAAATTACGTCATATTCATGAATTCTGCATGCGTGTACTTTCGTACCCCGGAAATTTCGCCCAAAGAAGTTCGCGGTGCAGGTCTGCATATTTAATAACACGATGTGTGATGTCATCAGCTTGTCGAATCTATCTTGTCTGTTTCTGATTCAAGGCTTGTAGATGTTGTTGTTTGTGATCGCATCCCAAACGCATCCAAAACGCCTAGAAAGGAAATGAACTTGAGGTAACTGGACTGCCACCTCAAAGTCATCCTTCTGAAGCCATTCTATCCAGAGCCCCAGACCACGAGGCTGCGGTGTCGGACCATAGAACTATAGATATGCTAAAATTGCCATTTTGAGAGCAATACGTCTACCGCTATCTCCAACTACCTAAATCGATGCACAGCGACAATTGCATTCCTTCACCCGACCCCGAAACTCTCGGTAGTTGCATATTACCTGATGCACGGACAAGGTTGAAGATTTTAGCGATACCTACTCCGCAACAAGATTCCCCAATCAAATGTTCCGCTTTACCCCGCTGAGCGCTGATTTTCGCGTATCTGACCTGGTTGGGGCGAAGTCTATAGGCAGACGTTGCTGCCAAAAAGGCAGGATGTATACATTTATACCGTGCATTGCCATTCTACAGTTGTCAAATCGAGTAAGCCTGCCGCATTGAACGGCATGCATATCTACAAAAATAAAGGGTTCGTTTTACATTCCCGTGGTAGGCATGCAACGCCGCACAGGACGTAACCAAAAATCCAGAGCATGTGACGTGCGTATATAATATATGACTAATCAATCTTTTCTAGTCATGTGACACTGTGTCACATGTGTAACTTACACCCTGTGACACCGATGTGCCGTCTCAGGCGTTTTCGCAAGGTAATTACATTATACTTTCATACCGTTCTAACCAGGCACCATATTAAACTTGGACCGTGACGTTCTGTTGATTCGAAACCCGTGACATACGCAGTGCTGTGTCGCCGAACATAATGTACAAACGTAAAAAGGACCGAAGTATACTGTGACCGAAAGTCTTGAAATGCCTCTATCGAAGTCTTTTTTTAAAAATAATTGAAGGTGCCCCTTGCACCTTTCGAGATTAAATCACGGCTATGTGTTATTATATCTATTTTCGTGCACCTGGCATGGAATATATCTTTCGCCAATAACTTTTGGAAGTATTGTCATGGATTAGATGTCGTCGTGCATGAGCTAGTACGTTTGGATATGCATGGTTTATATAAGCACCTGCGGAAACGTCCAATCAGATGCCTCACTTTAGTAACACCATGTACTAAAATGTCGTAGTTTTAGTGGAGGTGTGAGGAGGGGTTGCAGGATCCCCAGTACCACGAAGGTGTTTTTGGTATGATTTTACTTGATTCAAACCTTTGTTTAGAGGCTCTCTGGAGTGTTTGAAAGCCATCTTTGGGTATGAAGGATGTAACATCGTGCATGTAAATAGCATGCTGAGTTGGTTATATGCAGAGTTCATGAGGGTTAAATTCCGTTGGGTATAAATATCTCGATTCTCCTCAGTGCGTCTCAAGTCTGTGCCTAAAATCTTAAGGTTCACGTAGTTTACACTTCTTAGAGGTCCTTATATCAGAACTGTTAGTCAAATGGGTAGAATTAGCAAGTCCAAGAAAGCCACAAAGGCCAAGACAGCTACTTCTAAACAAAAAGGACCTATTCCAGTGACTTTGCTTTCTGGATTCCTAGGTTCAGGGAAGACCACCCTTCTGGAGCACATCCTTACTGCATCCCATGGCTACAAAATTGCTGTCATTATCAATGATATGTCTTCGCTGAATATTGATGCGTCGCTCATTAGAAACCATAAGGTTCATAATACGGAAGAGAAGCTGGTCCAACTTCAGAATGGTTGCATCTG